AGACACTTAATTTTGGTCAAAGCCCAGGTATGCAGAGAAAGTAGTTGCATTGAAAACGTTGGCTCCATAAAGAGAGCATGTAGGAATGCCACCCAATATGAGAATTGTGCTTGAGCACAGCAGTGAGTATCTGGGTCCCCTGTTTTGATTTACACTTTATTTTGACAAAGAGAAACAACTACCCATGCTACTAAAGAGCACTGTTGATAGGTGGCCCTCGGAGGCTCTGACTCATAGAGAATGGTCATCCTCACACGATTAAGGATAGTCCATCCTTGGTTGACAAACAGACACTTACCTGGGCCAAAGCCAGTGTAAGTGTCCGAAAGGTAGAGAAAGGTTGCTCGACATGTCCCACTTAATTGAAGGGTATTCCTTGGCACAATATATAAAGCGTGTAGGAATGTCAGCCAATATAAGAATTTTACTTGAGCACAGCTGCGAGTATCTTGGTCCTTAGTTTTGATGGTTGTTTCATTGTATATAGTGCTATATCCCCTAGTATGCATTGAGAGTAAGTGTATTTATTAGCGTGCGTAGTGTGACAGGGCCAATGGTGGAATATTGACCCTATTGAGCCCCAATTAAGTTAGTTAAATAATAGGTGAAAAGGGTGATGGAGGAATATCAAGTACTCCACCATAACTGGGTGAATAGTATGTAAATAGGAAAGAATGTATTTTAGAGTCAGTGAGAATGTGATTGCACATAGATTTAGGAACTGATTGTATCAGCGGCTGAAATGTTCATAGCCCCTAGAGCTCAATCAGGACTGACGTCTGAACCCGTACTGCCAACACCCAGAGTGAGTGATTCTCGAGGCCTTCCAGTAACTGCCCGGATGCAATTGGTTAATAAAGCATTAACAATTTACAACAAGCATATAGGAGCTTTCTTCTCTCTAATTAACGTGCTACAAAAGTGATAATTCATTGATTTAATAACTCTTCAAGTGATTATCTGTATTTATTTTATTTATTTATTTTTTAACGAGGAAAGTATGAAAGTGTTAGAAATAGATGAATTGATCTTTTTTTATAATATTGTAATCAATTTGATTATAATTTTCTTTAAACTGATTTGAACAACAAAGAAATTATTAAAAATTGGTACTGATTTTGATTTATTGCAATAGAAATAATGTCATGTAACATTGTTTTGGCATTGAACAACTTGACAAACACTAAAAAGAAGTTAATAGTTAAAAATAATTCTCTTTTAAAATAAAAGTAAATACATAGCTTTTCTTATACCAGAAATTTATTAAAATTGGGTATTTGCTGGTCAAATGCACTATAACCATTAAACAGCATGAAAAAATACCAAAAATTTGTGCATGAAAGTGTTTCAAAGTAAAACAACAACCACCTGGATATAATTTGTATCAACAAATATCAACAATAAAAAAATTAGAAATGGTACCTACTAATGTTGTATGTTGTATTGTGCATACAAATGCATGACATTTAGCATTCAAAACATATTTTTATTTGATTCTAGATTTCTATGAACTATGGAAATTACTTAACTAATAAATTTTAAATCGTGTGCGCTAGTCACACAAGAATTTTCTTTCACAAGCAAACAACCACCTCGGTTAATTTGTTGATAAGTTGACTATCAACAATCAAAATTAAATTGTTATAAATGGATATTATGTTGGTTATTTCGTTAGACATGCGGGCAAATGTCCCTAGGGTAGAATACTACTTTGACTAGGCATATAATGCAAAAAATAATCTATGGGAAAAAAATTCTATGGGAAGAGAACCGTTTACATACCCGTAACGGTCATCCTTTTTCGTTCATTAAGCAAACCATCACGTGGCCCTGCCGATAGTCCCAGGCGATCAATAGGGAAAAACAAATACCGTTCACTTACTTAGTCATGTTTATTCATATAAAAATAATTTTGCTTGGCCTATGAAATTACATAGAATAGGTTGTAACCTGCTGGAGGTATGCTCTAACTTCTAAGCCTAGGCGGCTGTCATGAGGTCGAGATGATATTCCGTCAGAGGGTTTTTATGTATGGACACGTCACTGCACACTACACAACACTCGACAATTCTGACTGACCTAAGAATTGTATGACTGTATTGTATGCAATGTCAAAAAGGAGCTGGCTAATCCCATAACGATTAATATGGTCATTTATTACCCGAAAGGGTACATAAACTGGTAAATGATACGATTTCATGAAAGGATTAACATATTTTTTGTCATACTGTATAAAATAATAATAATAATTACTGTTAAAGTAGTAATAATTTAAACAAATTGAAAATCTACTGGCAATGTTTTACAGCGATATGTGTAAATGTCATATTACATTTTGTGTCAACATAATGATAACAATAATCTTTATTGTTATTTTGTTTTAAAAATTTGATTCTTGTACAAAATGAAGAGTACAGTTTTAATCATACATTAATGAAGTAGTTATAATTTACAATTCACAAATTATCTTTCTGTTTTCTGTTGAGGCAAATTATTATTTTTTATTATGTATTAATATTTAAACAAGTCAATTTTCAGCATAATAAGTCTAATGCAATATTAGATTTAGTTTTTAAGTAATGTATAGATAATCTGGTAAAAATATTCTACAACACACTTAGAAAAGTGAGAGACATTAATGTTCTTAAATCAAACTGTACAAAGCCTAAATTTTCCATGCAGGTATTCAAATGACCTCAAAAAGCTTAATAGTAAAGAAGAAAGCAGCTCATAAGAAGTTTAAAATAACACAAAATGAATATGACTGTCTAGAATTCTTTAACCTTAGATCTACCACCAAAGAAAGAATAAAATCGCATTATATAACTTATATCAAAGGAACACAGAATGCAATAAAGGCAGATCATAAAAAGTTCTGGAATTTTGTTAAATACTCATCTACGCAAACCCATGAAGTGTTCTACATTTTTGGGGAGTGAATCGAAATAGTCAATAAATACAAATACTTAGTAATTATACTCACACCTAATCTTTCCTGGTCCATACATATCTCAAAAAAGCTCTTAACACCAAAACAGCTATAAATATCTTGGTCTCCTTTCATAATGCAGAATGTGTGGTGATTAGTGACCATTAGTCGATGATTATTCACTCTCAACACGACACACAAGAATGGCACAACTACGCAGAAAACAAACACTTTGTGCCCTGAAGATGATCTCAATAAAGATCGAAACATGGGCACGATAAAGAAAATGTTACTAGGACCAAAGGTATTTTTGGTAATGAAAAGACACAAACACTGGCCAAAGGAGGATCTGTAAGACCATATATAGGCCTTGAACCTATTCTTGGAATAACAAAAATAAACACAGAACCCTCCATCACAAAATGGATTCAAAACAAGATAAAAGAAGAAGTCTAGAACTCTAAAGGTGCTAGACACAGTATGCTTATGTTAAAACAACCCTCACCAAGACACAAACTCACTGCTACAGTTAGAAAGGGCTAAACCCCAGAGGAGTGATAGGATTTCTGGTCAGCAGCATCTGAGAAAACATCTACATAACATGACGACGTCATTTATAGGTTATGTAATGAGGAGGACGAAGCAGCTACCTGTATCTTTGAATAGATGCTCAATAGAGATATAACCTGGGATACAAAGAAAACCCAGAGAAAGTAAATGTTGCAACAACAGTTAATGACTTAGTGCTCCTTAGGAGAAGCATTTATTTTTGATTTCACTGAACTAAGGAACTAAGAAAGCACAATAAGCTAGAAGGCTGCAGTGCTTGGGGAACAAAACCCTCACTTCCTAGTATTCACACTCATCATTACCATTGCCAAGGATCATAATACTACTATGTATATTGCTTCAGTCCTTGGCATTGTTAGGACTGAGGCTACGTTTAAAGATATTTGAAACCAGTTAGGAAAATACTTAATTATTTCAAATAGAAAAGTATAATAATTGCGAGTTGTATTAAAAAGAATAAAAGTTTGTGTTTTTATTGCTATAGTAATAAATAATACAAATACAGTAAACAGGTAAATCATTACAACAATTAGTCAATTTAGATTGCAGTACATTATAATCGATTTCCACAAATCAAACTTTTTGAGAGTACAAAATGCATACCCCACAAAATTATTAGAATATTCGCATTACCACTGATCAATTTATAATAATAAATTTCAATTTAGAGCCATTGTGGTTTATTAACTTATCATCAAAATATATTTAAAAAGAGGTGTATGTTAAAAAGGTCATTTGATATCAATTTTATTTAATGAAAAACTAATAGTAATAATTTTTATGAGGTATTTTTTTAAATAAATTTACAATCTTTATAATTTATAAAAAATTGGAAACATAATTGTGTTCATTTAACAATTTTCAGTACTTTTCTTGTGAAGCACAAAAGAACAATATTATTAAGCTATTTGAAGCAAAAATGCTTAATTCGGTGAAAATAATTTTCGTACTTAAACTAAACAAAAGGATCTCAATAGTATCAGTCTTTAGGGTAAACTTATGAAGAGTAAAAATGAACCAACATTGACCATAAAATATTTCATAATTTAAATAAAAAGTAAATTTGTTCTACTATGCGATATGAACATACATGTACACCTTGTAAGTTTTATGTTCAAAACACTATTATTTATTTCTTTTTTATTTATTTTATTAATGCAAGAATACCGTAAAAAATATATTTAGCGATCATCATTGTGTTGAATATTATGTGCGCAACATATTTCATATTTAATGTGTTGACTGCATCTTATGCTTGGCCATGGCAATTTTTATTTTTTTAAATTAAAGAATGTAAATAAGTTCAAGAGAGCTATTTTTTGTGATGTTGGATTTTAATAGAAAAAAAAAAATAATAATAATAAAAAATGAAATGACCATAGCCTGTGACAGTTTTGCCCTTTCTGAAGGAATTGTGCAGTGGGTGACGTGGAGGGAGAGTATGAAAGGTATAAATATTAGGATGCAGACCATGTATCTTCCGCAGGCCACAAAAAAGTTATTTTAAAGTAAAAATTCTCGCCTTTAATGTGCAATTATTACGGCTTGCCAATTCGTTTCTGTTTACATTTGTGGATAAATCACAATGTTGAATCATTTTTATCTTCATTTAAACTATTACTTGGAAATTTTGGAAATTCAAATACTGAAATTGAGATGAAAATAATTAACTCCTTAACACCTCAATTCCTATTTTTAAATATCAAATCATTTTAAAATGATTTGTTGTCATTAAAATCATAATACTGAGAGAACAGAGTAATATACATAAATATAAACTATTAACAAAAAATACTATTTTTGTTACTTTATAATGTTTAGTAATTACAAGTACTATGATATTACTGCAAGTTACAAATCTACACATATTAACATTGAAAATCTTTGGCACATATACATTAATTCAATTAATAAAAAACATTATTTACACACAAAAATTAATATTTTTATTCTTGCTAGACAACTATGCACTAGGTTCAACTAAATTATCACAGCCTTTAAATTAAAACAAAATGTTTAACAACGATGTCATTTAAAAAGATATTTCCAAACATTGTTAATTGTTTCCTCTACTTGAACAGTGATAGCTATAGACCTTTATAATGGTACATATACACAGGATCCAAACATTAAAATTGTGGCAGAAAATGATTTTCCAACCCTAATTTACATTAATATATACATTAATAATAATAATTTTTTCTTAAGTGCTAAGTTCCTTTATTCTCATGAACCAAATTGATTCAACACGTCTCTGTGTTTTCATTAATCAAAAACCTCCAATCCTCCTATTTCCGAATCAACTTTCATAGCAGTACACATGCTCCTTAAAAACTAACTTTAAAACACGGATTTGAGCATAACTAATAAAAAAATTAATAAAATAAAATGAATTGTAAGTATTGATTAAGGCAAGACACCTACACATAAAACAGCTAAATTCCCATAAATATTTGCAACCTAAAAGTAAGAATAATAATTGTTAATAAACAAATATTTTGAATTGGTTCGACTGAGAAAACAATTATAAAACAGAGATACTACTTTACTGATCTATACCATCTTTTTTCTAGCTTTACAACAACACAAAATTACAAAAAATAATATATTAAATAAATTATTATTATTAAATATTATAATTGAGTCAATAATCTGAACACATTTGAATAAAACAGTTTTTTATATATATATACATCATGTCATAAATACATATCAACTTTTTCTTTAAAAAGCTGTACAATTACATTTGCTTCGATATTATACAGTTTAACAGTACGGCCATGATAAACATACAAAACAGCTAGCCCCAGGAATGATCACACTGTATAATACTTTTTTATTTATTTAAATAAAACATCTTTATTTAATAATCTCAATAAAATTTTAATTTAAAATAATTAAATGTTGAATTAATACAACTATAAATATAATCGGCATATTTTACATCCAAAATAATATTTATCAGCATGGTTTAATAAAAACATTTTAATATATCTAAAAAACTGTCAACTAAAGTCAGCTTGAGGTAATAATTTTTTTTTTAAATATAAAAATGCCCTAAAGGCTGTTGTGACAATATTGAGTTTGGATTGATTTATGTCGGCTGTGTGGATGATGATGAAACCCAACCATTCCAACACTACTATCCAGAATATCTTTGAATCCAACTATGGTTGTTTCCTCTCAATTAATAGTGATACACTTCAGAAACAATCTCACAAAACTAAAGCAATCCACATAGGATCCGCCTTAATAATTGCAACAAATCATCTTCCTCTTGTTATATCATTATTATAAAGATAATGTAACACCAACTAATATTATAATATATATAAGAAAAAATGGAAGAAAATTTGTAAAAAATAATAGAAATTTAGATATTCTGAATTTTACAAGTGAAGAAATATGCACTAACGAAACTTATAAATATGAGCACTGTATACATACTAAAGTAATGATAAATATGCATATAATTAAAAAAAAACGATGCTAGAATACTTGCAATACTTAGCGCTATTTACAGTTTGCTTCTTCTTTTATTTTATTACTTGCTGTTGAAGTTTTTGATGCAAATCTGGCAGTTGATGTATTGCAATCGGGAAAGGACCTGAAGATGTAATGTAATGCAATCCAGGGTACCCTAAATTGAGGGAACCATTGGGTGTAACACTGTTGAAAGCTGGTGTACCACCTAAAAAAGTATATTTGTATAATTACAGTATACATAGTTCATAATTGTTACTTATGTATGATATATTATTATCTCCTAATACATTGATGATTCATTAAATATATCTGAGGTCAATAGATGGCACGACACTAAGAAAATATTACCAGGTAATCAGAAAAATTCTTGTGGTTTTTCAGTTGCTATTTTTTTAATACCTTTAATCAACATTTCTAATATGCATAAGAAAATTATGGGTTTACATCGTAGAATAATATGTCTATTTATAAAGAAAGGTGTCGTGTACAGTTTACTGTAAACTATAAAATATTTTCTTTCTTATGGCTTTAAAACCCATCATTGGTGTGTATATATTGTATGAATTTAAGCTCAAGTAGTAAAGTGGCCAAGGCAACTTATTTTGCATTCGGTAATGAAACAGTAAGTGAGTACATTGCTCAAAAGTGGTTCAAAAAGTTTGCTTCTGGGAATGAGGGGATTGAAGATGAACCATGTCTGATAGACTTTCTATCTGGAATGACATGAATTGAGGGAAGCTATCGAACTTGATTTGAGTCAAAATATACGTCAGTAACTCACTAGAGTTCAATGTAAGTGATGAAACCATTTGCTCTAGCTTACATCGACTTAGGAAGATGTGAAAGCTGAGCAAATTGGCCAATGGTTTAGCATCTAAACATTTCCCTTTTATGGCTTTGATGACAAAAATGCAAAAATGCAAGTGATATTCACCAACAAAAGGTGATGCTTTGTGTTTGGTGGAGATAACACTCCTGTCACATGGAAGGACCATCACTGCAGAAATCTACTCAAGCCAGCTCTAACGTGTATCTTTTGCCTTGGCCCATAAACAATTTGCTGTCATGAACGGAATAGTACTTTTTCACCAGGACAAACACGAGACCTCATACAGCCAGAACATATGCCAAACAGAAGTCCTCATACAAAGGACATGATAATGAAGCTTGGCTGGGAAGTTCTACCACACCTACTATACTCTCCCCCATCTGACTTTTACATTTTCTAGCAATGGACAATCATACATGCAATCCGGTGTTTGATAATTACCAACTGCTGAAAATGAGCAGAATTTATTTTTTAACTCCTGGGACCCAAACTTTTATAAGGGCATAACTGGGCTAGTAACTCCTTGGAAGGTTAAAAAAGCTGTTGGAGAATAAAATACCATTGGCTGACACCAATTGCTCTGTCCTATTGACACAACCGAATATTCGCCAACAAAAGTTGATGCTTTGTGTTTGGTCGTACATTTTAAAACTTTTTGAACCACTTTTGGCAGTGTGCTCACTTATTGTTTCATCACCAAATACAGTGCAAATTTTACGAGTTGCCACGATCCTAGTACCAAGCAAAAATTCATCCAATATGCACGCACAGTTTATGGGTTTTAAAAGCCATGATAAAGTAAAAATTTTATAATTTACATTGACCTGTTCAAAACACTTATTTTTATGAACTGACGAATTATCCTCTTAAGTGATGTAAACACCTAATCCTTCTATGTAAATACAAATAATAACTGACAGTATTAAAACAATAACAAATGAAAAAGCACACCAACTTTTCTGGTTACCTGGTAAAGTTATAGCCAAAGTTAAAATTAAATTTTTTTAAAAATATTTTTGGCAATTCGAAAAAATTGTTTATACATCGTGAGAAATGTTACTCTTACTTCTAAAGTGTGCAACCTTATCACATAAACCCAAACAGTTAAATGAGTGATATAACTCAGTTTTAATTCAATTTTTGTTTCTTTTGTTTTAAATTAAACAATGAAAATTATGTATGCCATTAATTGTCTTACCTATGGCAGGATTATGTCGCACTTGTAGAACAGGGTTGACAATGTTGTTACTTAAAGCGAGGCGAACAACAGGTGTAAAATTAATTGCTGGAGAAATGTGTATTGGACCGACTAGGTTTGTAGGAATATCACTTTTTCTCATTTTTCCTGGACTATTAAATAAGAAAAAATTCCTCGACCGCTTTGGTCTTTTGTGTACTCTTCTGTAATGATCTAAATCTGCTGGAGTGATCTGTGGAATCTTAATTATATCTTCCTTATTCGTTACATGGGAATTATTTGAGAGATGCCTCAGTAAGTGACTGTTAGCTTTTTTGATTTCTTGAAATTTGACATCTGACGCAACATTCTTAGTAAGATCCATAAAATTGTTTGAAACAACATTTTTAGAAGCCAGTTTCAAATTTTTATTCTTGTATTTCGCTCTCTTGTGCGGAATTTCAGTTTTCGATATCCAAAGGCCTCGACTGCGCTTAAATCCTGGCTGCCACCATTCAATTATGCTTTTAACAGCATTGGGATTTGCAGCATCATCCTGGGTCTCAGTATCACTTTCATCACAGTCCTATGAAAATTAAATGTCTCCATTAATGTGCTTATTGTGATACAAACATGTGATTTTAATTAATATAACTGGTATAAATTTATTGTTCTCCACAAGAAAATGCCATAGAAATTAGGATTCTAAATTATCAAAATGTTTTAATCAACATAGTTGTGAATATGAGCACAATTTTGTTTTATTGTAACTTTTTAAATTTTGTTTATGTATTTATAACTACACTTAAACAGTTAAGCATAATAAAATATCTCAATACTTACAGATTCTGTTTTTGGTGGCGGTGGTGTTGGGGGTTGAGGCGGAGGCTGCATAGTTGGCGGTGGTAATACTGCTCTTATTGGCGCATGATGTAATTTGACACCTATTGCACTAGTTAAAAATGGTGGCCTAATGATTCCTATTTCCCTGCCATTTTCTTTTGTTCTAAACAGTATCACATTTCGTACTTGTCTTTTAAAATCTGTACCAGTATTTGTAACTACACTGAACTGGCCACCCTGTGGCAAAAATTGTTGTTGCTGTCTGTGCAACAGAATTTGTGCTTGATGTTTATAAATCAATGATTGTGATTGCATTTGCTGAAGTTGATGTTTTTGAAGTTGTATTTGCTGTTGTTGAATAAGTTGCTTTTGTTGTTGTAATTGCTGAAATTGCAATGTCTGCTGTTGGGGTTGCTTTGCTGGCTGGCCTTGTTGAGTTTGTTGTGTAAGCTGTTGCGCTAGAATTTTAGTTTGCTGGAGATTTGTGACTTGTGGTTGAATAACCTTTATAGTACTTTGTTGAAGTGTTGGCTGTTGTTGTTGCGCTTGTAACTTTTGCTGGACCAACTGCAATTGTTGGAGCTGTTTTTGTTGCTGCCTGACAAACAATTGCTGAGATTGTTGTGATGACTGTTCTTCCTGAGCTGTGTGCTGTGTTGGCACTTGCTGCTGCTGGTTCAATTGTTCCTGGAGTTGTTGAGGCTGAGCTTGTGGGCTTTGAGAAGTTAATTGCAATTGAAGCTGTAGTTGGGTGTGTGATTTTTGAAGTTGGCATTGTTCATTTGTTAAAACTTTAGCTTGAGCTGATTCGTTAGGAATAGTCAGAGCTTGTTGACTCTGATGTTCTTGTTCAAATTTTTGTGATTTCGGTGATTGACTATTTTGTCGATCGTCATTTACTTCATCACAAGTCATTTGAATTTGCTTAAGGAGTGAAGGATTCTTTATTGAGACCGGAAGACTTAGCTTGGAATAATCCTGAATTGTGGTCCCTTTAATTATTTTTTGTTTATCACAGTTTTCAATCTAAAACAACAAACAAGATACATTAAATCAACTTTATATACTTAAATTAGTTTATTTCAAGGATTCATATGGTGCAATATGGGTGCTTTTATTTTGCTTGATAAATTTTGTTATACCACTTTATAATATATAATCAAAATTACTTTTCAGTCTGAAATGTGTACATTTTTGGCGTAAAGGCTAAGGACAAAAGGCAGTCATAATGTTTTTTTAAATAACATAATTAAATTTTCATTGTACTGTACAAGTGTAGTTTGTATAAATAGGTTAACAAAGTAAGCACCTGATCATCAGTATTAGTATTTAATTTGTTTGGTTAATTTTAACTACAGGGTACTATGAGATGAGTGCCTCAGCATACGAGTTTTTTGAGATACAAACTGTCAATAAGGCAGTTTTGTCTTGAGATACGAACCTGCTATGTTGATGTCTCAACCACCACGCTGTTCACTTGTTCAATTCATATGTTTACCCCATCTTCCATTGTGTTAGTTTTAATTTTTTTTTTTTTATAGGCTTATCGTTATTAAGCTTTTTGGTGAATAGTATAATTCGTTATTAATTCATATAATTGAGTTACACAAAGGTGACCTGAATGAAGCATTTAATTTGTACAATGTATAAGCTAATCGGCTTTGCCACATCTGTTATTTTTTTTATTCTACTGTTTGTATGTATTTGGTTTTCTTTTATTTTTACACAATATTTGTTCATTATAAATGCATTATTTTAAAAAAAATTGAGTTGTTTTTACTAGGGCTGGTGAATGAACCTCATTTCAATATGAAAAATTGATTATACGAGCATTCTGACTTAAAGGCTCAGTCTTGAAAAGAAATAAACTCATATCTCAAGGTACCACTGTATTGCTACATGTAACTATGAAAATAGTAAGTTAATATAAAATAATAGATAACCTTTGGTGGTGTAGACACAGCCGGCTTTTCAAGAGTAATTTTTAAATTTGTAGAACTATCATTGCTTTTATCACCATCACTTAAAATTTGAATGTTAACATGGTTTTTCCTCATTTGTTCCTTTTCTGCCCTATGATCGGCTAAAAGGATATCAAACGCTTTACTTCTTCCTTTTACAGCTCTCCTCAATGTCATTGAATGTGATTTGCACGTAAGGGAACGAGTACATGGTTTCGCATTATCCTTTCCCGAAACAACACCACAATGCTTATCGGGATTATATATACGATCACGCATTGTTGAAGGCTTGGTACCTAATTTTCCTTTCTTTTTCTGTTCAAGTGAAGAATTATTTTTTGAAATACTCCCCAATGGTGATAGTTGTACAACTGGCTGCATGTTAGGACCTTGCTCACAATCCTGAAAAAATGAAATTATATTTATAAGTGTAAACCATTGTGTCTTAAATTATTATTAAGATCCATTATTAAAAAGTCTTCGATCGTAAAATTACTATGATTCTAAATAATTATGATAAATTTAAAAACTTTTACCTTAAAGGAAGAGGAGTCTTTTGGAGAGCTAGCACTTTCAATCTTAGTAATGTTTGTCTTTTTAGGAATCAGCTCCTTTGATTTATCTTTCAACTTTGAGGATAATACACTTAAATTTTTGCCACTTTTCCCACTTGAACTATGCTTCTCTGACAACTTGGCCTTTTTAATTTTATTCTTTATCTGTTTCAATTTAATTTCCGTAGAAATATTTGTAGAAGTACTATTTTTTCTAGAAAGTTCCGGTGAACTTTTAATAGGTGTAGAAGATGGAGTGACAGAAGGAGTGTTTACTGGAGTGCCAACAGGGGTTACAGTTGGTGTTGACAAAGGAATTTGTGTAGATATACTTGTTGATGTTGACGACGAACTGGAACTAGGAGTAGATGGGGATAAAAGGGTAGGAGTAGTAGGGGTTGAAGTATGAATAGGAGTGGATGGTGTCGGAGTGGGAATTGATTCCCTTAGGACAATTTTTACATCAATTAGTTGTTCGAGTGATTTTCCCACAGACTCTTTTGCTTGTGCATTATCTTCCTCGGGAGATTTTTCTTTTTCTTCTTTTATATTAGCCTTTTTATGGCGGCCACCTTTTTTCTTTGATTGTAACATTCCATATTTCTTTTCATATTCGCTTATCTTTAACGTAGAACACTTTCCATCTTCATGTTTTAAATCTGAAATAGATATTTAAATAAATTTGAATCGCATATAAGCTGTACACATTTTTTAATGTACTCCTTTACAAGTAACAATAATTGAAATTTAAAATTAAATAGATTTTAACGTTCATCCATTTTTAACCCCATTTTAAAAAGGGTTTAAACACACAACGGTTTTATATATTTAAACATATAACCAACTTTTAAAAAATTATCTCATATAGAAATCAAGGAAATCTTACTTATGTGATCAGCTAAAGCAGGAATTTTGAACTTATCACCGCAAAAATTACAAATTGCTAATTCAAAAACTTCTGCAGCTGGACAGTAACCAAATATAGCCATATCTGAAACATTATAACACTAACATTAGCATAAATTACAGTACAGTATCGCATTCAGGTATCAAGATTTGGTGCTTGAGAATGTACTTAATTTGAAACAAAAGTAATTGAAATTGGCTAACAATTCACCCCTTTATTGTATTTAAGTACTGAAGTACATATGTAAAATTTAAAACGATGAGTGTATAAATTATTGCTGTATTTATATAACATGATTGTATTAATATGTGTTTCATAAGATTATAAATTTAAGTCACAAGTGATTTCTTTTTTTTTATACAGAAAAAAGCTCTAGGCAAGAAGATGCTCTCTCAACTATGCTGGCCATAATTTGGTTCCGGAACAAACTGACAAGAGAGGGTGTAGAAATGATAAATTATAAATGCTGGAGTGAGTGTGGTGTTTTTAAAAAGATAGTTCCTACTCACAATTAGTTGTTTTCAATGATCCGGATTTCATGCTTATAGTTCACCATCAGGGTGAAGGAATTTACAACCATGTCTCTTGACACGAATTGAACCAACCAATCCCCGACCAATGTGACGTTCCAATGAGAAGCTGATTTTTAATGCCTCTTAATTTTCAATGTTTCAATTAGCGATTAATTTGTGTTTTATTAATTTTAGTTTTAATGTTAATTAGTTTTGAGAGGATGTTTCTAGTGAACACATACCTCTAAAAGCTATTCTAGCACCTTCTAGTTTAAGAATTTTACCTACTTTTTCTGACAGTTCACCAGTCAACAACGGAAACCTAATGATTCATTTTTGGTGGGGTGGCTGAGTCCTATTTTGCTTCTTTTAAAATTAATTTTTTTATACTTTTAACTAGTAACCTATTAATTAATATTTCTTGATATCCCTTATTTTTTGCTAAGGTTTTACTAGTTTGTACTTCTTTTTTATGGTTAGCAGGTGTTAATGGGAGTTTTTAGCATACAATTTATGAGCCAAACCAGCAGCTTTTTGGGTTCATGGGTGAGAAGAATCCGCTGGTATATAAAATATTTTGATTTACCTCCAATTTTAAATATGTACCTAAATAATATTAGACATACAAAACAATCAAATTAATTAATTTATTTTTTATTACTTTATTTTATTTACTAATATTAATGTATCATTTGAATTTTTTTTTATTCATTAATAAAACATACAAATTAATGTCTAAGTTATAATCATTTTCTTACAATATTTATTAATATAATATTTAATTATGTTATAATTTCCGCTTTTCGCACATTAAAAATTAAGCGGCATTAAAATCCCGCTTCTCATTGGAATGTCGCATTGGCGAGGGATCACTCTTACAATTCATGTCGAGAGATGTGGTCATAAATTCCTTCAACCTGACGATGAGCTATAAGCTTGAAATCTGGATCACTGAAAACAACTAACTGTGAGTAGGAACTATCTTTTTAAAAATATTTAAAAAGAGAGGGTGTATATTTAATAAGATGTCCCAGATCTGTGTGCATGCTGATACAAAACACAAAAAAAAAAGTTGAAAGTATCAGTTCTAAGTAGGAAAGCAAGAAGCAAGGACTTAGCATAAATTACAACAAAACAAAACTTATAAAACTCAGTAGAAAAGAAAGAAGACTTGGCAGTAGCTTGAACACATGTATAGGTGACTACAGCTTTGAAAAAGTCAATTTCAATATTAGGTTTCAAGTTATTATGGATGTGTCAAATCCATTGAAGGCAGTGACAACAATATATCCGAAGATTGACTGTACATTCTTATTAGGCACATGTGGTAAAAGTATAGGCACATGTATGAAAGGGTCTGATTGGTATATAGATAGAAGAAAATGCTTTGAAGCCTGAAATTTAAGGTTTTCTTATTATCGTGGTTCTCTTTATACACAAATGCTTGGTATATATCCCCCCTGGTTAACAAGAGTCTACAGCATACCATAAAATAATACTGGAGAATCAGACATTCCATGCAAACAGTACATTCTTTAAATCAAGATCCCTGACGTGATGCCTCAAAGTGAGAACATACAAGCAATCCTTACGTCCCACTGTCAGCAACGATGGAGATACGTGGACTAAGCTAAAGGGCATTGAAAGGAAGGTAATGAGGATAACACTAGATCTAGTGTACAAAAAAAGGATGGAGGATATGTCACAATCAAAAAATTAATGTGGTGCTAGAAAATAAGAATATCGCTCGCTTTGTGAAGTCAAACGACCTACAATGGCTGGAACACCTGGATTGAATTGGAGAGCCCAAATTGCCCAAGAAGGTTATAACAGCAAAATTGTATCCATTCCAGAGTGATGAAAGCCTAGGATGAATAGTTGGTTTATCCTAAGCATTGAGGAAAAAAATCCACCTTAGGCAAATTTACAGATGCAAATAATTGTTGTTTAATTAACATTTTAATTTTATTTGTTAACAAGGTTATTTCAATTAAACAATATCCCCCCCATCATTCCCGATCGTAAAGTCAAGAAATACAACGTACTTGAAGAACCCAAAAAAACTCACAAACCATGAAACGTCCGTCTCGCACACCATATATGATAACATTTAGGCAAGGTTTTTCCAAAAAATACAAACCGAAAGGAACTTATTAACTACTGAAAAATAAATGGCCAATAAAACACAATGAACCAAGGAGATTCTTATTTGAACAATAAAATCATAACACATGATTTGAAGTTTTAATGATACTTAAATGTGTTTTCAGCTTTGTACCATATTCAATGAGGAACTCTAGAAGAAACAGTACTGCTTTTCACTTTTTAGATTCTGAAGAAGACATTCAACAATAGACCAAATTCACCAAGTAATGAACATTAGAAGAGATAGAAAAATCTCTTGAAGAAAAACAAATTTGTTCTGCGATCTTCCTTGACGTCTCACAAGCTTTTGACAAGGTCTGACATGAAGGACTCATCAAGCATAAAAGGCACATTTGTTTCAAGATTAGAATCAAAATGTTGAACATTTAATAACATGATGTAGTTAAGGCAATTTGAATGCCTCAAAAACAAGTTGTAGGGGTTTTACTCACTACAAATGTTATGTTCAGTTGATGTACTTTAAGACATAAAACATTAAAAATTTATTGTAAGGCGATATTAAAAGGTCTGGTCACCTGCTCCCATGTATATAATTGTTTGTATACATTTAATGAAAATTATTTACTTTCTCGAATAAAGTTAGTTATATACCAGGGAACCAGAAATGTTTATGCGGTTTTTCATTTGTTACCACTTTAATAATATTAATCAACATTTCTAATTTAGATAGAAGGATTAAGCATCACTTAATAGCGACTTCAAAAACCATAATTCATACATGCTTATTTTATGAATCTTAGCTCAGTACTATAGAGGCCAAGGCAGATCGTAAAGTTTGCACTGCATTCTGTGATGACACAATATGTAAGCACACTACCCAAAAGAGGTCCAAAAAGTACTCAGCCAAACATAAAGTGTCAATTTTTGTTGGCGAATATTCAGTTTTTGGTTCAATGGGACAGGGTTATTTGGTAATAGGCAATGGTATTTTATTCAGGGAAGTAGTCTCCATCGGCATCTATAACCTTCTCCTGATAAGTTATTATCCCAGTTATGCCCTTCCTAAAAGTATGGGTACCGGTAATTAAAACATAAATTCAGCTCCAGCTGTTGGCATTTATCAAACTCCCGATTGTGTGTATATGTCCATTGCTAAGAAAAAGTAAAAGTCGGATGGGGTAGAGTACAGAAGGTGTGGTAGAACTTCCCAGCCAAGCTTCATTATCATGTCCTTGTATGAGGACTTCCTATCACGTTCTGGTTGTATGAGGTCTCATGTTTGTCCTGGTGAAAAAGTACTATTCAGTTCATGACAGCATATTGTTTCTGGACCAAGGCAAGAGACACGGAGTTGGCTTGAGTAGATTTCTGTGATGGTCCTTCCACATGGCACGAATTCGTAGTACACAGCCTGTCGTACTCCACCAAACACAAAGAATCACCTTTTGTTGGTGAATATCTGGATTTTTACGTCAGTGAGATAGGGTCATTCGATGGCAGTCAGTTCGACCTCCTGGTGTTACAGTACAGGATTTTTCGTCACATATGACAATTCGGTCAAAAAAGTCTCTACTTTTTGCTGTCAAAGAACGAAAGGCAAATGTTTAGACTGTTTAGATGATAGATTGGTCAATTTATTTGGAACCCATTTGCTCAGCTTTCAAGTCTCCCTGAGTCGATGTAAGCTAGAGGAAATGGTTTCATCACTTGCATTGAACACTGATGAGCTCTTGATATATTTGGCTTGAATCAAGTTCGATGGTTTCCTCAATTTGTCATCATCCAAGACAGAAGGACTACCAGACCATACTTTATCTTCAATCAGCTCATTCCCAGAAACAAACTTTTTGAACCATTTTTGAGCAGTGCGCTAACTTATTGTTTCATCACTGAATGGAGTGAAAATTTTGTGAGTTGCCTCAGCTCAAGCTAAAATTCATAAAATAAGCACGCATGAATTATGCTTTTTGAAACCGTGAGAAAGTATATGAACTGATGCGTAATCCTCTTGGTATTACATGATGTAACCACCTAATCCTCCATGTTGTTGATTAAAAGTATTAAAACAATAACAAATGAAAAATCGTACGGACTTTTATGGTTACCTGGTATATTTACATAAATGGGAACATCCTGGCACCCACTATTACAGTGAGACGAATGTATTTTTTGTGTGTGAAGATTTAACAATTATTTACCCTCTTTATTCAGCCTCACTGAATGAGTTTCGATTCGACCAACCGGCTCCACTGCTTCGTCTGCCAAATCTGCAATTTTCATCATGTTAACAAACAGAAAATGATGACAAAAAGCATGGGCTTATTTGTACTGTAAGTGAACAACTGAACAATATTTTCCGTTGAAACCAAAAACGAGACGTCAATTTATTTTGAAAATTCGATAGAGATTGAAAGTCAGGAAAACTTTTTTTAGCTGAAAACCCAAAGGACACAAATCTCTGAAACCCACGACGGGCAATATTTACTTTATCCGTGACATTGTAAATAAATTACATGCAGACGTTATGAATGTAAATACATCTCACCTGGAAGAATCGTGTGGTTGAAATAACTCGTCAATGCTGACCAAGGCTGTCCGACAAAACTTTTCAGTTTATTTATTACCAGTTTGTCCATTTTAGTTCCTTTCTTTTTTCAATCACTAGGTTCAAACTAAATACAAAAAGATCATTAATTGATTTCAACGTTAGTGAAACGTCAAAGGATGCTTTTTGATAAAAAAAAGTTCCCGTTTTGACTCACATCGCTTCTATAAAAAAGTATATATGTTTTAAAATATACGTGTATATATTTCTTTTTAAAAAGAGGATATCCTCCTATATTCGTTGCTTTGTTTACTGATCTAAATAAGCAATAGCATCATTTTTAATTAGGAGTTGAATGTGTCACCGTATAATCGAGAAGTGTCACAAAAGCTTTGAACGTTTGACTTCCCAACTCCTTCAAGAGAAAACAGTCCAACTCCAAACCTCCCGTTCCAGCTTCAACCCCCTCCACCCTTCACCGAATCAAAACCGCAGACAAATTAGAAAATCTCTTTATAAATTTAAAACTTTTTATTCAATGGCTTCAAAGCTCAACTTTATTCGATAAAATTATTAAAAACTCAAACGGTGCAATCTCATGTATTCTATGCGTCAAAATTAATATTAACTTTTCATGTTTCTCTCCGTTTAATTTCCCAAATCATGGAAGGGCGACGGAATTTATAAATTAAGTCTACCAGGTCTAAATTCGATAATAAAATATATACATTTATTCATATATATTGATATAAATATACTACTGGGGGCGTCGGTGGCCGCAATGGTTTAGGCGTTGACACGGCGCTCATCACTGTAAGGTGAAGGTCCCGGGTTCGAATCCAGCGGCCCTGCATCCGAACCCGACATACTTACAAATGAGCATTTTTTCAAAAACACCGGCACCCTGAGGGTTTGACCTCTGCTGTTGCGAACCCTCGTAAAAATATCAGGGGTTGATTGAATGCAGGTCTGTATATAATTTATTAGCGTTAATGAAGGCTTATCCCCAATTACACTGAGGAATATCGGGTATTCTAGGGTAGTGTGAATGAATGTCTGAATGTAATTTATTAGCGTGAATGTAGGCTTGTCGCCAATTACACTGAGGAATATCGAGTATTCTAGGGTGTGAATGAATGTCTGAATGTAATTTATTAGCGTGAATGGAGGGGGTTATGGCCAATTACCACGACAATATCAACTACTCTGGGGTAGTGTGAACAAAGTCTGGTATGTGAATGTAATTTTTTAGCGAGAATGGTTATCGCCAATTACCCCAAGGAATATCGAGTTCTCTGAGGTGATGAGAATGAATGTATGAATGTAATTTATTAGCATGAATGAAGGGACTTATCCTCGATTACCGTGAGGAATGTGAGTACTCTAGGGTTAGTATGAATGAATGTAATTTATTAACATGAATGACGGAGCCTATCCTCAAGTACCCCGAGGAATATCGAGTACTCTGAGGTGGTGAGAATAAATGTAGGAATGTAATTCTTTATTGTGAATGAAGGGACTTATCTCCAATTACTACGAGCAATATCGGATACTTTGGGGTAGGGTGGACAAAGTCTGGTGCGTGAATGTAATTTATTAGCATGAATGGAGGTGCATTTTCCTAATTAGCCCGAGGAATACTCTGGGGTGGTGAAAATAAATGTATGAATGTAATTCATTAGTGTGAATGAAGGGACTTATTCCCAATTACCACGAGGAATATCGAGTACTCTTGAATAGTGTGGATCAAGTATGGTGTGTGAATGTAATTTATTAGCGTAAAAGGAGGGGCATTTGTGCTATTTTATCCACAAGTGACGAGGCCCTGAGGTACAAAAAGGCAAGCAATAGGATAAAGAACAGAGAGTGTGGTTACTGCTCAGAACATTCTTACATATGAAACTTGGAGTGGTCGGTACTATAATTTTCCTTTGAAGTACCGTGGGCTGTCGTAACAAGAAAAGGGCCAACTTGTATTTTTCCGGGAAATAAATGATAAATGACCCGCAATGATTGAATTAATAAAATGATTTCGTTCTCCCAGTATCAATTAAAATTTTGAAATTATGGCCCGGCATTACAATATAATCGTTCTTTGTGTCTAGGTTTAAGTGGTAACTTAGTACTGCATGAGTAGTATTCAAATCGCCGTTCAGCGATTCGGCTTGGAGTTCTGTCGCTGTGCTTGCAAATTGAGCTGAAAGTTGACATAGGAATTTATTTGAATTTTGTTGAAATGAAAAAGTTAGTGTCACGAGTGGGATTCGAACACACGACCTTCGGCTCAATACGCCGCTGCTCTAACCACGTGGTCGCGATAGCTCATGTAGTTTTCATTTTAACCAAAACCTTACTTAAAAAGATTAATTACATTTAATAATTTTATAGTCAGTCGTAATATTCGAATGGTGTTTCGTTCATTTGTTTCATGTGTCATTTCGATAATCAGAGTATTTGCATTGCCTCTGTTAGCATAACTACTAATTACTATATTTTTGATATCAATCCAAGTAGTATAATGCGAATTCAAGAAGTATTTGCTGCGGGATGCTTTACTTTTGACAGTATTGATGCCACTAGATATCAGATTTTGAAAATTTCCTCTACTGTCTATATCGAAGAATGTAGAAACAATTTTATCGCATATTTCTAAAAAAAAACGCTAACTGTAGTGGTTCTCCAGAAAATGTTGGGATCATTTCCAAATACTGCGGTTTTAATTCCGGTGCCATTGTAGAAAAGTTTAGAGGTGTACAAATAATATAATTGAAAAAAAAAAACTTATTTTAACAATTTTACATGCACAAAATGATAAAGTTCATTTTTCTTCACACGATGTTTGGTGACTTCTGTTGTGGTGCGGGGCGCGTACAGATGATTGTGAAGTACTTATTTGCTCTAATTTTTTCATAAAATGTCGACTAAGGGGTAGTGTTGTGACGTTAGACAGTACCGACTGCCCCAGATTCAAAACTCCCGTTTTTAACAAAATACTTTATTCATATAAACGAGTAGTGCGAGATTACACTAAATTCAATGCAACTTAAATAAGCTTTTCTTGGTGTGAATGTTGCTTAATGTATACTACTATATTTACTAAAAGTTTTTTTGATCTTTGATTGAGCGTCAGCATCCCTGATAATTTTTTATAAATGTAGCAGTTTTTGGCTAGCTAACTTGCATGTATGTATGTCCCAGGTAGGGCACAATATATGAGGTTGGTTCTATTGGAATAGACTGTCGAACCAGTGGATTTTCTAAGTGTAAAGCTGTTTTGGGTGGATTTAGATACGTTAAATTTTAGGATTACATGACAGAATGACCGTGTCCTCAGCAAAAGAGCAAGATTGTCAGCTGTGTATATTGTGAATAGGAAGGGTCCTAGGATGCTGCTGCCCTGGGGGACACTCGCTTTAATGGTAACATAAGAAGAAATGGCAGCTCCTTGAGCGATGCGGCAGTACCGGTCTGTCAGATAGGATTTTTAATTAAAAGGTATGCACCAAAGGAACGAAGCCCTTGATCTTCAGCAGCAAACCAGAGTGCTATACCCACCCGTTCGAACGCTTGGATCACAACAAGAAAGACACTTAAGCAATTCTGTTTCTGTTCAAGGGAGGATGATACAGTGTCTACAACGCGATACACCTGCTTTATGATGGAGTGAAACGAGCCGAAATCAAACTGTGATGAGGAAGGACATTCGCAATTACAGCTATTGATATAAATCTTTTTATGAGAAGCTTTTCAAGGATTTTGCTTAGGATAGGAAGGTGATTAATAGGGCGGGGGAGCTTGGATGTTGGGTTTTGGGATCATTTTAATTACCACCACGGTACCCGTTAGGTGTCACTACCGGTTCTGGAATGGTCTTGCCCTCCATTCTGCAACGAATCAGAGCAGAGCCAGTGGGTATATAAGCAGGGGCACGGCCCCATTGACCTCAAGCTAGTCAGCACGACGAGGTCGACAACGACGCAGACTCGTCAACTCGACTAGTTCTGGCTTATCACTAATGAAGGAGAAAACTATAGATCTTATCAATAGGATCTCTTTCAGGTTTGAGAACAAGGTAAACCTTATTTGGATACCAGCACATAAAGGACACCATGGCAATGAAAAGGCGGATGGCCTAGCCAAAGAAGGTTCTAATACTGCGTTTGTTGGGCCACAACCGGTATTACCTCTATGAGCACAGCGAAAGAGAGTATCAATAACTGGGGCATGAAACAATTCCTTAGGGAGTGGAATTTATCCTCCGGACACAGGCAATCGAAAGAGTTTGTTAAGGCGATCAAACCAGCTGAATCGAAATGGCTATTCTCTATCTCAAGGAAGGGAATTAGGAGGCTGATAGGTATTCTGACGGGCCACTGCCCACTGAGAAGACACCTCTTCGTAATGGGTATCCTACCAGATCCCTTTTGCCGCTTCTGCGAAATAAAAGAAGAAACGGCAAAGCACTACCTCGCAGAATATGATAGTATGCTAGGTCTAGATTTGAAATCTTTGAAGGAGAGGACATCACCAAATCACTCCCCGAGATAAAGTGGTCCAAAATCTTGGGGTTTGTGAACAAGTCCAAGAGGTTTATGCAGGACACGTGAGCCGACCTCCCGTCCCGGACCTTTTAGGGATGGGGTACGAGTCTACCCAGGCATTTAACCCCTCGGGTCTTGGTCGCCCACCCTGCATTATATATATATATAATATAGTTCTTATATAACTAATGAAGCACCTGACGAAGCAAGGGTACTCTCAGTGTTAGCCTCGAACTCGCCTTCTCAAGATAGCCGACTTGGCTTCAGGCAAACCGCTGCACTCGGCCAACTGCTGCACCAGAGTCCCTTCAACCGATGTAGAGTCAGCCGACTGACGTCCCCAGATCTCAGTCAACTGTTCTATTTACCAACAGGAACACACAATCGCACTCGGTCCCGGCCTCTATACATCGTCTCAACGCTACTCCTCCCTTGTCAGGGCCATCCAAAAACTCCCAGTCACTAAAACGGAATATTTCCACTGTATTGGGAAATGTGTTGTTTTTGTTTGAAAGATAGGTGTAATGAATTTTTTCATTTAAGTGAGATTCACACAAAGATTTGTTGAAAAGTGGGTAAAGTAGTTTGACCATCGAAAATTAACAATTTTGAAGACAATGGAGTAATTTTATCGGGGCCAGTGGCGGGTTTCTGATCCAAGTTTAATAATAATTTTTTTGTTATGTTTGAATTGTGTAACAAAATCCGGCATGGTGATAAATAATGATAATTATAATTTAAAATTGACTTAAATCATCAATATCGTTGATTATTAAATCCATTATATTTAGTGGTCTATTGACCAAATTAGTTCTTTTAATTAATCTTTTTATGTAAGGTTTTGGTAGAAATGAATCCCGCTAGTGACACAAATCGTTGACTACGTTCAAACTTAAAAAAGGAAATTTAAAATGCAACATCACGCTTTAAAAGGCATTTATAGGGAATTTTATATTCAGTTGTATTATTAAGACAGGACTGTAGAATACGTTTTAAAAATAGATATAGCCGTCCAAGTCTCCTGTAAGGTATCCAGAACAGATCAGTCGGAACGAACTCGGCAAAATGGATGAAGATGAACCGTCTGCTGGTCACAAGTGCATGAGAATCTTGTACTTCGTCTGGAGGGTGTTCACATTCATTTTCACCCACGTTGTACTCGTCACGATGGTCGTTGCTTACTGTCTTCTCGGAGCTGTGACATTCGAATCCCTGGAAATGGCAAACGAAATCGAAGTGAGTAAAATACAACTGCAAGAATTAGAAAACAAGTTTGCAGTCTGCAACTGAGTTTGGATGGACGACGTTTAGCGATAGTCAAAGACGAGGGATAGAAAAATACATTTGTACAGAAACATAAATTTAACATACCTATTGCAATATTCAAAACAGTGCCAAATCCTATGGCTAATTTAATATATCATTATAATCAAAAATATACTCCGGCAATAGTGTACACGTGACACGCTTTATAGTATACATCCAGTAAAAATGCAAGAATAAAACAAAAATATAAATATATAAATAAACATGGGCGTTTACCAACACAATTACAAGCAACAATTTTACAAAATGCTAAAACACAATACACATTCCAAAGTTTTAAATGATTAAATTATTTTAAAATATATTCTGCTTTGAATGCACGTTGCATTTTTCTTTCACCTTATTAATATCTGACGCATTGGTGTTAATTAATACTGAAACTTTATTAGTAAGTAAATTTTTTTTTTTAAATTTCATACTCTTTGAATTTTTGTTAATAACGACGCTGAGATCGTTTCACTGTTATGTTTTTCATGTTTGTCCCGAATTTTGTTGTTGTTTGAGTTTCTAAATTTCATAAATAGATATAAGTTTAGAAACACCGTCTTTTAAATAAGATTAATGTTTCAAATGTGTAATTTAATATTTTTCCCTACGGTTTTGTAGACCATAAAAGTCCTATTTAGCGCCACTTATTTTCAAAAAAACAAAAAACTTTTGTATTTATTTAAACGGTAAGTTGACAAAAATACAATATATAATACATTTTGCAATAAAAAAATACAAAACGGTCCATATGAAAAAATTACAACTTAAATTATGCACAAAGTAAACTACAATTGTACTACAATTACTAAAATTTATGATAAAATAATATAATAGAAAATATACAATGAATAGAAAAGTACATTTATAAAATTTATAATAAATAATAATTGAAGAAATGATATAATAATACAAAAATAAAATTAGTTGGGTAATGTCAGACATTTCTATGAGGTTCTTTTTAATAATAAAGTTTTAAAAAAAATATTTTTTAGCATTTTTCTTTGGAGGTTTTGAAATTTAATTAAATTTTTTAAATAATTTAATTTTAGCCAACAAATTTGAATAAGACTGATTAGTCTTAATAATTTCATGTTTAAAATAAAATAACATAAAAAATATATAATACGATATGTAGGTACAGGTTCTTGCAACTAGGACAGGAAAAGCCACAAGCAAGATCCTACACTAAGGAGCCGCTGGCCAGTGAGTTATAAAAAAAAACAGCACATCTACTCAGGTCGAGGTGCAGAAGGCCTTGTGGCCACTTCTTTTGTCCCTATACCTATACCTAATAATATATGAAATTAACAATCGAATTGTTTTGATAAAAGTAACGATCTTTCTGTATCCGTGCAGTATGGATATTTGCAGCCAAAATTGATAACTCTTTCAATTATCAAAACTACATTTCTTTCAAATATGTATAATTTAATACTCTTTAAGTTAGACACTGGTCTCACAAAATAATTTGGTGTAGAAGATGGCCGAAACAATAGATTTTTGACAAACTTAGTGATGATTACTTCCAAATTATCTAAATAGAGCAATGCCCAAATTTCAGCCGTGTAGATGAAGACTGACTTCATTAATGTAACAAATTATCTTAATTTAGTGACCAGAGAGTTAGAAGAATCAGAGTTATAAGTAATTAGGATTCTTTTTATATTGGAAGATGCCAAATTTGCTTTTGAAATAAAGTAATCATAAGCAAGACTGAACTTCTCAGGCAAATGAGACTCCCAGATAAACATAAGATTTTACATATTCTATAGTCAAACTGTTAAAATGAAGGACTTTAAACCTATTTTGTCTACCCTTATGTAAAACTAACACCTTAGTTTTATCAATATTGATTGTGAGATCATTTTCCTTGCAATACTGGGGCAGAGTATTTAGCTTTTTCTGTACATCATGCCAGGAATGAGTCAAAATCACCAAATTATCTGTATATAAAAGCATGATCAATTCTCTTTTGTTTCCAAGCAATACTTAAAGGGGAGAATGGAAGTAAGGCCAAACAGAATAAAATATTTTTTAAGTTGAGTTTTTGTTATTGCAACACCAACACCATAGCCATACAAACTTATACTAAAATATACTTTTATATAATCACCAACCAAATGCAATAAAATTATAATATATCCTTTCATCCCTTTTATGCCTATTACTGAAGTACTCTAATGTAAAAACACTGTAATAATTTAAGCACATGAATAAACTAATTGTAGTATACTAATTTCAGGTGAAAAACAGAGTCGTAAACTCAAGGAAAACTGTGACTGATGATATGTGGAAAATGACGCAAGAAATGGAAGTGCTTCGATATGACAACTGGACAATTAATGCAGAAGCGAGAATAAGAGACTTTGAAAAAGAGCTGGTAAAAGCTATAAAAAAAGGTGGATGGGATGGATCAGAAGGACCTGAAGCTCTACAGTGGACATTTGCTGGATCTTTATTTTATTCAATAATTGTAATTACAACAATAGGTACAACTATTGCATTAGAAAAATATTACAAATGTGTTTAAGTTTTAAATTTACATCCTGTATAAATATTACATATGTACATACACATATATACATGTGTATATATTACAAAAGACACAATACAAAATTCAAATAATTGTACAGAATATATGAGCAACATCAGGCCCACACACTGGCAAAGTCTTTGTTGGGAGGGCAGGGATGACACTGAGAATGGTACTTGAGCAGGGCAACTAGCTATTTCTGCCCTGGGTCCTCGTCAGGGATGATCTCACTGTGTAATCCAAGTCGTCTACTCTGTATACTCCACCATACTTTTACCGAGCTAAGTTCTAGGAACATAGATTGTAGTATGCTGTTTTAACCCCGTCTCCTCAGATGGGACTAACTAACGCTGTGGAAGGTACAGTGTAACATTGTCCACCCTGTAATGTTTACACAGCGGAATTTACCTTGTCTGCACCAATTTTCTCAGCAAGGTTACTGCTTCCTCCTTAACGGTTCTCTGTCAACCCTCTCGTAGTGCTCTTGTTGGAGAGATAGCACAAACTCAAATGTGCAAAAAATGGTTGTCGTCTGGGTACACAGACACAAGGTCTGGAGAGTAATGAACAGGTGGATAAGGTGGCTAAGGCCTGAATGTCTCAACCTTCAAACTTAACCACCACTATCTGGTCCCCTGACACTAAAATACAATTAAAAAAACTTGATTAAAAGAAAATGGCACCATTGGTTGGCTGAGCCAACAGAGTAGTTCTCACGTATCAAGAGCACTGTTGATAGGTGGCCGTCGGAGAACCAGATTCATAGAAGAATGGTCAGCCTCCCGATTAAAAATGGGCCATGCAAGGTTGACACATGGACACTTACTTTTGGGCCAAAGCCCACGTACGTGCTCGGCATGCAGAGAAAGGTTGCTTGAGTGTCCTACCTAACAATTAAATAGAGAGTGCATAGGAATGCCACCCAATATGAGAATTGTGCCTGAGCATGGCAGGGAGTATCTTCTTCAGATTCTTGGAGAAAGCAAGGTTGTTTTATTATATTTTGTAATGAAAGTTTTGTGTCACTACGTGTGTGAGGCTGACACGCATATACTTAATTTTGGGCCAAAGCACATGTATGTGTCCAGTATGTAGAGAAAGGTTGCTTGATGTGTCCCATCAAATTGAAGGGTGCAACCCCTAGAGAGAGTGTATAGGAATGCTCTCAGATAGGATAATTGTGCTTGAATATGACAGTGAGTACCCATGTTCTGATTCTCGATAGAAACATGGTTGTTTTATTGTATATAGTAGTAATAGTTTTGTGTACCTAGCATGTATGGAGAGTGAATGTATTTATTGGCATGAATGTGTAGTGAAAGAGGGCTGACGGCAGAATATTGAGTACCCAATCAGCCCTCAAGTAGTTTAGTTATATAATAGGGAAAAGGGTGATTGAGGAATATTGAGTACTCCACCACCCTGAGTGAATAAGAAAGAAAGTATTTAAGAATGAGTGAGAGTGTGAATGGGTTTGGATTTAGGAACTGATAGTGTTGGGGATCCCTGAATCCCAATGTTGGTGGGCTGGAGGGATAAATCTGAGGTCTGACCCTGGAATACCAACACCCAGCATTCTCGAGGCCTGCTGATAATTTATTGTAAATAATCAAAGCTGGAATGGCTGGTGGACTGGGAGAAGTAATAGCCTTAATACTGTACATGCGTGTATGTGCATTTATGTGCAGATTGGAACTTACATAAATCAGTAATCAGTAATCAAATTAGTATAGGATTATAGAATAATTTCATATTTTTATGAAAGATAATAATAAAACATTACTCTTAATTTACATTGCTTGTTCTATTATGTCTAGATATAACTAGATAATACATCTCAATTAGTGCAGATATATTGAGAGATTTCTGCTTAGAAGTTTACTAAAGATTTATATTGTGACTTTTTTCAGGTTATGGGCACATTGCTCCGAAAACAAAACTTGGAAAAGTCACCACCATATTTTATGCAATTGTCGGAATTCCACTAATGCTATTATGTTTGTCAAACATTGGCACTATAATGGCAAACTCTTTCCGATTTCTGTATTGGAAAGTGTTTTGTTACAGTTGCACTAAAATTGAAAAAAGAAGAAATAGCGCTAGGAGGAAATTGTTTAACCGACAAACAATTAATGGGTACATTTTTTTATTTATATTTCTAACTAAATGATGATAATTTTTGTTAAACACAAAACAGATAACAGCAGATATTTTACTATCTAATTAATTCTATAGAAACATTTTAAAAATTGTAATGATGTCTGAAGTACATAGTGGTTAATTACTGATTGTCTTCGTGCCCTATAATCTTGAATGTGTCTTGTTTTGACCGAATGGGTAAAAATTCGATGCAATAAACATAAAATATAGTTACAAATTAGTATAGGTTGATATTATTCACTTGTTTGTACATTAATGTGTCATTGAATAAAAAAAGCTTAGATTACATTATAAATATTAACAGTTTATGCATATAATTCAGTAAAAGCAAAAATAAAGAGGCAATGGGTAGACCGTAATAATAAAATACATCATAATATAATATATATTCATAATATATAATATATATGGATCATAATATCCATAATTATTCAGAAAACCAAAACAATTTGTAAATATGTTCTATGATGATTACCTTTGTCTGCCTATTTGCCATTTTCTTAACGTGTTTCGACATTGATGAAGAATCAGAACAGATAAATTGAGATCATGATGAGATCATCAATGATCAAACTGAACAAATGCTATACAACTTTCAGGCTGATGGACATGGTGTCACAATTTTTTTTCAAAATGTTCAGCAGACTAGTGCAAAATAAATCCTTGTTTATTATAAACGTTTTTTTCTGTTTCCATTTATTTTAGGGCTTACAGATTGGGAAAGGATGATTTAATGAATGTTTATGAAATTCAGGATTTGAACGTTGATCCTCAATTTCAACAGCAAATTCTTCAGAATGCAGGAGGTTATACTATTAATATTATATATTTTTCTTATTTTGCATTATTTGCATACATAAAAATACTTCTAAGAAGAACGTCCCAGTTGTATTATGGTTCACACGAATTATTATGTGAAACTGCAATGTGCTGGATTATACAGTAGAAACATATACTTAAACATAGATTATTCAATCTATCTTCATTAATTATTTTATTACTACTGATTATTTCAGATGAACAACCAATACAGTCAAGGCAGTCAGTTATCATCAATAAATATGCACTAGAAAATGAAACTGTAGCAGGAAGTAAGTTCAATTTCTTTAATGAAAATCACCAGTAATTTTTGAAAATTTATCAATTTTTCCTATGGAGACATCGTAATTTTAATACTGAAATATAACTGTTTAATTTTTAAATAATCTATCATTAAACAATTTGTAGTTCAGTCGTTTCTCATCATCCTGACCTGCCACCATCGCTTGTTTGGTCTATCAGACGCATTTTGCTATCTTAAGTGGTGGGTCTAAGGAAAATGGTGAAATGCTTAAAGTTGTCTGACAGCAAAACCTGCAGGATTGGGCAGGTTGGAGATGATTAGAAATGGCTAAACAGGGTCATCACCCCACACAAATCTCACCATTGTAAAATTCTTAAGCATTTTTGGACATCAATTATTAATTAATTTTAATGTACCAGGCAACCAGAAAATATTGTGCAACTGCATTTCATTTGTTACATTTCATCAACATTTCTATTTACATAGGAGGTTTATGTAAATAGAATATTTTCATCATGTAATATCAAGAGGATAATGAGCCAGTTCATTAAAAAAAGAATGTCTTGAACAGTTCACTATAAATTATAAAATTCTTTCTCATGACTTCAAAACCCATAATTCTTATATGCTTATTGTATGGGTAATACAATACTAGGGGGGCTCAATACTAGGACAGCTAATTGAACTGATGAACGTACTGCTTAAAAATGATTCTAAACATCTAAAAAAGTACTACACCAAAAACAAAGCATCACCTTTTATTGGTGAATATTCGATTTTCGCATCAATGGGACAGGGTAATTTGGTGACAGCCAATGGTACTTCCTAGTGTTACTGTAGATGATTTTTCATCGCATGTGAAAATTTGGTCAAAAAATGCCTCTACTTTGTGCTGTCAAAGCATTGAAAGGCAAATTTATTGGTTGAAGTTTGTTACAGTCAGTCAATTTATGAGGTTGCTCAGCTTTCACATCTTCCCAAATCAATGTATGCTAGAGCGAATGGTTTCACTTAAATTGAAATCCTGAAATGTTTGACTTAAATCAAGTTCTATAGCGTCCTATAAATGTTTGATCAGATTTCACATGTGACAAAAAATCCTGTACAGTAACACCAAGAGGTTGTACCATTGGCTGTCACCAATTTGACACCACACCTGTCCCATTGACCGAAAACCAGCTTTTTGTTTGGTGGAGTACTTTTTTATACTTGTTGAATCTTTTTAAGCTGTGCATCTAATTATTTTATTACTAAACATAGTGCAAGTTTTATGAGATGCCTCGGCCACCCTAGTGCCCAGCTTAAATTCATACAATAAGCACACTCTAATTATCAGTTTTGTAGCCATGAGAAAAAATATAGTTTATGATTTACAGTGAAAAACCGCACGAACTTTTCTGGTAACCTAGTAATATAAAAATCATTTTAAAAAAATATGATAAGTAACTTCCTTCATTATTAGTTTTAAGGATACGCAATGTACTTTTATTCCAAACTAATAGTTTTCTTGCGGTTTGATACTGTATATAACTAAATGTTTTATAGCAATTGTCGTATTTTGCTAATATATCAAGAGTTAGAAATTGTGGTTTTTGTTTTTAGAACAAGCAATTGTTGTGGCTACACCTGGGCCGCTTGAGCGAGGTGGAAGTTCAGGTAATAGTATTATAAGTTAAAAAAAAAAAAAACATTAAAAACAAAATTTTACTCTTAGTTAAAAGGGGCCAAGATCCAGGAGGACATATCACCAGAATGAATTCTGCTTCAACAAAATCAAGTAAAAGCAAAGGAACAAGTGCTTCCGAGTTTGGTGAAGATGTTCAACCACAAGTTAGGCCAGTTCCTATATGGCTCTGTGTTTTCTTAGTCGTGAGTTATATCATAGGTGGTGCATTTTTATTTTCCGATTGGGAAGATTGGAACTATGGAGATTCTGCATACTTCTGTTTCATTACGTTAACGACAATTGGATTTGGAGACTTTGTTCCGGCACAAAAAGTCAATAAGAAGAACGGGGAAATCGGCATAGCATTGTGCTCGTTGTATTTGCTATTTGGAATTGCGTTGTTGGCAATGAGTTTTAATTTGGTGCAAGAAGAAGTTATAAACAATGTTAAAGCAATAGGAAGACACTTGGGAATAATAAAAGATGAATCTACAACTGAATATTATGGAGAATGAAAGGTTTTATAATTATTTTAAAATAAAGTTTCTTACTTTGGAACTAAAATTATTTTTCCCATTAAAATGTAAAAAAAAAGTTTATTCATGTGTTAAGGTATATATTTCATAAAACACAAAAATAATGTAAATACAAAAAATAGGCAGCTAAAATAACCATAAATTTATTTTATAACATCCATGTCCTGTTTAATTTAAAAAAAAAAAAATGCATTCCGGCCCTGCTAAAAAGGAAGACCTCATCTTTGTGCAAGAGTATTAAGGGCGTAATGGTTAGGTAGCCCCGATGAAGAGGAACCATTTTCACCAGACTTAGAATTGGCCATAGGAATTAACTTTGAGAATGATAATAATCATCAAATCAAAAAGAAAGACCAAATTGAGTGAAAATAGAATGAATTATGACACTTTGTCAATTTGTGTTTCAGTGCTTTAAAGTCCAAGTAATTCCTGCAATACAGCTTGACATCCAACTATTCTTAACTACTAGGACAAGTGGTCAAACCACTTTACAATACATTTTTCTTACTAATCAATTAAAAAGCCATGGGCAGCTGGGATTTGAACCCAGAACTGCTAGTGTGGCAGTTGGATGGAATACAAGTCGGACGCCCTAACCGCTCAGCCACTTTGAAGTACAAAATCATTTTAGATCCAAGGGTTGTCGAAAAGTCAAAATCGTTTAACAATATTTTATTAACAGCAATATAACAACAGTCTTTTCGATCTATTAAATGTCATTCATCTTTGACGCCCAAAAAATTATTGAGTTGCAGCCATAAATCCCTCCTGAGTGGTAAATTGTGGAGATGCTCTTTGCCAACTCTTTCACACTGCAATGAAATAAATAAAGTTCAGTAATAAATAAATTATTAAAAACCTTAGATTTACATCTTCAACTTTTTCTCCCTTATAATGTGGAGGGCAAGACTAGTTTTTTGTGAAAGTGCACCAAGTAAATTTTCTTCATTCAGTGTTGTACTCCACTTTTTGTACCAGTTTTCGATAAGCTCAAGGTGTTCTTGGATGTGTAGCTTAAATAGGATTTGAGTTACAGGAGAAAATTGGAGTATCTCCTGCATAAGTGGTGTAATGGCATTAGGGTTTATAAGTAGGTCAGCAGTATAAATGATATAAAGGAAGGGACAAATAATGCTGCCTTGAGGGATGCCGGCTTATATTTGTCCGACTTCTGAGAACTCATTGCCACACCTCACTCGAAGTAGCAATCGGTTAGATATGATTTTAGCCTGTTTTTTTTTTTTTTCTTCAAATGAAAGCAGAAAAGTAAACCTTCCCACAGTTCATTTCGTCGGCACACAAGTTGACATAACTGAAGGTGATTAGGTTTTGGTACGAAGCAATTTAATACTAGAAACGCCCTCTACTGTAAATCTTTTAAAACTTACTTATATCCCAGTTAAATGTAATTAATATAATAAAAACTAAGAAAAATAAACAACCATTTGTTAATATTAATGAATAAATGTTCTAAAAACCAAATAAAGATGCTACAAAGAAATCAAAGTAAATAACTCAATAGTATGACATAGTAACTTACTGATGGCTCCTTGATGTTGAAAGACGATAGTGGAGAATGAGATTTATTATTTACTGGATTTTTAAAAAACCTTTTATTAAGATCCAAAGGAAATATATGACCTTCTGTACTGAAGATATATTTCCCTAAATATTTGTTAATAATGTTTTCTTTGTCAAACAACTGGAAAATGTGAAATCAATATGAATACAAACAGTATATAGTATAACATTTATTTTTTACAAACCAAAATGAGATATTTAGTTGTTTCACTTAAGAAAAAACTCTCCATTCTATCTTCTAAGCTCATGTCATTCACGCTATGAACTGTAGCAAATCCACATTTAGTCCTTGTATATTTGTTTAAGCTTTGTAAAATATCTTTGCCGACATGCAAATAAAAAGGATTTTTTGTTGCCTGCAATAAAGTATAAATTTGAACAAATGTATTTTCTTGTTTATGTGTGCCAAAGCCCGTGTATGTATTCAGCTTGGATTTTAATTGTTTTAATTGAAGAGTACCACCAGGACTTCTTTTTTTTTTATTTTCTGCACCTTGACCCATTTACTAAAGCCTTGCAAAATAATTGAAGGGTACCATTCCTTCGCTACATATAAAAAGTGTGAAGAGATTTCACCCAATATGAGAATCGTGCTTAAGCCCAGCAGTGAGTATTTGGATCCCTGGATTTTTTGGAGGAAATAGGGGTTTACATGGCAGTTTTATTAGATATAGCTCTGATAGCTTTGTATCCCTAGCGTGTGTTGAGAGTGAATGAATTTATTGTTGTGTGAGAGGACCTGTGGAAAAACGCTGAGCACCACATTGACCCCCCCCCCCCCCAATTAGGTTAGCTAAAGGCTGATGGAGTACTCCACCTAGTAAATGGTTTGTAAATAAGAAAGAATGTACTGTAACCAAGAAATTAAGTTAAGGCCCGGAGAAGGTGTGGATGTTGTGCTGGCTCATTTTCGGGCTTTGTTCAGAGCTGGAGCGGGCAAAGAGGAAGCCTCATCAGCATGGGCAAAGGATTCAACAAGTGGTAAGCTACAAGCTGGACCTACCAAGTTTTCATATACCAGTTCCAAAAATTGCAGAAATTGATTAAATGAAATCATATGAGGACTAAACATAAAATTCAGTAAAAACTAACTACATATTACCATCCAGGTGAACATAGATCATTATAACCAAATATGTAATGGCTAATAAAAAATGGAATAAAAAAATAAAAAATACTTGCTATTTATGTATTTCTAATTAAATTATTGTGTATACCTGATATAGCATATATGTGGATTCAATCAATTCTGGTCTAAGAGGATAAAAAGGAACTTGAGGCATTAAAAACTGCCAATTCCACCTTTCCGGCAATACACCATATTTTTTCCATATCACATAGTATAAAGCGTGTGTACAAATAGCTTCATTAACATCACCATGAAGGACCTAAAAAAATTGGTAAAAATTATAAATTACATGTCTCTGGTAGTTTAAGACATAATCAAATACGATTTGTTGTAAAGATTTCTACAAATAAAGAGTAAGTTCTTGCCTGAAGACCAGCAAATGATGCCTGCATGGAATCAATCCATGTTGAATAAATAGACGCTGAATCCATATTAACATTTACAAAAAATGGATGATTTCCTGTTCCAGAATTGCACTTTGGTCGTCTAAAAATAGTGTCAAGAATTATACGTTATGGGAAAGAATGTCAATATAACATAATTTTATTCAACGTGAGTTTCTAGACCAGAGTACACTTAACTGGAACATCCGGTAATAAATAACTATTTCAGTCAATTCTACATTTAATTACATCATATCATGAGATTTCAGAATGTTAAATTTAAAAAAAGGTAAAAGAAACTACAAGCATGAATGTTATAAGTTGTGAGATGTGTTGATGTTTGTAAAGTTTGGACGAATGAAGATTGATCATGTCTTATCATCATAATGCTCTTGTAGTGAGTTTTTAAATTATTTTTTATTCTTTTCTTATTATGAATTTTGTTTTTAATTTAACTTTGTTTAATCCTACCCCACAATTTGTATTAAACAATTATTGTCTATTGCTTGTTTTGTCAGTCAATTGTATATCAGCATCTTAAGTAGTCTTTTTGGTCATATGTGTTTTTTATTTAGTGCAATGGTTAGGGCTGAATGGAATATTATCCGAATTCAGGGCTATCGAGATTCGAACAAGGAACCCTTCCAGTGATGAGTCGCCATGTCTGCTTAACCATTTCGGCAACCCGTATTGTGTTTTTATACTTTTAAGTTGCTGAGTATAGTACCTATCATATAAGAATTGTTATGGTGAAAATAAAAAGTTTCAAAAGTAAAATTGCAACCAATATTCATTAATAAATACAAAATGTTATCATTATTTCCAGTAATATTAGATGTTAAAATATATAAATTCTTAAGTGAATAATAATATCTGAATTATTTTATAAGACATACCCTTTCCTTAAATGTTCTTTGATGCTTTCATATGCTAAATGAAACATTTTATAATCTTCACTTTCGCCAAACATTATGTACGACTTAAATAAATATTCAAAAAATGAGTCCAGGCCAGCTCCCAACCCACTCAATTTTCCTGTCCATTTTCCCGTCTTAGCATCAATTACATTGCCTGAAATGTAAACAAAATAAGTATACAAGTATTAAATAAAATTAAAATGCCCTTTGGGGTCACTGCGATATATAAACAAACATATATCCATTAACATGTCCATTATGGCAGAGATTTGTAAAGACACTCCTGAAATTTGTTTATTTATTTATTGTTTTAAAAATATATTTAGGTTCATAAATAACCTTAAGTAAAATTTTGCTAAAAAAATTAGCTTTTCATATTTTTTGGCATTTTCTAGAACAACGACTGTATATGGGTTAGGTATGGTTTAGGTAAACCAGCAATATCTATTGTTTACTCACACAATATTTATGTATGGCCACCCACATATTAAGAAAATATTGGCGAAGTGTATATTTCTACTTACTAACCCTTAATAAATTGAAAAAAAAGGGATATAAATGAAATTAACATAGTATTTACTTGAAATTTATTACTTATGTATTGATACTTTCAAATGATTAAACACATCTGTAAAATTATTATGTATAAAATGTATTTTTAAACTATATTATTAAAATAGATAAAATCTTAATGTGTGGCAAAAAAATTATAATTATTTACAAATTCAGTAATTATTTCCATATTATTCTTCTATGTTTCTATTGTGTGTTGTGTTTATGTTAATTTACTGGAATGAAAGTAATTTATTAGCATGGAAGGAAGGGATTGTTTAACCCCACCGCGAGGAATATCGAGTACTCTGGGGGAGTGAATGTGACCAGACATCTAAGTTTGTGGTGCTGTATGCATATATCGTATTGTGAGTTTTGTTTCTATTCTGTAATCAATGCTGAATCCAGGTACACACGAGAGGCTAGCATTTTAGAATATCAACAAATTATACACTTAAAAGCAGAGTCAGTAACCATCATATTCATTTCTAACAACAGTTAGAACTGAAGATATTTAAAGTGGATAATGAAAAATCTTGTGGAAAATACCGTACAACCTTTTAAAATATAACAATAAAATTATTAATTGTGAAGAATCTTATATGTATAGGAACTTGTACATTTGGCTAAAAACGGCTGTTGTTAAACATCACCATTGAAATAAATAAATTATACTGCCAGAATTTGGTTGGAAACACAGTCAACACAGAGCTGAATAGGCCCTACTATACCTACTACCAAATCCTTCTAAACAACCTTTTAACTTTGACGCCACCTAGCGTCCATCCATCTTAGTAGTCGTCTGTTTAGAACGCCTGGTGGTAGCTTGACCGGATTGAATGTGATTGAAGTGGAACCTAGTTCAATTTGTATAAAATGCACTTTACATTTGTAAATATAAAAAATATTTACATTTCTACCTAAAAGTCCAGTGCTTTTGGACCTCCTGTCCCATATCGCTTTAGTAGCTCTTCTCGCATGAATCTCAAAAACTGGGTCTCCCAAAAGTCTACTTAAAATACCCATTTCAAGAAGTAAAGATCCTGCTCCCGCAGGACAAGTTTCTGTGGAGAAACTGAAGTCTGGTTCTCTCTCCTTTAAATTGATCTGTAAAAAAAAAATTTAAATTGGGATAATTACGTTCAACAGGAAGTTAAATTTATTAATAATAATTTATTCTGAGATTTCTAATGAATTACTTATTGTCAACATCAGGAAGACTATATTGCCACTTAATCTTGTACATGTAACTTTAAGGAACAAAAGCTTAAAATACATAAGATTTCTAACGTGATGTAACAAATGAAATGCGTACTTACTAGTGTTTTATCAATAAGACACAAAAAAAGATACTTCACACGTTTTATAAGACTCGTACTTACCCTTGGAAAAGGAATTCCTGTTTTGCTTTGTTCAAAAGCAGGAAGTAGTCGGGAAGCTAAATCATGGGCTAAATGAAGTAATTCTCCATTATAGCCGTCGGGTTTTATTGGGCCAAATGGTTCATCTGGATCAATAATTAGCAAATGAGCAGACAGCAAAGCACCAACTAACCTTATAACAAATTAAACAAAAAATCTCAGAAAAAGTTGTCCGATTATTGAAATATTGTCGCTGCATGAGATTTAAACACTGTGTTATTTCAATTTCTTAAACTTCCAGGGTTTTGATTCTAACCCATTATTTGTTATTTCAGGTTTTAACAAAATGTAAACATGCAAAATGTATTTTTTACCATTTAATTAAACTGATAAGTTAACAAAGAAACAAACTGTGAAATAATGAGATCTACATATGGTAAAAATGGAGCTTGGTTGTCTCTAATCATCCTGGTATGTCTTTTTTATGAGTTTTAGCATTTCACCCTCTTCATCAGACAAACCAGTAAGAATAGGTGGTACTGGTGTGTTTGGAATCAATCAAGCTACAATTAAACACACATCTAATTTAACTAACTGCGTACTTCACTCATAAACTCGTTACATTTCACACAACATTTTTTGCTTATTTACAAAATGTTACAACATTAAATATACTCTCAGGCCAAAAAAAAATACATAAATAAATATAATGCAAGAAAATGTAATATTGAAACTTCTCTGGTCAATCACTTTCTTATGTAAGTTTCTTAATACACTACGTTTACAAATAAAATAAACAGCAGAAAACAAATTTGTCAAGTTTTTTAATGAGTTTCCTCAACACTTACCATTCCTAGTTTTCCTATTCTTCTTATAAATTATCATCTAAAGAACAATTTTTGACAAAAGCAGCAAGAATAGGTAGTGATAGACTGTAACTATCAAAATGCTGTTCATCTTCTTATTGCAACAACTTCAAAATTTTAAAAATTTTATGTTCAAATCATTAAAGTGAACCTTTTCAATTAAACTAACAGTTCCTAAAAAAGAACACTTTAATGTTGACTCAAAAGGCAGACAAATTCATATTTATTTATTCATATATTTAAGATTTTGGCCTAGCCTAGCCTAGCCTTTAATTTCTACATTAAAAAAAGAAAAAAAAGGAAAAGAAACATACCTGATATTAACCTCAAAAACTTGAACTGTACTGCCCTTATCAAAATCAACATATTGCAAAATTAGGGAGACAGCTCTTTTAAATTCTGTGCCGTTTCCAATTACTGCTAACGTGTCCAGGGCATCCACAAGTGTTAGACAATAGTCACCAAGTATATCATTAATATTGATATTTGTCCTGAAACAGATATTTTTATAAGCTAATCGACTAAGACCAAGAGAAGAAAAATATTTTAGGAAATAGTGTTTCAAATTTAAAGGAGCTGAATTCTAATTTAGCTGTGATATTATTGCATGCTCATAGAGCGACGGGGATGGACCACATAGAGAAATTGTTTTTGTAATTCTACTTTGAGGGCTTTTTTAAGACAATATAGTACTGTATGGGAGATATTGAGTCATTGCGATCGAGATAGATGGTGGTTTTACATTTCGGTTTTTGTAAGATATTTTGTGAGACGATGAACTTGCAGTGTGGTAGTTTCCGATCATCTTGGTCTGCCTATCTTTGGTGGGTTTTTAGTAAAGATGGCAAAATGTTGAAACACATGTGACCAACCCTGCAATGGAAAGGCAGACCTGTATGATGGAGATGGCTACATTTCCGCTTTTGTTCAAATTGCAAAAGTGACAGACTGTGTATGGTTTTTACATCAATGACTGAAAGTTAAAAAATTAATCAATAATCAATACAATGCAAACATAGAATGTCTGGATCCATGGATAAAAACATTTGAAGGAAAAAACCAGTCTGGATCAAATAAGGGTTTTATGAGATATAATTATAACTAACAATGGCATACAGAGAAAAATTGGAGAATGTCTTTCAAATCTTTTCAAGCACCAACTTAACATCCTGCCAAAACAAAGTTGATTAACCTGTTAAAATGAAAGTTATGAAAGTAAGCAATCTACTGTGACTTCCCCATAGAAAGGAACATAACTGAGGTAGATCAAATTATTAACTCCTGTTCACTTTCTAATTTAAGCTTAGTGATACTTTTGAATCTGAACTTTTGATTTTCCAAAGTGGTATTTATACAGTGCATATGTGTTTTACTTTTCAGAAGAAAACTTATGCAATTAGCTTCAGGAATTGCATACAGATTTATCATGCTTAAACTTAGTCGATCTTTTAACCAAAATTACATTTTTTTTAATGGGGTTCGCAACAGCAGAGGTCATATCAACCCCCAAAATGGTAGTGGCCGGTGTTTTTGAAAAAAACCCATTTGTAACTGTACCCTTACAGTGATGAGTCGTTACATCAATTCCTTAACGATGCCACACCTACATTATTACAGACCTAATAAGGTTGATAAACAAAATTAGAAATACAAGCAAGCAAAAAAAGCGGCAGATACTGCCATCTCTGAGAATGAGTGACATGGATCATGTTTTATTTATGAAGCCGATGTCCAGATACAGTACTACCATTTTGGACATGCATTACAAAAATTAATAAAATTGAACCTAGGAAAGTGTTCAAATCCGTAAAAGTGATTTTGTTTGGACTCTGGTGCAATCCACAATAGTTTGGTTGTAGTGGACAGGAATGTCTTTAAACAAGCATGCCGCCCAGAATTGAAAATACATAAAGCCTGATTAAATAATGAATAATCAACTGTTATTACCACCTTGAAATACCATGCTAAGAAAAATTAGCACGGCATACTAGCACATCATAACTGAACAAAAATGTAGGTGGTGACATTTCCTCCTAGGGTCTGCAGGTTGATGAACCCCTAGTTTGGTCATTTCCAATCATTTGGTATGCCTACCCTCAATATATTAGGTCCCTCTCAGACATTGGAGAAAACAACAAAATTAACTTTCAATTAGTTAAGGTTTTTAGTTGAGATAAAAAAGTCAAGTGTCACAAGCGGGATTCGAACCCACGATCCTTCAGCTAGATACGCCACTGCTCTACCACCTGAGCTATCGTGACCTCGATCCATTCGGACACTAACTTCCCATCTCAACCCCACCTTTTGAATTTTCCCTCATTTTTGCCATTTCTTCAAATGTTGTGTAATCTATTTGATTCTCAGCGACAAATGAAATGTCCACGGAGAGCTTTAGTGAAGATATACTACATTTAACTTATTAAATTAATTATTAATTGAAAGATATTAATTGGTCAAGTGGACCACGAAAACTAGTGAATTTAACAAAATTAACATTGAGCGTGCAGAACAAAGGGGCAATGAAGAGGCAAATAAATTTGACAAGTTAAGTTCCACGACACCCAGTGGCCCTAAACCCTTTAGTGGCATACCAAACTGCCAGAAACATGGATCCATCAGAAAATGGATTGAAAATAAATTCTTCGTTCAATGGGAATGTAACTCAGAACAAAGGCATGTAAAAAATTCAACAAAGGACCATCACAGAAACTAACAGCAAAACTACAAAATCTAGTACGTTAGAACTGAAATAATAGTAGGACTGCTAACTACAGTGCAGATGTTGCCAGGAAGAAGATAAGACAGCAGAACATGTCCTCTGTTGGTGTGAAGGCTTATGTATGCTAAGATTCCTACACCTGGGAGAGGAAAAGCCCAGGCCTGAAGGAAATGCACAGGAGTAATTTGGGGCCAATAAGCAATTGGGATTTAAAATTGGAACATAGTCGCATAGTCGTTGACCAGGCTACACTTAGAACCAGTAGAGATAGGATATATGCAATTGGAGATATAGCTACTTACTTAGGCAAGCTAAAGTTGATACTAAATGGTTTTGCCGAGAGCACTATGGCTTGTTATGACATACACAAAGTGATCCGCAATTCTCCAGTTAAAGAAAATTCCTGAAGAAGCTATTGATAAAACAATTGTTCAGGCTGCCCTTGAAAAAGGTTTGAGATCTGGTAAAAGGCTTTAATGAGGAGCTCCAGACAACATTGGAGATGCACAATAGATCAATACTGATCACAGTGCTCAGTTCATAAAGAGGCTCCTACTATAATATAATCTAATATCTCACTTCTCACTGTTTTGGTTTATCAGATGTCACATGGGTTTTGAATTCTAGTAATCTTCAGTGGTGGCTAGGTCCTAGGTGATTGTGATGCTTTATCAGTAGTACTAGTACTGCCATTTTGAAACTCCCAAATTAATCAGCGAAGCAGTTTTATAGTGCCTTATTACATAGTGCCTGATTTTTTTTTTTTTTTTAAGAAAAGTACATTTTCTATGACATTAAGATATTTTGAGGTGGATAATGAACCTTTTGCATCATGCCCATCATCAGTTGATCCTCCTCCTGTGGGAGCTCACTAACTAGCTATGGACTATTCGGTCAAGATGAATCCTGGCTAGGCCATAGTGTACGAGAAAGTTGTTAAACAAATAGGGACTCGACAATTTGACAAAGCCTAAGACTTGGTTACATAATGATAATAGTCATAACGACAGATGAGAGTATCATAAAATAAGACAGAAAAACAAACATTCCAATATGACTCGAATAAGTGTGCACTTTTATCAGGATAATTATACATAATTGACGATGGCATACACCGAGTAATTGGAGACTATCTGTCAACAGGTTGTCACCTACGGATTTTCGTGATCTCTCCCTCGTCCTGCACATAGGATCGGATTGAGCTCATCAAATGGGAAGGCATATTTCATATAGTTGTCGTATCCGAAGTAAAACATTTCCTTCGCTTTGTCCAACATCTGTACACGTAGATTCTCCGGGAAGTGCGAGTACTTTGACAGGAAGTTGGGCCAGCTCGAGTTGAATATACCGAGATCTGAGCAGCCGCTGAATTTACTCATAAAACACAATGTGAACGCAAATATGAACCATTGGTGTAAGGAGAAAATCGCATCGTTTCTACGGATGTCTGTCATACTATAAAGAAATGTTCAACTGGACTACGTCTACACTTAAAAAAAAGTCGACACGACACCAAACACGACATACGGAAGGTTACTGTGTCAGCCTGTCAGGATCAGTCACAAGTGTCATATCCATATGTCACAAATGTCATATGTCACAAGTGTCATTTCTTGAATGAATCCGACACAGACAACGGTAATACACACCCCCAAAATTATTAAAGATTTTTTTAATGAACAAAACCGAAATAAATAAAATTAATTATAAATTTGAATTTATCTTTTTTTATAATACTTTAAAAAAATATAAACTCAATTTAGAAACAAATTTTTTTTAGCAATTTCCGGAGCACCCCAAGGCTCACACTTTTGCCCTTTGCTTTTTCTACTATTTTTTAATGGTAGCACTCACATTTTCCATGGTGTGTTCTTAATGTTTTCAGATGATCTTAAATTATTTACAGAGATCAATAGGGTTCAGGTTCATGATGCAATTAGTCTAAACCGAAACTTAAAACTTACAGAAGCACTTCAGCACTACTCCATCTCTACTAAGCACTACTTAGAAAATCCCCTTGGACTAATCCCGACCATTTTCCAAGCTGAGGTCCATGCAAGACGACTCCGAGTACAGTAGTTAATAAAGAAAAATATGAAAGGTCCACAGATTTACATATTTTCAGACAGACAGGCAGCTATAAAGCCACTAAATGTGTACGCTTTCAGCTCCGAATTTGTTAGAGTGCCTAATAGTTTGGGAAAACTCAAGATTACTTAAAAGTGGGTTCTGGGACATGAAGGTTAGAAGGAAATGAATAGGCTGACCAATTAGCTAAAAAAGGGCAGCTTTCTCACCCATGGGACCATAACCATGACTAGGTGCACTGGAGTATGTGCTTAAGTTGGAACTAGAAAAATGGCTTGAGAAAGAAAAACAGGCACTGGACAAAAGCACCAGAAGCTGAAATACATGCCACCAATGCTAAACTCAGAAGAGTGATAGGACTAGTCACTGACATATGAGAAATCATCTATATAACATGGTATATTCATCAATGAACCCATTTATAGGGTTTGCAATGAGGAGGAAGAAACAGCCACCCTTATCATCTTCAAATGTGAAACAAATGCTCAACGGAGACATAACCAACAAAGAAAACCAGGGAAAGGAAGTGTAGCAATGACAATCAATGCCATAGTATTCCTTAAGAAAAAGGATCGAGTCGATTGCACTAAACTTAGGGACTTGGAAAGTACAGTAAGCAATTCCTAGTATCCATTCCTAACATCATCACCAGGCAAGCTAAGAGATTTATAAATCTCTCAAAAAGTAAGGCAAAGGAACTCACAGTGGGCAGGACTTGAGAAAAATGATAGGTCTCATTACCAGCCACTGTCTTCTGAATTACTACCTAAAGCAGAGATATATACATGCCGACTCATTTAGGAACAACCAGACTCGTAGGAACATATCCTTTGTGAATGTGAAGTCAGGTTACTTCGGTAACACCAAAAGAGGTGCAAGAAGAAGCACCGAGGAAAGACTTAGTCTTATAATATGTATATGATGTTTGTATATGTACAAGACGGTGTTCAGAAAATTTAATTAGATTGAACCTTTCAAACTGTTCTGTTATAACATTTTCTAAAGTCGCTAATACAATTCAACATGCTTATCATTTAAATAACATAGCATGCTCCGTCAGCTATGTTCTGTTTTTCTAGGAAACTGCTATTCCTCACTTGCGTTTTCCTTAATCATGATAATAAATTGCTCTAATCCTGTACCATCCCCAAAATATGGAAAACATTTTACATCATTCCTGTTATAAAATCAGGAAACAAAGCTCTCATATCCAACTATCACCCTATCTCCAAACTGTACCATATCAGAAGCGTCGTAAGGGCGTTCTACCACCACCAATCTGTTACTTTTCCAAGACTATGTTATGTCTATGTATAAGATGTCTTATATCTAGATTTCTCCAAACCATTTGATTTGGTGAAGCATTCTTTTCTAATTGATAAATTGTGTGCATCTGGTATTCCTGGTCAAAAATGGTTTAGCTCCTACTTGGCTGTAAAATTGGATAATTCAAGAAATTTCCTGATTCCTCTGGTGTTCCTCAGGGTTTGCTTCTTGGCCCTTTTCTTTTCAAATAATTTATTAATGATATTGCACTTTGTTTTTCCAATATACCATTTTCTTTGTTTGTTGACAATGTCAAAATTTTCAAACGCATGTTTCTCCTGTTGCAGAGTAGTGCATGTCTCTCTGTTGATGAGAATATTAGTAGGACTGCTAAGTGCTAATAAGACACTGCAGACTCCAGAGGCATATGTATAGACTTTTTTTTATGAGGGTTCGCAACAGCAAAGGTCATATAAAACCCTCAGGGTACCGGTGTTTTTGAAAAAAAAGCCCATTTGTAAGTATGTCGGGTTTGAATACAGGGCCGCTGGATTCGAACCCGGGACCTTTACCTTACAGAGATGAGCGCCATATCAACGACGAAACCTTGCGGCCACCGAAGCCCCCATATGTATAGACTTGGAGTGGCAGAAACAAGCCTGTGCAGATATTGCCAAAAAGAAGAAGAGGCAGTGAAACGTTCTCTATTGGTGCGAAGGCTTATGCAGGCTGAGATTCTTACCCCTGGGAATGGAAAAAATTTGTATAACCTGAGTGATGCTCAGAGTGAGTTCTTGAAAAGCTTTGGGATCTGGTAAAATGTTTGATTTACTGGCACTCCCCCACCACTTTTTTGAACTGACACCTCACTGCTTGCACTGTGTAACTGCAAGGTCCAGCCTTGTTGAAGTTTGCTTCATTGAACAACAGATCGTCTGTTTTGTAAAGTAACTGAGTATTGTTTCCTGTTTAGCTGTAATTTTTGTTCTGTTAATTTTTTAAAGCAGAACAGTACGCAACCCAGTATCTAGTTATGAGAGGACTTATTAAGTGCAGTAACTCTTCAAATTGTTCTGATAAAAGTATACTGCTTTAAATTCCTGATTATCTGTGGTATGTAGCTCTCTTAAAATAGCTTATGCATCCAACCTCGTACCCACATGCTTTTCCTTTTTCTTCTCTATCGTAGCAATTCCTGTAAAATTTCTTCACACACAACTAAGGAAACCAAACGGATAGATTTTTTTATTTTGTCTTTGCGCACACATAATTTTTGTGATAAAATAAACTGTCACAACAGGAGAGGACAGCTGTCAGCTGTTTTGACTACCACTTGCACAATGTAAATGAGTACTGCCAGTAGCTGGCACTAGACAAGGAGTGTACCTCAAGTTGCATGCCAGTTACTAGCTCGGTATAAACTTCTATTGCCCGTCCCTGACGCTGGTATTGCCAGTAAGTACCTCAACTGGCATGCCAATAACTGACAACGTTTAATCAGCATAAGTTTAATGAGGAGCTTTATACAACAATGGAGATGCACACTTGAACAATACTGGTTGCAGAGCCCAGGTTGTAAAGAGACCAGCATCTACATCTAATCTCACTGTTTTGGTTTGTCAGCTGTCAGATGGGTTTTGAATTATAGTAATCTTCAGTGCAGACGTGATGCTCTAGCAGTAGTACTAGTACTGGCACTTTGGAAGTACCAAAGAAATCAGCGAAGCAGAACCTTGCTTAGTGCACAATTTAAAAAAAAAAAAAAAAAAAAAAAAAATGCAATGTCTGACATTCTGAGGTGGTTAATGAACATTAACATTTTGCAATCATGACCATCAATTAGGACTATTTTGATCTTCCTCGTATGGGAGCTCACAAACTAGCTATGAACTATACGGTGAGTATCAATCTGTAATAGATCTGGCTGAGTTGTAGTGTATGAGAAAGTCTGTGGATTTTCGTGTTCCCTCCCTCGTCCTGCTCAAAGGATCGGATTGAGCTCATGAAATGTGAAGGCATATTTCATATAGTTGTCATATCCTAAGTAGAACTTCTCCAGAAAGAGCCAATACTTTGACAGAAAGTTGGGCCAGCTTTAGTTAAATTTGCTTATATATATGTATGTAATCTTTGGCATAGTTAGATAATTTCATTGTGAGAGAAAAGATAAATAAGCTCGTCACATAATACAAGTTTCGATACGGATTAAGAAAATTAATTATAGGTAATTTAACCAAGGTCAACTCTGGAATTTTCGTCGATAGGAAATTTCTGTAATGAGACTGTTGACATCTCAGAAGTAGTTCAGATGTGACATATGCAAATTGGGCTATTTTCCCTGGAATAATTCAATCGCAGAGGGGGTACAAACATGGCGAAAGCGAATGACGGATAGGTTACATTCACAATTTCAGATTCAGTAATCAGTTACTCGAGTTACACCCCTGAGGGCAATGTCAAATCTACTTAAACGTCATGAGACGCGAATGTGACCTTTACAGTTCCCTGTCTCAGTCGATGCTGATTACTGCCGTTCGCTGCATGTCTGAACAGTCGGCGTGAATTTAGACGGAAGTGAACCAGCCATCCACTTCTGCATGTCTGTAAGTTGTACTATGTTCTTCCACTTCCTGTTCCTGGGCTTCCTGTCAGCTTTGTCTTCGGCAGCCGACTCTGAAACAAAAGACCTCTGTGATGATTTTTACCTACCGAACAATGAGCTCGGACGATGCCTCGCCGAATACTCGACCAAGTACCCCAACTTGGCGAAGTTGTCCTCCATCGGTAAGTCCGTCGAGGGCCGGGATATCTGGGTCATGCAGCTGTCCGAGGACATAGACAAGGAACGGACTTTGATGAAGCCCATGGTGAAAATAGTCGCCAACATACACGGGGACGAGACGGTCGGACGGGAAATAGCCTTTATCCTCATTAAACACTTGTTGAAGTCTTATGGCAATGACAGCCGATCAACAAAGATCATGAAGGAAACACACATTTCAATCGCACCTTCTCTAAACCCAGACGGGTTTTATAATTCCAAGGTAACAGCTTATTTATCTTAAAATTTGTGTTGCAAAGCCATAAAATATTAACTTGTATCTGAGCCATAATGCTATAAGTTAAAGAATGTTGTATGCGTTGAAGTGCACTCACCGTAAATTTTTGTCTGTAGGGTCTCGGTGAAACCATTGCGCCTGCTTTAACATTTTCATTCTTGATTTCTACTAAAGGTGTTTCAGTTAACTCTCAGAACTTCATCAAAATTGTGGATACAAGCATTCCGATTTTTTGCTGAATAAATCACATACTTCCTACAGGTCATTGTTTTTCTTCCATAATATTTGCTGTATTCCTAAATTTGTTTTCTGTTGCTATTACATCCCTTAGGATCGTAATTGTCAGCATTGTTGTACTTATACTATAGTTCTATTGAAAGCGAAGTCTATCGTATTTTCTATATTTCAAGAAAACATGCTTTGCCATCTATTCTTCACCGCATTTACAAAGTGTGTTGAGCCACTTGAGCTACTACTAACTAACACTTCAAGGGCCAAGAAGTCATGATAACTCAAGTAGTTAGAGCAACAGTGTATTGAGCCAAAGGCCATGGGTTCGATTCCCGCTCGTGACACTAACTTTTCCAGCCACAAGCAAGATCCTACATTAAGGAGCAAGGCTATGGAGGTTGACAACAACCTGAAACTGGCCAATTTATAAAAAAACAGGGGAACACAATAAATCTACTCAGGTCGAGGTGCAGAAGGCCTTGTTATCGCCTATTTTATCCCTATCCCTATCTCAACCAAGATCTTAGATAAAAAGAATGTGTAGAGAGAGAGAACTATCGATAAAAAGAATGATTAATTTAATTAAAAAGCTTACTAGTGAAATCAACGTGCCCAGTCAAAGAACTGGGACATGCAGTTGTCAATAGCGATGTATTTCATTTGTATTCACTCCTTGATGTTGAGTATTAGAGTGTAGGTATAGCGGCCCTTTGTGGAATTGTCCCAACAGTGATTCACAAAAAGGTGTTTCTTTCATGTTAAATGAACAAAATAATCCATATATGTTTAGCGGTCATATTTGACCATATTAATTATTTCAATTAATTATTCTTTTTATCTAAGTCTTGGTTGAGATGAAAAAGTTAGTGTCACGAGTGGGATTCAAACCAGCTCTAACCACTTGAGCTACTACTAACTAATACTTCAAGGACCAAGAAGTCATGATAGCTCAAGTGGTTAGAGCAGCAACGTATTGAGCCAAAGGTCATGGGTTCGAATCCCGCTCGTGTCACTAACTTTTCCATCTCAACCGAGTTCGTGCAGATTCTTGCAACTAGGATAGGAAAAGCCACAAGCAAGATCCTAAACTAAGGAGCCGCTTGCAAGGCTATGGAGGTTGATTAACAACCTGAAGTGGCCAGGGAGTTATAAAAAAACAGGGGAGCACAGCAGATCTACTCGGGTCGAGGTGCACAAGGCCTTGTGGTTGCCGCCTTTATCCCTGCCGCTATCTCAACCTAGACCTTAGATAAAAAGAATAATTAATTGAATGAATAAAGTTTACGAGTAAAATCACCGTGGCCTATCAAAGAACTGGGACGTGCAGTTGTCATTAGAGATGTATTTCATTTGTGTATCCTTGATGTTGAGTATTAGAGTGTAGGTATAGCAGCCCTTTGTAGAATTGTTCCAACAAGCATTTAGCGTTCTTGGCTTTTCTTCGCTTGTTATTTATGGGTTCAGCGGGGTACATCCGTTCAAGTCAATGTGCATTTGGCCCATAATGACTTGTATGGCTTCCGTAGATGCCCTCTTACAAGCTTGCAATTCTATCAAAACGGCACTTTGGATTTTCATTAATTCTATTAACTATTCTTTTGATTGTCCAAACTTAACCATGCAAGGCTGGTATAAAAAATTATTGGTTCTATTAGTTTTTTTTTCAATTAATTGATTTTTTAATTATAATTTTATTTATTAATGTTCTAATAATTTACAATATTTTAATACATTTAATTTAATAAAACTAGCAAATCCAAAATGTAACTGAGTTCTTATCCAAATTTGCCAGTTTATATGGGGAGGGAGGAGATCACTCACTAGTTTTTTGCACAAAAAAATGGCCAAATTTTAAGTTACAGGCATGCGCTAGGTTTCATTTTTTAGAAAATTTTATGCTGAACAGGATAGTTTTTTTTTGTTTTTTTTAATGATTTCCTAGCTCCAGTCATTCATCAGTAAATCCAAAAATTCAGGAACATTTTTATTTTTGCACTTTTTATGAAAGCTTCAAATGGAGCTGTGGAGCCAGGAAATAGTCCTGCAAGCAGTGCCCTATAGCAATAGATAGGAAATTTTAATAGGCAATTGGTCACCTTCCATTTTTCCCGATTTCTCAATCCTTCTTGAGTTATTCTTAATTTTCGGGCAAAAAATTTGTGTGGTTTGTTATGTGCTCATGGAGAAAACAGATCAATCTCTCTCTCCATTTTACAATACATAAACCTATTGTTTCAATACGTCATTCGAAGCCAAACTGCCACAACACCTGTGAAATGGGAGTTGCACGCCTCATCAAGAGCATGTCAAGGAGGATGGAGAGACCGTGAGGTAAATACCAGGTATTGATGTTGAAAATGAGAATTTTTGAATGGTATGTAATTTACCTTTGTTTTGTTATTATTATTATTATTGTTATTGTTAATTGTAAAACATTTAAAACCAAGTTTTTTTAACAAAAAAAGTAAGAATTGCTGCTTCCCTATTCACTTTTTGAAAAAGTCCTCGAAACAAAAGTTGTAGAACATAAAATATGCAAAAACATGACTGTTCAAAATTTATGCATTTTTGAAAATCGGGAGAGGGAGAGAGTGATCGTTTTTCCCATGAGCACATAAAAAATCATGTTTTTTTGCCCAAAAATCGTGAATAATTCGAAAACGGTTGTGAAATCGGACAAAGTGGACGGTGACCAATTGAAAGCTTATTAAAATTTCCAATTGATTGCTATAGGGCACTGCTACAGGACGATTTCCTGGCTCCACAGCTCAATTTGAAGTAAAAAGTGCAAAAATTAACGTATTATCGAATTTTTAAATATACTGATGAAAGACTGAAGCTAGGAAAACATTCCTAAACATTAAAGATTTAAAAAAAGCCATCTTGTTAAGAGAGAATTTGCCAAAAAATGAGCCTTAGCACATAGTTGTAACTTAAAAGGCTGAGAAAGTATGCATTTCGAAAGTTATTTTTTTAAAATTCACTAGTTTTAGTGGTCCACTTGACTAATTAATATCTTTCAATTAATTAAGGTTTTTAGTTGAGATAAAAAAGTCAGTGTCACGAGCGGCATTTGAACCCACGACCTTCAGCTTGATACGCCGTTACTCTACCACTTGAGCTATCGTGACTTCGATCCCCTCGGGCACTAACTTCCCATCTCAACCCCACCTTTCGAATTTTCCCTCCTTTTTGCCATTTTTCAAATGTCGTGTAATCTATTTGATTCTCGGCGACAAATTCAAATCCCACTTGTGACACTCACTTTTTTTTATCTCAACTAAAAGCCTTAATTAATTGAAAGTTATTTATTTTTTATATTTTTTTATGGGCAATGTGTTTTTTAAATGGAAACTAGTTTGTTATATAGTCTTAACTGCAGTAGATATCAGTATATATACACACATATGTGTTTGTAGACTCTTAGTTTTTCTTTTATTAATTTTGTTTTTGTTTTTATTTGTTTTTAGGAATCTGTTTGTGATGACAAAATGTATAAAGGAAGAGTTAATGCTCATCATTTCGACCTAAACAGAAATTTTCCAAAGCGCTTGTTCTCTGGCAAAGACTACTATGCAGAACGGGAAATTGAAACTGTTGCCATTATTGATTGGATTTTGGAGAACCCATTCGTCCTTTCGGCTAGTTTACATGGAGGATCTGTTGTCGCCAGTTACCCTTACGATGATGGGTATGTTGTAATAAATCATTTTAATAAATAAAATCATATATGCTTTATCATGATGTTTAAAAACTTCTTACATATATCATTTATTCACTACTTCCATGATTTGCTTGACCAATTAATACATGACAATTAACTAAGGTTTTTAGTTGAGATGAAAAAAAGTTAATGGCACGAGAGGGATACGAACCCACGACCTTCGGCTAGATACGCTGCTGCTCTACCACCTGAGCTATCGTGACCTCGATCCACTCGGACATCAACTCCCCATCTCAACCCGACCTTATGAGTTTTCCCTCCTTTTGCCATTTTTCAATTTCAATCCCTCTCGTGCCATTAACTTTTTTTCATCTCAACTAAAAACCTTAATTAATTGTCATATCATTTATGATAAAGTATATGTAATATATGCAACACTGATCTTGAAGAGAGTCTTACAAAAAGTTGCGAGTGTGAATATTTGTAAATTATGGTTTTAATCAATCATATAAAAGATTTTTACTTATTTTCTGTTTTTCATGCAGCTTTAAAATGTGGCTAATGGTAAGGCTATACCTGCTCTATTTACTATTTGCTACAAATTTTATAATTGTACATAATAGAGTAATGTAATAATAATATTGTATAGAAAAGTTTGTTCAACCAGGTTTTCATTTTTGAAATTTTGCAGTGTTCAAGATCAAACTTACAGTGCTTCTCCTGACGATGGAGTTTTCAAATCATTGGCCTTCCTTTATGCAAGAAACCACAGGTACATGGCAAGTGGAAATATTTGTGAAGGAGACAATTTTCCTGGCGGGATAACTAATGGCAATAAGTGGTATAGTGTTGCTGGTAGGTGTTACTATTTATTATATCTAGGTAATCTAGTACTCACTCGATCTAAAACAAATAATAGAAAGAAATTAAAACTCAGTGCCGCTCACATAATACCTACAGACACCCTAAAGAAATTCTACAAATATCAAAAAATTGCATACAATTTCCACTTTGATCAAATTAAAAACAAACACACTATAAAACTTAACAACTTAATCAACAAACAGACACATGGTAACACAAACAATTGGTTTCTAAACCTAACAAAACATTCCTCCGGAAATCCAAAACTTCCTACCACTTGGTCCCAAGCATTCCATTCTTTACAACAAAACAGATTTCTCAACAGCTAAATTAATGTAGACTATGCAATCCAAAAGTCAACAAAAACGGACCAAGAAAAAGGCATAACACAATCAAAATGCATTAATACAATAACAAATCACTTACAACACCTCACTACAAATCAACACACCATATCTCAACAAACATAAAAATAAAACCAATAAACCAAAATATAAAAAAATCTTAAAAATAATCCAGAAATACTCATTCTTTCTGCTGATAAAACAAAACAAACAGTAGCAATCAGCAAAAAAGAGTACAATGAAAAATTAACAAAATTATCAATGACACAAACACATACAGCACTATCAAATCAGACCCTGCCCCTTTTCTCATCAAACAGACACACAAAATCTTTCATGAAACACTTAAACAAAAAGAAATTGACATATTCACCTACAAATCACTTCAAAACAAATCTCTAATCCCCCCCAAAACTATATGGATCTATCAAAATTCACAAACCTGAACACCTAAGACCAATAATTTCATTTGTAAATTCCCCTACATACAACATGACAAAATACCTAACCAATATACTCAACATCACACATAACACATATAATGTAAAAGATTCATTTAATTTCATTAACAAAATTAATAATATTCCCATCCCCTCACACTACTCTCTCATATCCCTAGATGTTTCATCATTGTTCACCAACATTCCAATAGACACAACATTGAACATTATTAAAGATAAATGGCCCAACATAACACCACACAAAAGTCTATCAAAAAACACATTCATAACAATGGTTCGACACTGCTGTATTTACGGATATTTTACATATAACAATCGTTTTTACAAATAACTATTTGGCATAGCCATGGGTAGCACCTAGGCCCGATACTTGCAGATATAATTATGACACATCTATTAAACATAGTTATACCACAACTTCCTTTCACATTACCCTTCCTCACTGAATATGTAGATGATATATTAACAGCAGTTCACTCAGATCAAATTCAAACTACATTGGATACATTACAGCTTTCACCCACACCTACAATTTACGAATGAAATCGAAAACAATAAAACAATACCATTTTTAGATACACTCATAATAAAACAACCAGATGGCACATTAATCACAGATTGGTATCAACTACCAAGAAACACAGATCGCTACCTCAACTTTACATCACACCATCGTCTTCATACAATAATAAACATGGCCAAAGGGCACTTCACAGAATTATTACTCTAAGCCCTGAATCTTTTCATCTCAAGAACATAAAGATATACAAACATATCCTACATAACTATCACTAATAATCAACAACTACAACTCAGCACTAACACCATCTAATATTACTAATATACTACATCAAATCTAGCTTTTTCCCATTGTCGGCACCTTTCACCTCAAAGAAGCCGACTTATATAAAAATGGATTTCTATCCCTACTTCCTTCCCCACCCCTTCAAAATCCATTGTATATAAACATAAAACATCAATATCTCACTGGCACTCTCAACATGACACAGAATAATGACGCATCTACATAGAAAACAAACACATAACACTTTAAGTGACGTTTGAGGTAGGAGAAGAGCATTTTGACGCCTAGTATGGCATCAAACACGAAAAGCGATTTTTTAGACGCAGTTTTAGGTGTCTAGCGTTTAGACGTCTAGTATGTCATGAGCCTTACAGTTCAACATAAATATGTTTTTGGGTTGGTTTCACAAATTTTTTGCTTGACCGTTTGCATGTCATTGATTTTGCAATACTGGGGAGTGCACATTGGTTGGGTAAGGTTAGGGTTAGGGACTGAGGTTAGGTTAGGTAGTTAGGATTGAGAACAGATTAAGTAGGTAAAGTTATGGACTGGTTAATTTAGATTAGAGTTAGAGATGGGCTAAGTTAAGATTGGGGACAGATTAAGTTAGGTAGGGCTTAGATTAGTAACAAGTTAAGTTAATTAGGGTTATAGACTGGTTAGATTAAATAGGGTAAGGCTGGTTAAGAGTTAGGTTAGGGTCTGGTTTGATTATACAGATCCATGATTAAACGTTTCTTTGTGAAGTAGAGAAAATATGCGGGAAGCGCAAGTTTTTAGTTAACACTCGATTACTGATCAAAACCTTGAGACAATAAAAAAACTGCAATTAATATAAATTAAATGTTGATCAGGGATGAAATCAATTAGAAAAAAAAGTCTCAATTCATTCGTTGACTTTTCGAGGAATAAAGCTTCTTTGGAACGATGAAACTATATTTACTGTTTGTAGAAGTTAACAATTATGAATCATCTATTTAAATTTTCATACCTGTGGTTCTATGTAGAACATTTTTAAATTACTAATTACAAAAATTACAATTATATAACTACAAATAACTAGTACATTCGGTATCGACAATATGTGAACAGACCAAAGCACAGACTCAAGCTCAAAGCAAAGCTAGTGTTATAGTGAACCTCAAGCTTATGATTGTTACTATCAAGCCTTTATTTCAGTAAGGAAACGTGAATAATTTTTTATCAATCATGAGATAATAAGCTTCACTGAAGTAGATTGCACATTATTTTATCTTATTATTTACCCTTTAGAAGTCCATAGTTTAAAATTGCCTTTTGTACATAAATCGGCTATACTTTATGGTTTTGTACAGGTGCATTCTTCTGTACACTAGTTTTTCGTTTAATGTAGTGAAGGCTGATATTAAACATTAGTGTCACGAGTGGGAAGTCGTGGGTTTGAGTCCTGCTTGTGACATTAATTTCTCATCTCAGCCTTCTCTGTATTAAATGAAAAACTAGTTTAAATAACTAAAAAATAATTAATAAGAATCATTCTTATGTTCATATTAGTAATTACTAATTATTATTGACTAGACAATTATAATACTTTAATTTCCTTTTTATAACTGTATTTTTACATGAAGCTGTTACTGTATTGTGTTATTTTGAGAAATAGTTTTATGTAAATATATTTACTTGACATAATCTGATATAAATTTGTTTAATATTAAAACATTTCTTTACTTGTAATAATGATCTAAAAATCTATTGGTTAGAGGTGAAAACAAATTGTAGAACAAATCGCCTCTGCATTTATTGTCTAAGGGCTTTAGTTGTTAACACATTCGTTACGACCATTGTTCTGGAAAAATGCACTAAATCCTTCCCTATTTGTTCCAGAATAACGTACATCTTTTAGAAAACCCCTGCTTTCAAAGCTTGTTGAGGGTTCTTGGGTATTTTTGGAATCAAATCGGTATCACAGGCCTTTAGTATCATTTAGTCAGCGTTATTGTGAAGACCGTTTTTCGATTTGAACTTTTGGAAGTTTTTTACAGTTTTGCAAAAATAAATTTTTTTCTATATCGGGTTTTTACAGATCAGTGCCGTAACGAATATGTTAATTATTGCTTCCCTTCAACTTTCATGTTTATCTCAACATTTTATCTTTTTTCCTTTTTTTTTTAGGTGGAATGCAAGATTTTAATTATTTACATTCAAATTGTTTTGAAATAACATTAGAGCTGAGTTGCTGTAAATATCCTCCGAGGCAGGAACTACCTCAGGAATGGGAAAACAATAAAAATAGTTTGTTGTCTTTCATAGAAGCATCACACTGGGGTGTCAAAGGTAATAAATTCATCAAGCATTAAAATACTTTGGCTCCATGAAATTATGAAGAGTTCACGAACACTTTTTCTTCTAAATTAATCCAGGACTAGTAACAACTGAGCACGGTACACCTGTTAATAAAGCTGTAATATCAGTTAGTGGTGTTAACCACAACATCACAACGACATCTAGAGGAGAGTACTGGAGACTACTGAATCCTGGAACATATACAATTAAAGTATCACAATATGGGTAAATATTATTAAATATTTTATGATCATATACTATTTGAAAAAGGCTTATAATATTAACTTACAGTATGAAGTTAAATTTTCTTTTCATATTAACTATTTTGCTGCCCTCTATGGGTTTTTATGATATTTATTAAACTTAAACTAGGGCTATGAAGAAGTAAATCTGTATCAAATTTATTAATTCACAATAAAATTTGTGTAATAAATTCAGTTTATTATTGTGCGTGTGCGTGCTCTTGCACTTTAAAGTGATATGTTAATTTTGCTTCATATATGAAAAAGATCGTTGTTTCTTTTAATGTCTGTACTTTTTTTGTAATGGAACGTCATCATGGATTGTTTAAGTAAACTCAAAAAGCTTTTAGTTCCAGGAGATTTTCTTTTATTTTTAGAAGATTCTTTTCACTCACCTTGTGAGCATCATCAGCCTTCATTAAAACAAAACAGAATAGAAATAACACAAAATGCATTGTTCTTTTCAAACTGTAGGACAGTGCATTTTGCATTATTTCTATTCTGTTTTGTTTTAACAAAGGCTGATGATACTCACAGGGTGAGTGAAAGGCGTCTTACATAAATAAAAGAAAATCTACAGGAACTAAAAGCTTTTAGAATTTACCAAAATATTGCAAAAAGATTATTTTTTCCTTATTTCTCTCATCTAAAATTTTTTCAAAAGGTCAAAATGAAAAAGAGTCTTTACAGTAACATTGACAAAGTGACACTGAAAGCACGTGACACTGATTCGATTCTAAAAATACACCCAGCATCCAACAAGCTTTGAAAGTGGGGTTTTTCTAAAAGAGGTGCATCGTTCTAGAATGATATCTGTNAATACCTATCAGCCTCCTAATTCCCTTCCTTGAGATAGAGAATAGCCATTTCGATTCAGCTGGTTTGATCGCCTTAACAAACTCTTTCGATTGCCTGTGTCCGGAGGATAAATTCCACTCCCTAAGGAATTGTTTCATGCCCCAGTTATTGATACTCTCTTTCGCTGTGCTCATAGAGTGGGGTAATACCGGTTGTGGCCCAACAAACGCAGTTGGCGCAGGATTAGTGCGTCATTCCAGAACAACGGTTGTAACAAATGTGTTCAATATAAACAGTCCAGCGGAAGTTTCATAGACACAAGTGAAAAGATGGTCTTCTTTGAATCAGAAGTGACTTGTTGCTACGCGAAATATATACTGCATACATAGTATTTGATAAAGAGACCTGGGGCCCAGATAATCGAACCCTGGATAATGGAGGTTTTACTATACTTTAAACAATGCTTAGAAGAAAAAAAATTGAATGTTTCTCAGCCTGAGGGTAGAAATTTTTATCATACAAGCATCTAACAACACACACACCAAATCCCATTCATGGTGGTCAGCGCGATATTGAGCTCACAACAAAGTTCCACAAGTGAGGTGCTGAGTGTGATATCATGCTCTACTCTCTTCACTTTTGTATTCAATTCATAGAAGTAGGGTACTGTTTAAGTTATTAATTTTAGCACCAGTGAGAGTGGGAAATTAGAAAAATAATGTCATTTGCTGTTTGAAGCAACTTACTGCTTCTTTGAACTTCAATATAAAAGTGAAGAGACTAGAGTGTGATCTATCAATACCACACTGGGGGAAGCAGGAGCAATATCACATTCACCGTCCTAAACGGGATATTTGTATTGATAAAATTTAACTTCATATTTATTTGTCAAAACACATGAAATATAATCCATAATTTTAAATTTCAATGCTAGTTTTTATTTATTCTATAACTTTACAGGTTTTTTAGTTTGAGAAAAAATATTGTGTTAAACTGGCCAAATTTGATTTTGTTATTGCTTTCAGGTTAGAATCGCAAGAAAAAGAAGTCAATGTGACTGAAGGAAGCACTGTTGTTTTAAATTTTACATTGAAATATTCTCCGTATCAAATAGGTATGATTGAACTGATAAAACACACTTACATGTCACCCCATAGTTGTAATTAAAACTTGAAATTCTGTGCCATAAAAATTTAGAAACATGCAAAAACCAATCATTTTAGATTTTAGGTAAAAACTAGAAAGAAAAAAAACCGCTTTTCTTTAAAAGCAAACGCTTTATTTCACAATATATTTAATTCAAAAACTCAAAATTATTTTTACGAACAAAAAAAAAATTGAAAAATGAAAATAGTATGTTTGTTTATACGAATTAAAATTTATTATTAAATGCAGTTATATTTTTTGTGGGAAACTCTCCTGTAAGGCAAAATATGTTTCAGTTTAGAAAACAAACTTTCCACTTCTACGCTCGTAAGAGGGCAATTTTTGTGCCATCTTAGTAGTTTTTGGTCTTTTTCACCTATAGTAACATTTCTGTTCAGACTATCATTATATAACAGAACTTTGATGAATAAACTTTCAATGGAAAATTCCCCACTAGGACTGGGGCTCAGGAAAAGAGCTTTATATCCAGGAAATCGCTATAGACGGGAGTGTTATCGAAGTTTTACTGTGTATAAATGTATGGTTGCTAAATGTTCATATATTCAGTATTATAATTATGTAGCTTTTGTCTCACAAGACTTATTGTTAGGCGAAATTACAAATTAGTTCACAGCCATTTTAAACGATTATTTGGAGATTGTGAGATGCGGTCACAGCAATGACACATCTACACAGAAAACAAACACTTTGAGTGAGTACAAATACTTTGATTGAATCTAAAATATCTATCATTGTATAAATCCATTTTTTCACATCTATGTATTTGTATAATTTAAAAAATGTTTATAAATCCCAGGTCCTGAAGATGATCTCAATAAAGATCAAAATGTTGGCACGATAAAGAAAATGTTTTTCTAAACCTACGTCACACCAGACAGCATCTCACGATCTCTGAATAATCATTAATTAACGTTCACTAAATACCAGCCATTTTAAACTATTTATCAGGGCAACACACTGAAAATAATATGTATGTTTTCTATTGAATTGCACAATTTTGTAATTTGTTATTAATTTCAGAACACACGAAAAATATTGTAATAAAAGAAAGCGATGATTTCCTATTACCCGTAAATTTCATTTACCATCATTATGATGCCCTAGAGGATGTTTTAATGACTATTTCTCATACATACCCGCACATCACTAGACTTTATGATATCGGCACAAGTGTGCAAGGGCGGAAGTTATTCGTCCTTGAAATCAGTGATAACCCTGGAATTCATGAGCCTGGTAAAATTAAAACATTTTAAATCAATTTATATTTTATAATGTTTTTTAACTGATAGACATTGTTGTTATTATTATTACAGGAGAACCTGAGTTCAAATATGTTGCAAATATGCATGGAAATGAAGCTGTCGGAAGAGAGATGTTAGTTTTGCTTGCTCAATATCTTTGTCAAAACTATGATACAGACAGCAGGGTAACTAATCTTGTTAATGAAATGAGAATTCATCTTTTACCTTCATTGAATCCAGATGGCTTTGAAATTGCAAAAGAAGGCAAGTTTATTTATTATTATTATTTAGTTTTATTAATTTTAATTTATTAATTTATTTTCAAAATGAAATAGACTTTTTTTAAGTGTTTAATTTAAACACTTTCTTGTTTTCTTATACTCTTGTTTACATGTGTACACAATAAAAAGTTGCTTATTAGAAAAATTTAAAAATTTTGTTGTAGGAGATTTCTCTGGCATTGTAGGGCGGAATAATGCAAATAATGTGGATTTAAACAGAAATTTTCCAGATCAATACTTAGCACTGGTAATATATTTTTTTCTATCTACTTTATTTGAATATCATAAAGTTAAAAATGAAAATACATTTACAGACACAAAAGAGCACACACATAAAAATTAATGGTGATTGTTATTATATTTTCGGCTTCAAAACCCATAATTTGTTCATGCTTATTGTCTATTGTAATTTTAGCTTGGTATTAGGGCAGCCGAGGTAGCTTGTAAAATTTGGACTGCATTCGGTGATGAAAAAATAAGTGAGCGTACTGCTCAAAAGTGGTTCCAAAAGTTTACAAAAGTACTATTACTAGTAGTTATTTTTCTTTTGTAGGTGCTTTTTGTAGAGGGTTCTTTTCAAGAGAAAGGCATTTTTTTATTTTCCACAACGTTTTGGCCTAACTGGCCATTTTCATGTGGAACATTTATTCTTAAAATTATTACAATTTCATATGTTCTATTATGCTTTTAACCAACAGAAAAGTTATTTGACGTATTACCTTTTGTTCAACATCCTTTTATACCTTATTAAAACCAAACTGAGTTGTTGAAAAAGAAAAAATGTCTTTCTCTTGGAAAAAAAACCCCTCTAAAAAACACCCCAAAAAATAATAAAATGAACCGAAGGTTATTTGGGAAAAAAGAGGAATGGAAACTAAAAAAAAAGTACTATACCAAACACAAAGCATCCACCTTTTGTTGGTGCATATCCGTTTTCAGGGACAGGGTCATTTGGTGAAGCCAATGGTATGACCTGGTGTTACTGTACAGGATTTTTGTTGCATTTGACAATTCGGTCAAAAAACGTCTACTTTTTGCCATAAAATTGGATCAGTTCAATAGTTTTCCTCAATTCGACGCCATTCAAGACCAAAAGGTCTACCAGACCGAATTTTCAACACTTCATTCGCAGAAGTAAACTTTTTGAATGACTTTTGGGTAGTGCTCACTTATTGTTTCATTACTGTATGTGGTGCAAATTTGGGTGAGGTGCCTCGGCTACCCTAGTACCGAGAATAAATCTGTACAATAAGCAAGCATGAATTATTGATTTTGAAGCCACGAGAAAGAAAATATTTTATAATTTACAGTGAACTGTTGAAGACTTTTTTTAATGAACTAACACTGTTATCTTCTTGGTATTACGCGATGTAAAAACCTAATCCTTCTATGTAAATAGAAATGTTGGTTTTAAAACAATAACAATAAAAACTGCACAAACTTTTCTGCTTACCTTGTATTCTACTAGAAAATACCAAAAAAAAAAAAAAGGTACTAGAAAAATAAATTATAATGTGGACCCTGATCAGCAGGCATAAATAAACCCAGGCATCATTTTCTCTACAAAACAAGCAGTAACAATTACATTTTTTTAATAGAGGAATTCATTGAAAGATACATATAAATAAAGCATCCCTGGCAACAAACAAAAAAATATTCGCCGGGTCTTGAAAGACTCATGATTGTGAGTCCTTAAACAATTTTTGATCCACAAATGAATTGTTTTTATATTTATTTTTAGAACCATTCTTTGGAACCTGAAACTAAAGCTGTTATCGAATGGCTTAAGAAATACCCATTTGTTCTTTCTGCAAATCTTCACGGTGGAGCATTGGTAGCAAATTATCCCTTTGATAACAACGAAAATATGAAAAATGATGGGCAATCAAATGTTACTCCAGATAATACTGTATTCCAATATCTTGCCAAGGTGTATTCTAATGTGAGTATTAAACATTTTCATGTCAAAAAGTACTTGTAGAACGCAAAGTTCTTGAGGCTGCTTTTCAAAGTCTGCTAATGAATGTAAATAGAGGTGTATAGTTTGTGATACATCAAGCCATTCACTTTTAGCTGAGTACATTAACAACAATTCATACTTTTCAATTGTAATCTCTCATTTTTAGAGTCATCCTACAATGCATTTAGGGCAGAAATGTAAAAATTTTGAACAAACATTCCCCGAAGGCATTACAAACGGAGCAGCATGGTATGTAGTGCCCGGTGGAATGCAGGACTATAACTACGTCGTCCATTCTTGTCTCGAACTTACAATAGAAATGAGCTGCAATAAATATCCATTTACAGAGTCACTGCGTTCTTATTGGAAGATTAACAAAGAATCTTTACTTACCTTTATGGAACAGGTATTGAGTTATATTTTTAAGAGGTTTCCTAGGGAGTTGTTCTTCCATAGGGCAATATATTCATAGGACATTTTATAACCATTTAGATTTATTATTATTGTTTTAGGTCCACATAGGAATTAGAGGATTTGTTACAAGTTCATCTGGGAATTATATAAGAGGTGTCAACATTTTTGTTTCTAATGGAAGTAAACCAGTAAGAACTTACATTAATGGAGATTACTGGAAGCTTCTGCTTCCAGGTACGTACAATGTAACTGCACAGATAGATGGGTAAGTACAAGACAACAACTATACTGTTATATATTATTAATTTATTTTGATGAGACGATTATTAAATAGGTACGAAGAACAAACTAAAACTGTGAAAGTTGAAAATAAAGGAGTATCTCTAAACTTCACTCTACAGAGAACTGATTCTATGGCTTGGTCTGTTGAATATGATTATAACCAAAAGGCTAATATCGCTCCTCTGCAGGAATATTCGACAGATGAACAGATAAAAGGGGAATTACAAACTCTTGACATAACAACTCCTTCAATTGCACAATATAAAGAAGATAAAACAACTGGTTTCTATTCACTGAAACTTTCAAAACACGTAAGATTTTCCGTTGGTTTAGTCATTAATGTGTGTGCACTTGTTGAATACTTGATTTTGATTTTAACCCTCACTTAATATGACTAAATTGATAGGTAAACATAAAACAAGCGAAATTTTCAAAAATGCAAAAATCGGTAGAATTATGTCGGAGGCACTACCGTTGGTTTAACGTGAAACATTTTTGTCAGCAAATCTCTTTTAGCACATTGGACTCAATTTAAACGAGATATTGACTGTGTATTAAATTTTATTTCAAGATAAAACAGACACAATACATGACTTTATTTCGACTAATATTTGATGACGATTTTATTTAACATTCACCTGTGATTTGGAAAGTAAGAGATATCCATATATCATAAAATCAACATCGATGTGTCTGGTGAGCATACAATCGATAGTGGTATTGCCCGTGTTGTGTGGGCATATGGTTGAGGCTGAATTCATTCTTCGTGAATTTAACGAGGTAGCTGTTGTATCGTGGATTGCTATTGAAGTCCCCAAGTAAGCTGAGGCTGCTTTATTAAATTTCAGTTTTTTTATACATATTTTAAGTTCTAAATAAAAATGTAGTTCAAAATAAACTTATTATTGCTTAAATTGATCGATGACTACAATACATATACACATTTGAGTCTTGAGATACATGCAATGGAAAAGAGCCAGAGCACCGGCTTTGTTCAATCAGCACTGTGCACCCTTGCCGTCAACCCTTGAGCTGACAATTCAAACTTTTTAAAAAAATGACACTGCCCTTTTGTCTTTGAACTATCTAACTTAAAAAAAAGACACTGCCCTTTTGTCTTTGAACTAATATCTAGGGTGTTCTTAAAGCAAGACAGTATAGACCATTTTATTACAGTTGAACTTTATGTTTTGGTTTGGTTTTAAAGACGTTTCATGTCAAAGTTAACAATTATAACACAAGTGGATTCTTCACAGACTCCACAATCGTGAGTTCGATTCCCACTGTATCTCCTGGACTCTCCCCCCCCCAAAAAAAAAAAATAAAATAAATTTAAAAAAATAAAAATTGATTTTGAGAATTTTACATAATTTTATTTAATATTTATTGTATTTTTTTGCATCATTCTCACTTGCTAAACCAGATTTTTTGTAATGTTGCCATTTTAAAAGTTGTTAGAGAAGTGTTTTGACATCAAATTTTATATTTACAGGTTGCTTTAGCAAATGAACAAAAGTTGCATATTGGCGTATTTGGCAGCCTGTTTCCTTCCGAATTTTCCAGTAAAGAGCTTGCCGTACGTTTGGCCCGCCATTTGTTTGTCGGCTATAAAATGAAGGATCCAATGATACTGTCGCTATTTGATGAAACAGTAATTCATATATTTCCCAATCTTCAAGAAAGTCACCTCTCTGAAAAAGTTTCTAATAAGACCGAAATGGATATGTTTATAAATAATCCCTCCGACGCTCACAAGTTTAACAAATTGTTCGAAGAAGAGAAATTTGATATAATTATTCATTTTGAAACTGGAGGTTTGGGCATAAGGTATTATTACTTTATTACTTAAATATTTTAGTTATTAAAAGTGACAATTGTAAACATTGTTCTAATATATGTTTTTAGGCATTTAAAATCATCAAATTATATTGAATCTTTGATTTACAAAATGGTTCAAGATTCACTTACCTATTCAAATTACAATATGGTATTTATTTGTATAATAACAATAATAATCAAGGATTCAACACTGTTAATAATATTCTTTTGGGTGTTTAGATGACTAATTGTCCACCTGTGACGAAGAATATGCAAGAGTTCAAAAATAAATTTTCAAGCATTTTACGTCATATTTACAAAGTGATCATGGTAGGTTGAACTATGTAACTTAAACCTTACACTTAAGAAGGTTTTTTACAATGATAAAGTTTATTTGTTAATGCAAAATTTGCAAGTTTAATAGTCTGTTATCGTCCTGGTCTGATTATCCTTGTTGGTTTTTTTTTTTTTTTTTTTTGGTAGACGTTAATCTGACAATCATGTGCTTATATGTGTTATATTCATGCCATCAATGCTTGTGCCATAGAAAATCTTAAAAGAGGTTACACTGGCAAAAAAATCTTCATAAGCTCAACCAATCAGCTATTAAAGCATTAGCGAGTAAAAGAATCACATCCCAACTAATCAGTGCATTTCCCAAATTGACAAAATCTGAGGAAACAACAATCCGATGATATCTTGGGTGCTAAGACACAAACGAATTTTGGGTAACAAAAAAGCAGACAACACTAGCCAGAAGGGGATCTGCAAGACCGTGTATAATCCGTTTTGCGACTGTGTCATGATGAAATTAAATTTAAAAACAGAAAACGAACAAAATCGAATAAAATAAAATTAATAAGTTAAAGAATAAGTTAAAATTACTGTTTTGTAGACGCCGGCGGGAGTGAGTATTGGATATCTACCCTCCAAGTCCGGCGTTACCAGGGATAGTTGCCGGCTATTGCGTAAAGGACTTAAGGTTAAAAAAAAATGAATAAATAAATTTATTAACTGACAATTTATGATAAAAATACGGAAACAAAAATCTGGCCAGAAACAAAAACAAAGTTAACGAATATATAGAAATATAGAGAGTTGGTTATAAGAAAGTTAATACAAAAAATGGCAATGTTGAATTAAAAGAATAAGGACGTTCGTACGTCTTGTCGACACGACAGTGAAGATCAAACGATTTGGCGCTTATCTTGGAGCTTGAGATTGGAGTCTGGGAGCCACTCGCCGGACTACGTCAAAGGTGCGTTCGTTCGTACCCGTCGGAAGCCAGAGAGCGACAGACTGGAGACCGCTGATGTACGTTCGTATGTACGGGTTGAATCCTCGGGAGAGACTCGCTGAAGACAGCTGATGTACCTTCGTGCGTACGGGTTGAATCCTCGGGAGAGACTCGCTGAAGACAGCTGATGTACGTTCGTGTGTACAGGTTGAAACCCAGGTAGCGACTCGCTGAAGACAGTTGTACTTCGTGCGAACAGTTCGAAAACCAGACACTGACTCACTCCTTTTACGAAGGATTGCTGAAAATTAACCTGTTTCTCCCTCCAGCGTCGTGATCCTTACAAATTTTGTCTTTATAATTTTTTTAAAAATAATCAATTTAAAATAATAAAGGATAAGATTTCTAATTAACTATTAATAAATAAAAATGTTTACATTGGCGTAAACAATTACTATTAACCGATCACCGGCATCTGAGAAAAAATATATGTAACACGAGCATATACAGCAATGATCCCATTTGCAGATTATGCAATGAGGAGAAAGAAATAGCCACCCATGTCATCTTTGAATGTGAAACAATGGCTCAAGGGAGACATAACTTAGGATGAAAAGACAAACCAATCAGGGAATGAACTTCTAGCAGCGGCAGTCAATGACCTAATACTTCTAAGAAAAAGGATTAAGTCATTTGCACTGAACTAGGGAACTAGGAAGGTACAATAAGCCAGAAGGCCGCAGTGCCTGGGGAGCACAAATGCTGTTTCCTAGTATCCATAACCATCATCTCATGTATTATATTGTTTTTGTCCTGCTGGTGTACCTACTTAAATTCTAAATTTATACAATTATTACTATTATAGATAGAATATTAGTGGAAAAAGGTAATTTTAAATAGTTGAACAGGGGTGGTGTTTGCCATGCATCCCTGCATTGTGGTCGCTCTTGCTGCACTGTAGCATTTACACAGCAGAATTATACGCTACAATTTAGCATGTGCTTGGGGTGATCCGAGATGATGGCTCTGCCTACCTAATCTGCTAAAATGGCATAAATAACTATTCTTCTACATTTCTCATCTACATTTCCTTTGCATAATTTAGTTCACAATAAAAAGTAATTAAATAATTAAAATTTCTGCTGTCATTTGGGAATTGTTTCTTTTCAGATAACTGTTCAAACTGCTTGCAGTGATGTCCTGCCATCACAGATTCCCACCTTGTGGAGAACATCTCTCAACCCTCTTCTTAGTACATTCGAACAATTACTTCAAGGTAAAATATACAGATTTTGGGGTAATCAACATAACAACCTAGTTTAACATTTAATTTGAAATGTTCATGTGGTTCATTTTATTTAAAAAAAATTCAATTTAATTTTAATAAAAATAGGTGTCAGAGTCACAGTCAAAGATTCATTTGGTGTACCAGTGAGAAAAGCCGTGATCGTAATAACAAGTGATGATGATCCATCATCGGGATATACACTACCTGTGTCAAGTAACATGGCTATAGCAAAAATGGTTCTTCCACCAGGAAATTATCATATCATGGTAATGTTATTTATAGTAAACTTTCGTTTTTATTGAATAATCTACTGATTGTGTAAAACTATAAATTTTGTTCAAATGCAAAATTTTTGACATTAGGTTTGTTCCATCACGTGTCCAAACCATCAGCAAACTGGCAGGCAAATCTGCAATTGAGTTTGGCCGTTCCAACATGTTACAAATGCAAATTGAAACTGTTAGACAGCCGTTCCAACATAGCTTCAGGCCAAGTTTTTGATCATCAAAACAGTCTGAGGATTTTGCATGGACCGCTGGAAATCAGAGACATGCTTTGATGTTTTTCTGCACTTTCCCTCTTGTCAAATCAAAAAGGTCTTACAACTAGAGCGAGGACTGACAGTATTTTTGAGCTTCAAATGAGACCCCTTATTTCTTTACACAACCCGACTACTTAATTTTTCAGGAAAGACACACACACAAAAAAAAATGCATCTAGAAGTTTTGGAAATAGGATAAGATGCCAATCAAGATAATTCTATTGGTTCAGTTTGTTTATGTTAAGAAAACAGTGTAATAAAGTTAAATAATTATAAAAACTTTGAATTTGGCGTATTCTTCAAATATGACTTTATAAATATGAAAAGGTGGACCAGCGGAACGCAGATTTGTTATCGCCGCGGATCAGATTAAGGCGACCTCTTTGACTCAAACGTGCAAACATTTTTGGATTCGAGCCCTTTTGAACCAATTATTTGGTGTCACCAGAACATAGGTCGGATTACTCTTTTGTCAACTGCAGTCGTAGCCCTTCTATAGTTTCGCCGTTACATGCCGTATATGTAGAGTCTAAAATGGCATAAATATCTGGACATTAGTAGCGAGGATCAGTTTGAATTTTTGGAGGCACCAAATAATCAGTTCTCCATTTTCTAATCAAGATGTGTAGAAACAGCACCCTTACCAACCAAATGTTGGTTTTGACAGTTCAAGGGTAGAAGGGTAGAATTTGACTGAAGAAGTTTGAGATGTAAAAAAACATTCCAACTGTGTTAAGAATCTGTGATAAGTCAATATTCAGGCAAGCCCTGCCATTAATCACTGGTTAGTTGGCAACTAGTGTGATGGTTTTTTGGAACAAACCTATAATTAGTGAAACTTGAATTATTTAGCAGTATATATATTAAATAGCCCAAACAATCAGTATTATCTTGAAATATTCTCATGTAATGTAACTTTCAGGTTTTGTCAGATTCACACCCCATGACACAAAAGACACCTGTCACAGTCAAAAAAGGAATTATGAGTTCTGTAGATATTAGTGTAGAACCATTACGAAGTAAGTTGCCTCCGATACAAACCCCAGTAAATGGCATCGGTGTAGCGGGTAATTTTATTTAATTGTTTAATTGTGATTATATTTGATGTCTAATTTTCTTTTTTATGTGAAGGTTACGTAGTGAATTCAAATCATCATCCCATATCAAATGGAGTTATACATGTAGAAGGGTCTAATGTGTCTCATATTGTCAACAAATCAGGAGCATACTGGATACCGTTAGAAAAGGGTGTGTATTTTTTATTTCAAATTTGACAATATTATAGAGAATATTATGTGTTTTATGTCCCCAGGTGAGTATACCCTTGTCGCAACTGCAGATGGTTATTCTTCATCAACAAAACTAGTTGTTTTAACGGATACTAAACCGGTTCAAGAAGTTGTTTTTACAATTTCTGAATCTACGTTATTTCCCAGTCTATCAGAACTTCAGTTTATATTCCTTGTTGGTTAGTGTTATTTTACTTATTATTAATTTAATTATTATGCACAGTAGATCCTCGGTTAACGCTGTCTCTGTTTATGTTATTTCATTTTTACATCTCTGGCATAATATTAATTTTGGTTTGTATTGGTTCACCACTGAGTCACTCCTATGGATTGATGGTTGACTGGCTGTTTCTTGTTAACATGGATCTCAGAAACCCCTTCTGCTCATTTTATTTTTATTTTTATAATTAATTTAGTGTAAAAAATTCCTTCATAGCAGTCAGTTCTGTTATTTTTCTTGATATGTGTATTCAAATATTCCTTACTCAGGGTTGTTTTATTTAATATCACTGTTTTCAGGTCTGTAACCACGATGTTAATCGAGGACTTACTGTACTGCAATGTGCATTTACTTAAAATTGAAAATTTACTTACTATTTATTATTTTTGCTTAATGCTTTGTTTTCTAAGATATTTGATAATTATGCCTTTCTGTCCTGTAAACTGGTTTATAATTCAGGGTTACATGTATCTTTTCAAGCAAAATGTTCGCATATACTCAGTTTTATTTTGTTTTTACAGCTTTTAATATTATCATTGTGTTGGGCGTTGGCATTGTACTGTACTACTTATGCAGAAAAGATAAATCATCTTCAAAAGGATTTAAATTGCTTCCATCAGTCGTTTTACCATACGATCTTTCGGATGAAAAAGAAGAAACTATTATTTTTGATGCAAGAAAAACAAAGAACAGTAAGTCATATTTCATTTATGTGCTATTTAATAGATATATATAAATAGAAATATCGGACACTGCTTAAATGTCACAACATAATAGTTATATGTTCCACATTTCCAACACCTGGCAGTAATAAATTAATAAAAGTTGTGAGATTTTTCTGTGTGGTCTGCAGGATATTTAACCTGTAGTTGTGTTGTTAATGATCTTTTGACCTGTCACCAATGTGAATGCATTTATTAGCGTGAATGCAAATTCTGAGAGGGTCAACAGCAGATTATTGAGTACCTCAATGACCCTCAATTAGCTTATTTATTGTATAAATAGGTTTAAAGGGTACATATTATGTACATAATATATTTTAAAAGCTGTTAAATAAATAAATAATTTTAACAATCTCAATATTTTTAATTATTATAAAACAAATAAAATTTTTTAAATTTATTATTTTTTTTTTTAGAAAAAGTTTTTAATACAGCAGCATATTATGATAACAGTGACATTGAATATGAAAGCACATCATCAGATGAAAGTGAGGAAGAAATAATTGATACAACTAAACTTCAAAAAGATTATATGAAATACTTATCATAATATTAGTTATACAAGTAAAAATTGATAGTCGCCTGTTAATCGAACAAATATGACGTTCAAAAAGTAAAAGTTTTAGGATTTGAAGCTATGTATTTGTGTGTGAGGTGGTTTATGAAAATGTTTTGTAAATTTTATTTGATTTTTTTTACAATTTCTTTAGCAATAAACAGTAACTAGATCAAATGAGGAGAACAAAAAATATTTTCACATTGACGTTATGTCATTTTGATGATGTATGTGGGCCTTATTTTATTTTATTTTAATAATCTAAGTAACAAATTAGCCATTTTTAGTTGAATGAACAATTGTACTTTCATTTTTCAGAATGGATATAATTAATTATATTGCAACAATATTTCGCTTAGTAATTTCCATTATGATTAACGTGATGATGATAAAATGGCAAGTGATGTTGAAATGTGATAAACTGTGTTGAGAACAAATGAAAAAAAATTGATTGTGATGTTAACCTAATATTTTTGCTTTTTGCTGATTGACGTGATAAATGAACAAATTAATATAATACAATTAACCAATATTTTGTATTTAAAACTATTAGATTTGAAATAGGTTTTTCATTATTATTTAAAAAGTTAACAAATAATCTTTTCAATTAATTTAATCTTGTGATAATTATTTGTTCAAAAGGATCTTTTTTTTATAATTTAAATACATCGTTTACAAAATTGTCAGTAGAACCTATTTATATTGTAATTCTGATTTCCAAATGTATGTTTACTTTATTTGATTGTTTTTTGAGCTTGGCTTTATATTTGTATGGAATTGGAATTGTCATATCACACTTGACATTTGATTTGTAAAAGTAACGACCCAGGGTTTTTCCCTTCTGTGAATGCTCACAAACATTACGTAATGTCGACAAAATTTATTTTCTTACAATTTTTAAATGATATTATTATTTGCAGTAAATTGTTTATTTACATTTAAAGAAAGAGCATATAACTGCATTTACAAATTAATTTATGACAGATTACCGTTCAATTAAATACTGAGTTGAAAGTATCTCTACATTGGCTGAGTTTGGTGAAAGTAAAATTTAAAGAAAAAAATTTTTTTTGGTTTGATTTATTTTTTATGTTGAATGAAGAGTTTAATGTTGAACATTTTTCTACTGTTTGTTTGTTAAATGTAGTGTTTTGATGATAAATTTAGTGTTTTGCTTGTTGCAGTTGTTTTAGAGTTTGCACAATTTCTGTATAAATGAAGGAATTATGTAAAAATAATAATATTAAATATGTATTAAGCTTAAAAGAAAATAATGGCTTCCTGATTAATTTGTTTAAAAAATATAGTCAATCTTTTTTTAATTTTATAATATTATTTGTAATAAATATTGTTTCACACACACACACACACACACACACACACACACACACGTGTATATATATATACACATATATATATACACATACACACACACACACACACACACACACACACACACACACACACACACACACACACACACACGTATATATATATATATATATATATATATATATATACACGTACATACATACATACACACACATGTTGTTTTACATTAAAACAGTGTTAGGTATGTGAATATAAAATAAATAAATATTTGCTGGCTGTGATTGTTTTTTATGTTTTAATTAAATATATACTTTTTATCCTAATCATTTATATTTAGTACTACATTTTAGATAGATAAAATTTTGTGGAGAGCGTCATTTTAACAAACCTTGTTGTCTCAACACAAATTACAACATTCTTGGACAAACTTCAACAATTCTTTTACATCCAAAGCAAAATAATTTACTTAACTATTCAATAACAAGGCATATTAACGTGGATAAAAAAGAGAAACCAACAACAGGCTTCTAACTAAAATGGCGATAGTAATAGCGTAATTACCCATTGAATGCAGTATCGAAATCAGAGACCATACCCAGGTACAGATTTTTTTTTTGTTTTCATGAAACTTTATAGGTTGATTTAGGTTCTAATTTTTAATGTTTTGTTTAATTAATGTTTTATGACTCAACAACCGTGACTCCACCCTGGAGTCAACCATATGCATCGAAAGTCTGGGCATACAAACCTGCAACTCAACACTATGTCTAATCCCTGAAGAAAGTAGATACGGGTTCGTAGTGCTGTATAGTAGTTTAAACATAGAGATCGGAAACGATGCACACAATAGTTAGTCCAGACTGTTCTGAACCATTATGGGCATTATACAATATATTTTGTAATTAAAATAGACAAAAAAAATTGACGTCTCAGAGAGAGGGGCTTGATTCCACTGTGAGGTCACCCGTATCTAGTGAGAGTCTGGCTTGATTCCACTGTAGTGTCATACTGTCATCCACCTTGAACGCGTTAAGGAGCAACCAATATTCATGGCCCCAAGAGAAGACATGACCAGGATGTTTGAGTTCGAGCAAAATTAACAAACAAACAAGTACAAAAAAAAACAATGGCAACAAAGAAGAAACAACTCCATTCAGAACAGCAGCATCTTTTGGTACAGTGATGGATCTAGAACGTAGAAAGTTAGAGGGGGCAGAACCCATGAGAAAAAACACGATTATCTTCCAGGATGAAGTCTATGTCCATGCAATCGAGAGATGTACTCAGTTCAGTCTGAACAAAGGATGCAAAAACAAAGATATAGCTATCACGTCAGATAGCCAACCTTTTTAGGTTGGTTTTTAGATAACCTTTTATGGGGCGGTAACTTTTTTTACTAATTGGTTGCCGTTTACCTTGGCATAAACGTATTATGAAGTTTCTTTTTTTTTTTAATGCATTGTTTTTCCAATAACAAACTAGGGTCATAGCATATTCGGCAGTAGCATCAAAACAGAGGCTGGTTATGCAACCCCACAAAACAAAATAAATATATACCCACTTGTGCTATTTTTTCCAGTTTTTAGTGATAATTTTTGCTTTTTACAACTATTTAGAGTTAAGAATGTTGATAAAGCAAGTCTTATTTGTTACCAACTTACCAAGTTCAAAAACTAGAAGTGTTGCTTAGTTACTACATATTAAACATTTAATTAAGCAGGTATTGGGCACAATAATGCACAATGACAGAAACCAACAAATACTGAAAATATTCGAATATATTTAATGTCTAACACATACATTAACGATTATAAACAAAAATATACACATTTATACAAAATTATCAATTCATGGTTGTAAAAAGTGAAATTACAATAGCTGATCTGATAATAAAAAAGTGAAAGTGCAATTAAAACAATAAATAAAATTTTATTACTGAGTCAATATATTACTTTAAAATTGTAGCTTCTTTAAGGGCAGTGATCCACCTGTAAAAAAACAATAATAATTTAAAGAAAATGACTTGACTAATTAATGTTTCTTAATTCATTTGACAAATATAATAAATAGTAGTGTAATATGGTGAGTTATAAAATATAAAATGTCTGGGACTTAGTGAATAAAGGGTTAAAATAATTTTAGTAGAATGACAATTGACCATAATATTTTCTACAAAATTTTACGTATAATGCTGCACATACATTTCAGCAGTCTGTTTACTTGGTGAGGAAAATATAAGTGATGACTGGCCAGGATGATTCAAGCTGAATACCAAATTGGAATCAATTTCTTCACTGCCAACCTTCAATTTAAAAAGAGACATTTAGTTAAAAATAAATTTAAAAAATCAGTTTGCAAAAAAAGCAATATGAAAATAATAATAATTGAAAGGCAGATTTGAGGTTAAAAAAAGGGAATGTCGGATGGGATAGTAACTTTTTTTAACGTCCAATCTCATGTTGAAAAATTAGTAATTTCAGAATGGAACCGAAACCAATAAATAAACATTAATTGTGTAATTGAATTTTTTTAAAAATTTATGTAGGCTCAATTCTGCCCATGTATGCACTTGTGTACATACGTGTTCAAAACCGGACCTATGACTTCACCAAGAATCCCACTTCAGTGTATTGGTGGCTCAGAGTCAGACCTTAGTCTTATCTGAACTATCATAGAAATTATGCTCAAGGGGCTATTGACAACAAAGTCAAAGGTCTCTAAAGTGTTGAAACATTACAAAAGTTATGATGTCCTCAGTTCAATTTGATTTGTTATGAGAGACAGCCCAAGCAGCCAACAGAGCATTAAACTCAAATATTATTTGCTCATGGATGGTGCTAAATTGCAAAACTAAATTAAACAGATTAGGTATGCAAAACAAGATTACTCTCTACTGGATCCCAGCCCAGAACACAAACGCAAGAGTAGAGGGGAATGAGGAAGCGGATACCCTTTCCAGGAAAAGCATATGCCGCTGATAAGGTCCTGAACCCTTGTGGCGCATTAGGAGCATCTTAGACAAGAAGACATGGCAAATGTGACGAAACAATGGTGTTCACTCACTGGACAGACAATCCGAAAATCTCCTGATGAGCTTTGAAAAGAAAGAGACAATACAATTCATCAAAGGAAGCAGGAAAAACTCTGCATCCTAACAAAGCCCTGTGGACTGAATGGGGGAATTACTTGGGGAAGGTTGGTATAAACCAACTCGTACAGATTCTGAAAAGAAGTAGAGACACCAATGCACTTATTAATAAACTGTGGTGCTACCCTTATCCACAAGGCTTTAGGATGTACAACGTAACCACAGAAGCTATACAACCACTAAAACCTGCACTAATAATCAAATTCTATGATGAATTGGCCTCATCGATGTGCTATAGGTAGAGAAGCGGGATAACGATTTCTCTTAACCTTTTCGGACTTGTGACAAGTTATCTTGTTTGGGCTTATTTGCTCCCCAGGATTTGTGATGAGTTATTTCATTCTTGTTTTTTTTTTTTTGCATTTTAAGAAATCTAGCTGGACACTTGTCATCCATTCAGCTCAGGTTGTACCCAATGTGTAGCAAACACCTCAGTAGTAAATGAACGCCACCTCCTTCCACATCATTCTTTGACCATCATCATCAGCAAACCACTATTTTTCCACTTCTGTTCACAATCTGGCCTCTCTATCAAACTTTTGTGAAACTCTGACACAATCATTTTTCTGGAGAACCATTCGGCCTCACTATTTCCATCTAATTGGGAATGTCCTATTTTGGACCTTTCTTCTACCTCTCACCCAGCCTGCCCTTCCCAACCCTCTACCCTTTCATACCATCTACCCTATTGTCTTTCTAATTTTTCACCCCTTATCTGCCAAGTGGCTCAGTTTCAGTTTTACATTGTTTACATTATCTATAAAGTACTATATACAGTAAAACAGTCCTTTTTCCTCTAAAAATCAGAAGAGTGGGGACCCAGAAACTCATTGCCATGTTCAATCACAATTCTCATATCATGCAGCATTCCTACCTGCACCCTATATAGAGCTAAGGAATGACACGCTGATCAACCTTTCTCTGCATGCTGGACACAAAAGCAGGCTTTTGGCTCAAACGTGTCCATGTGTATAGTATTATCTAATGAAAAATACTCTAAATAAAAATACTCACTTCTGAAGATTGATCAATTGTGTAACCAAGAACAGGAATACTTTGGTATGCAACAACATCATGTGAAGCCTTGTAAACATAGAGTATTTTTTCTTTTAAAACAAACCACTGTCGCTTCCATCCTCTTTTTCCTTTTCTATAAAGCCAGCCACTCATTTGGGAGCCGGTATCATTAGCTGTAACCTAGAAACGATTAAAATAATAATAACTATCTGTTTACGCCAATGTAAACATTTTTATATATGTTAGTTAAGTAGAAATCTTATCCTTTATTATTTTAAATTTATTATTTTAAAAAAAATTATAAAGACAAAATTTGTAAGAGGATCACGACGCTGGAGGGAGAAACAGGTCAATTTTCAGCAATCCTTCGTAAAAGGAGGGAGTCACCGCCTGGTTCTTGACCCGTACGCACGAACGTACAACAGCTCTCTTCAGCGAGTCGCTCCCTGGGTTTCAACCTGTTCGCACGAAGTACAACTGTCTTCAGCGTTCTCAGTCTCTCCCGAGGATTCAACTAGTACGCACGATCGTACATCAGCGGTCTCCAGTCTGTCGCTCTCTGGCTTCGACGGGTACGAACGAACGCACCTTTGACGTCGTCCGGCGAGTGGCCCCCAGACTCCAATCTCAAGCTCCAAGATAAGCGCCAAATCGTTTGATCTTCACTGTCGTGAGTCAACAAGACGTACGAACGTCCTTACTCTTTTAATTCAACATTGCCATATTAACTTTCTTATAACCAACTCTCTACATTTCTATATATTTGTTCACTTTGTTTTGTTTCTGGCCAGATTTTAGTTTCCGTATTTTTATCATAAATTGTCAGTTAATAAATTTAATCATCCAACGAATTATTCTTTTTTTTTAACCTTAAGTCCTTTACGCAACAGCCGGCAACTATCTCTGGTAACGCCGGACTTGGAGGGTAGATATCCAATACTCACTCCCGCCGACGTCTACGAAACACTATCAATCTGAAGAGATAATTGTTTATCACACGATCATTTTAATATAAGGTTAAAACAATAAAAATAATTCATTAGGGTGAGTACAAAAATTACTGTTTCAAGGGTTAAAATTAAATTTTATATTGCCTCTTAATAATTTCTTTTGTATTCTATCAGCATAATTTATAAAATACCTATACAGGTGTGTTTAACTTCTGTTCCCCCCACTATATATTTTTTATGGCATTTTTGTGAAAAACCCAGACATAAACTTTTAATTTTTCTCTAGTTTCTTATGAATACAAAGTTTTGATATAACTCTCCAGGATAACAGAATATGGATAGGAATTTAACATTTCAAAAGGCAAAGCACCCACCTTGTATTGATATAGCATGCCTTTTTTTCTTACATCTTGCAAAGTTCGTCAAATTGAAAATGACCTATAAGGAAGGGATGGATGGGTTGACAAGTTGCCATCCATAAACAGAAAACCCATCCTTGGCATACAAAACTACCCCATGCGACTTGTCAGATGACATGTAAGTTGTTTTAACCATTTATTTTGCATATTTATGCCTTCAACTTTTTTCCTAATATCTCTTAATTTAGTTAGTTTAATTATTCTGTTAAACAGTTAAGATTGATGTCATTATTAATTAATTACAATTAATTAAGGTTTTTAGTTGAGATAAAAAAGTCAATGGCATGAGCAGGATTCGAACCCACGATCTTCGGCTAGATACGCTGCTGCTCTACCACTTGAGCTATCGTGACCTCAATCCACTCGAACACCAACTTCCTATCTCAACCCCACCTTTTGAGTTTTCCCTCCTTTTTGCCATTTTTAAAATGTCGTGTAATCGGATTGGATTCTTGGCGACAAATGAAATGGCCATGGAGAGCTTTAGTGAAGCTTCATTTTAATTCATTAAATTCACTAATTTCATGGTCCGCTTGACCAATTAATATATTACAATTAATTAAGGTTTTTAGTTGAGAGATCGAGGTCACGATAGCTCAAGTGGTAGAGCAGCGGCGTATCTAGCCGAAGATCGTGGGTTTGAATCCCGCTCGTGCCAGTGACTTTTTTATCTCAACTAAAAACCTTAATTAATTGTAATATAATAATTGGTCAAGCGGACCATGAAATTAGTGAATTTAATTATTAATTAACGTTATCAGATTCCTCATTGAGATCTGCAAGGTGATGAACAATTACCAAACTATAAACAAAAGACATGCATAAAAACAACACAACACCTCTGAAACTGACATTCAATGAGCAATAGGGCGAGAGAAATAGAGTGACATACAAACTCATTAATCTATTCAATAAATTAGGCACAAAACCGCACTGAAGATTCCAAACAACATTAGAAAACTTCTAAGAGAAAACAACAATGCTAGGAAAATACATACTCATAAAAATTACAGATACAAAGATCATTTGTGGACAATGTTGAAAAATCAAACAAAGAAACTCACCTTCACAAAACTATCATGAACACTCAAAAAATAAAAAACAATACCATTAACTCAAGGATATTTATAGACATACAAAACCACAGCACACAAATATTATTCACTTCATCCCAAACTATATAGAACACACAAATAAAACCAACTGATAGACACCATTATCGACCAGAGAAACAAAAACCAAGAGTTAATCAAATACAAGATAGACAAAGTAAACCTTCACCTTTCCCGAAAATATAAAGGGGACTTGACTAAGTAAAATAACACACAAACCCACCACTGAAGATCGTGAAATGCAGAAATGCGACCAAAACAGCGATGATAGCCAGACCAGGACGATTGGAAACGACCAAACTACAAACTGATTAACTTGTTATCTCACAATCATCCCAACCACTATGCATATTATTGTAGTTAGCATTACTGTAATTATATACTTATAACATTATTTCAATTACACATGCTTACCTCTTTTAACCTTTGGGGTATAAATTTCTTTGTTTTTTTCGCACAGTCAAATTTTTTAAATGAAGCTTTAAGATTTTCAAGTGTAACTGCAGTTTCGTCATCACTCAATTGTAATTCTGCTTTGACATTTTCAAATATTTTATTTGCCGGATCTTCAAATTCTACAAGAATATTTTGTTTTACACATAAATTATTGCACACATAATAATTATGACATATGCTACCTTTGAGCAAATAATCATAACATTCTTCACACACTCGGGCAGATTGAAATTTTAGATATTGTAGAGGTGCTTTATTGTTTGAACAAGTTCCACAAACAACCTAAAATAATTTTTTGTGTTCAAAATCACTTGTTTATTTATTTTATTCAGAAGCAAAATTTCTATAAGGAATTACATTTTATTGCTCTTTCACCGACCTTTTAGGTTTCATTATTGTAAAATTGAACAGAAATTAAAATCATTAATAATAACATACCTTTCCACAACACCTGCAATGGTGTCGTCTGAAAGTGACTGTAAATTCAGCTGTACAGATCTGACACATGGTGGTTTTTTTGTCTTGAATCCATACTGGCGCCTGGCAAGTAACAGAGAATAAATGAAAACACACAGCGTTACAATATACACTCAAAGGCAAAAAACCCGGACACTGGTATTTTGTTGTTTATTTCAAACTATATGTATTTATATAGTTATACTAATTACAGCATACTTATTTTAATGTAAACCAAATTAAACGAGCTCAGAAATTGATGAGTTTTAATAAAAATTATTTAATTTCGATGGTTTGAAAGAAAATTCACCAAAACGCAGGAAAATCATTTAGTAATAGATTAAAATTGAACTAACAATTTATTACCTAGTTTTGCTCTTAAAAACGCGTATTGCCTCCCATGGCCTCAGAGAGGGTCTTAAGTCTCCTAGGCATCCAGTAAATAAGCAATCGGATTTCGTCTTGTGAGATAGAATCCCATTCTTCAACAAGATCGGTTTGAAGCTGTTCAACACTTGTTGGAGGTCGCGAATGATGTCTAACCGGTCTCATAATCATACCCCATAAGTGCTCTATGGGATTTCATGTCAGGAGAAGATGCTGGCAAATTCATTGTGGTAATCCCTACATCCACCAAGTAATGGGTGACAACTTGAGCTACCTGCAGTCGAGCATTATCATGGATTAACACGAAGTTGTCCCCAATAAACAGAGCGAATGGGACCACAGCTTTCAGAAGAACATCCTCAATGTAGCTTAGTGTAGCCAAAGATCCTTTCTGTATGATAATCAGTACAGTAGGGGTTTAGTTGATTCTACCCTATACCATAACTGTCTTTGAAAAGGCTGTGATTCACGCACGGCACATGAAACAAAGCGTTCTCCATGTCTTGTCCACTCACAGTCCCGGTCATCTAATACAAACCAAACTGGCACTCATCTGTGAAGAGCCCTTGATTGTTCAAGTGTCCAAGCAAGATGCTATTTTTTGAATAGTCGCCTTTCTATTCGATGCTTCTCCATTAATAGAAAACCTGATGTCTAGGAACTAGCTATTCTCTCAAAGCCTTCTTATGACTGTTTTAGAGCTCACTGTTACATTATAGACTGTTTGGAGTTGACTACCTATCAAGGAAGTCTTTAAATAATGGTTCCTTAGTGTGGCGCAAAATAACGATTGTCTCTATCCATTGTACATCGCAGTCAATCACTCCTTTTCTTTGATCGAGACTTATGGTAGCCCTAAAGGGTTGTAGACTACTGTGGATGGTAGAGTGCAGTACACGCAGGACTTGGGATATGTAACTGACATAGTGTCTTAACATCCATCGTCCATCGTTGGACAGAGCATCTACCCGGGCAAGATCTTCTTGACTTAAAACCATCATTTAAGAAAAAAGGAATAATAATTAACTTTTTACTCAAATTTATTTTTTTTTATCAAAGAAAACAATTTAAAAACCAATTAAATCACTCGAAAAGTAGGCTCTGGAAAGGACGAATTTGAAATGATTTTCCTTATTTTTAATCTAAAGATTGTAAAAGGGTTCGTAACACTATAAAGGTAAACAACAAGTTAATAATGTTGTGTTTAAATTTAAAGTCAACTTCTAAAAAAAAAGAAAAGAAAAATGGCAAAAAGGAGGGAAAATTCAAAAGATGCGGTTGAGATGGGTAGTTGGTGTCCAAGTGGATCGAGGTCACAATAGCTCAAGTGGTAGAGCAGCGGCGTATCAAGCCGAAAGAAGATCGTGGGTTCAAATCCCGCTCGTGCCACTGACTTTTTTATCTCAACTAAAAGCCTTAATTAATTTTAAGTCAACTATTAATCTTTATACCTAATTAGCCTATAATATAATATTAAACAAATAAATACAAATGCCCGTTTTTTGTTGTTGTTTTTTTGTCTTTGAGTGTTATTAACATGAGGTTGAATGAAATAAGTTACCTCTTTGCCCAATTTCAGGGTTTCAAAAGTTATTGATTTATCCATACACTTCATACTTAAAAACGTCAACTGCCTCTGATTATTTTCTTTTATAGCAGAGAGTAGTGCGTTTAACCAATCAGCACATTCTTCTTCAGTCCTAAAAAAAAATTGAATTAAATATATATGGAGAATATAAAGAAATATAATCGCACTTTCTGATCTAACCTTGCTCTAAGAGTGAAACTTCTCGTGCTTGTGATTATGCTAAATTCAAGAATATCCATTTGGTGTTTATATACTTTCATTCCAGATAATTGTAATTCGTATTTCACTCTAAGGCCTGATATTGAAGAAGAATAAGTTGTATAGAGTAAACAGTCACTTAGCTAAAAAAAATAAAAAATGACAATAAATCAAAGCCCATCATATCCTTTACTATTCAATCATTAAAAGTTGGTATGAAATGTCTAATATAATTTGAGCAAGGTTTTGTTTTGAATTTTTGCTGGAAGCTTTGTTTTGTGTGATATCAAAAAACTAACGACTTTAATGTAGTTGTGTATGGTGAAATAATCACTGGCCAGTGAACTTTGTATTAACAGTCAATTCAATGGTATTTTATTATTACTAAAATCATTAAAAGTTAATAGTTTTTTGATAATTTGATGTGTCAGATCAATAACTGTTAGAACTACAATACAGAGGGGAATGCCAGTGATCATATCGGTTAAAATGTTGACATGGCGGACACTGGGAGTGTCCCGGGTTCGAATCTCAGTGGTCCTAAATTCGAACCTAAAAAAAGTACTTCCAAATGGGCTTTCAAAGACACCAGAATCTAGGAGATATGACCCCTGCTGTTGTGAACTCCCATAGGGGGAAAAAAAGAAAGGGGCATTACAGGTGATATTGTGCATTAGATCAAATATTTTCATAAATAAAAAGATAATTGCTGGTAGAAATTAATGATGGGAAAATTATTAAAAACTAAAATATATATAAATCTTTACCAATACAAAATACCGCAGCTGCATTTCCTTTCTACTTAGTTTATAAAGTTCCCCTTCTTTTATAAATTCTCGACCTGGTTTGATAATTTCATAACCACCTAAACTAAATTGTATTTGCAACAGTTTACTAAGGTTATCCTGAAAAAAATTAATTAATTAAAAAATAAATTAATAAATGCAAATACTTCAATTACTTATTTACTATTACTTAATAATATATTATTATTTATATATCATTTAATAATAAGTAATTTACAATCAATAAAAATACTTACTCCAAGTTTGATACTACTATTAGCATGGTGTAGAACATCCTCAACAATAGCAAGAGCACTTTTTGTGTCTGCATATTCCGTGCTATCCTCGTCGATCTGTTCTAAATACTTTTCAAGCAGAAGTCTATACTGAGGAACACGCTGTACAGGTTTTAGCATGTAATGTTTCAGAGTTAACTTCTTACATATTTCGGAATTTTCAAATTCATTTAACGCTTTGGCAAATTTTGGATATTTTACACAGCATTCATCGAGAAATGTGCACGTGGACTCAAAGTTCTTAATGTATGTTGAATACAATTTTAGAAATGGGCCTTTTTTAACAATAACATCAGCAATTTTAGGTAAGTGACTCCAGTTCTTTATTCTTAATTCTATATCAGTAAGTAAATTTTCATTTAGGCTTTGTAATTGGGGCAAGGTCGTTATAATTTTTGACAAATCTGTTAGCGAAATGACTGCCCCGCAGTTATTATTTATGGCATAAGTTTTCAGATGTTCAGTAAAATGGAATACAATTAAATGCAAGGCGTTAAGATAGACTTTTTCAGATGTCATAAATTCCTTGGCAATCATAAATGCATCTTTCTGTTTTGAGTTTTCTTTTATTACAGATATGGCACTAGTATCACTTGTTTCCCCAGAATTAACAGTAATAGTAGAATCTAAGTTTAAAGAACAATCAATACTTTGCTGAGAAGTTGAATCAGTAACTTCAGAATCACTTATATCAGCTTCAAAGAAGGTTTCAGATCTTTGGCCTTTATTAAACGAACTGTTAGCCCAGTTTATTGGTTTATTAAAAATAAAGGAAGAACTTTTATCAGCTATTGTTTGTTCTAAAATACTATTGTCACTTTCTGAATGTGAAATATTTGATATTTCGGTTTTATATTCCTCTTGTTCTATCTTATTACTATCGTTGCTTTCATTGTGCAAAAACGAGGCATTTGGTAAAATTGCAGGTACATCACTGGCGGAAGAATTGCTCAAACTTTCGTAAGAACTCCCAAGAGTAAATTCCTCTTGAAAGTGATTCTCATTTTCTTCTTCGGTAATGTGCATAACATCGTGTGACAATTTTTGAAATGAAATTTCTTCATGTTCAACTGTTTTAGTTTCAACAATTGTCGAAGCACGTGTTTGCTGGTTCGGATTGGAAATGAATTGTCGACATACAGCTCTTGATCCATGGCCCGAATGGGGCAACAAAAATTTTGGTTTTGGAAGTAAAGGTGGTTTGGTAGGTGATAAATTTTCTGTAAAAAATAAAATAAATAAACATCAATTACCAATCGCTACATTATTGTACATTTGTAAGTCATATTTGCAATTATCATTATGTATTATTATTACGCACAAATGAGTCAATTTGAATTAAAGCCATAAACTATTATAACTTCAGAAAGGAGCATAACTTAGTCAGAAGAAGGATTGAGATTCAATATTAATATTTTTTTTAACAGTTAAAAAAAGTCATTTATTTATTTCTATAGAACAATTCCAATTTAGAATGGAGGGGATATAAATATTGTTCTACCATTAATGCAGAAATTCACTGTTTGAAGGGTTATTTGATGTTCATATTTGTCATCCTTGTGAACTATGAATGGTTCAACTATAAAAGTTCCTCACTGAAGAACACATAATGCCGAAACGTGTTTGAATAACTCAAAAACCCTTGAGTGAAGGCAGACACAATAAGTGACCCTGTGCTGGTTCACCGATTCACAAACCAAAACCCATCATTAAGTCTCCAACTATTTTTGAAGTCCGGATGGAGGGTGTAATATTCATAGAAAGCTTGACAAAGGAAATGAGGGTTTTTTCTTGTTCAAATAGGCCTCACCTCAGATCTTTTAATACAAAATAAAAATAACTACCCTTTTAAAAGATGCAAGGCTATAGAAGAATGGTTTAGCACAAACAAGGATTCATTCCGAAGACTCATGTCTTGGGCAACAGGACATGAAAAAGATTGAAATTTCACAATTTGCGACTTGGGTTAAAATTAAATGAGAACAGCTTGGGAGCATTGACCATTCCTTTAAAAACTCTCCTGCTAAAGGTCAGAGAGATGATATGAAGTATAAAGTGTCTAACCTTCGTATTGAGGTTGTCTTCTTTCGAACTGGATTTATACATCAAATATTTATACTACCTGGCATTGCAAATCCTCAAGTCATTGTCACAGATAATTGTGAGAGGACGAAACAATACTTGTGTATTCCAAATTTATGATTAGGGATTGATAAAGTATTTTGATGACAAAGGGATTTGTGAAAGTTTTAGCTGTCTGTTTAACAAACCTAAGATTTTTGTAAGGTTTTCCTGTGGTGAAATCAAAATGATGCCAGAAATTTCATTTGTTAATAAAAATATACCCAAGATCATTTATCCTTCTACCTTCTCAATATGAAAGTATGAAGGTCATCTTCGCATTTTTTAATTAAAGTTTGAAAAATTGAATGAATTTCTCTGCCAATTTCCAATCCATTCCGGTGGCACTAATTTTTTAATGAAGTTTTACTTAGAAGAATGAAGTTGAATGAATCCTCTTGGACCAGCAGACTAACACATTTAACCCCCCCCTCTAAAAATCTTCAAATCGTCTGTTATATAAGGCACTAGACTATTTTTTACTACAATACTGACATCTCAGGTAGATATTAAGAATAATATCGGGCCAATAGGTGATCCTTGAGGTACACCAACATCAACTGAAACAGAAACTGTACCTCCATAGCAGACAACAAATTAACTATTCTGTAAGAAGGACCAGCCCAACAAAACGCTCACAAATGACAGAGCTTAGTATTAAGAATAAACTCATCTACCCTACGAAATCTTTGGAGAGGTCTCTGTAACTGTATGGCAATTGTACCCCTTCCAACAGAATTTATAATGAAATCATTCTACAGGAAAATGTTGTCTATAAAGTTTACTTAACAAAAAATGCAAAACCAAATACATAGCCAGTAATGTATCAATTTAAGCAAAAATAAAATAAAAGTAAATATTTACTCACTTTTTATGTGTTTGTTATCCATAAGTGGATACAGTACAAATGCAATCGGGTCAAATAGGACCTACTACACCTACGACAAATAATTAAACGAATATAAATACATAAAATATTTTATACTGCATATAGCATTGTTAGTACATTATTTTAAATTAAACTTATATAACTTATACACTTAAAAAATATAGCAAAGTTATTTTCAGAGATTATATCACTATTATCAGGGCTATAGACATTTTAAATAAATTAAATTTAACATTTAGTTGAATTGGAAAACAATTTGTTTGAAGATAATCTTGACAACTACGATCATTTCAGCACAATAATTGCTTGCTATTTGTTTAATTGCCCCCAATTTAAAAATGGAAAGAGTGAGAGAGAAGGAAGAAAGAAAGAGAGTATGTGTGTGTGAGAGAGAGAGAAGAAAGAAAGAGTGAATGAGAAAGAGAGAGAGAAGAAATGGAGAGATGGAGAGGAAGAAATAGTGAATGAGTGAGTGCGTTTGAGAGAGAGAGAAGAAATGGAGAGAAAGAGAGCAAGAGAGAGACAGCAGGAAAAATGAGAGAAGAAAAAGAGAGTGAGTGAGAGGGAGAGAGAGGGGAGTGAACAAGAAAGAGTGAGAAAAAGAAAAAAGAGCAAAAGAAGAAAGAGAGAAAGGACGTATGAGAGGAGAGATAGAGAGGAAGAAATAGTGCCATAGTTTCTTGACCTTTTGTAAAGACTGCCTAGTTTACAGTAACTGTATAAAATAATTTAAAATATTTTATTGTATTTAAAAGCTTTTTTGGATGTGTTCAAAATTATTACTTTAAGTGTTTAAACTTAAAACCCTGTATGCATAGGAAATCAGTGATTGAAAAATTACAGTATAATACTCTATAACCAACAAGAACAAAAATAATATTTCAGTTCATTATTTATTTAGAAATATATGATTAATCGGTTTTATGTGATAAGAATATAGAAATAGGAAATAAGACAGTATCGACATGTGTAACTCACATCCTTTCATATATAGGAAAAAATTAAGTATTAACATTAAGGAATTAATAATTTTTTCATTAATGACTTTTCCTTTCCCAAGCCAATTCTCCAGTTTCAACTTAAGCACACACTCCAGTGCAACTAGTTACGGTTCCGTCCCATGGGTGAGAAGACCACCTTTTTTGGAGAGTTATTCCTGTTCATTTCCTTTATGTCCCAGAACCCACTTTAAAGTAATTTTGTGTTTTCCTAGAGCCATTAGGCAATTTAGGCACTCCCATTTAGTGCCTTTATGCTGCCTGACTGTCTGAAAATATGTAAATCTGTGCAACTTTCATATTTTTCTTTATTACCACCTGTGCACATAGTTGCATGGACCTCAGCTTGAAAAATTGTTGAGATTAATCAAAGGGGCTTTGCTAGAGTAAAGTTTGGCCCTTTTATCCCTATGCCTACTCCCTGTTACATTTTTGATGCATCTGTGTACAATATTAGGGCCCCTTCTTGAAACCTGGGGCCACCTTTCTTCCTTGGAAGGGTCAGTCAAAGTTGAGTTTTTCTCTCATTTTGTCACCTTCTGTTATAGCCGTCTCATTTACTTTAATTGTCTCTAGAATTTTGTGATGCTTGTATATGTAAATGTTTTCTCTCATGCCAATGACCAGTGTGAGTGATAGTTCTATCACTCCTCTGAGTCTGGCCCTCTACAATTGCAGCAGTGAGTTTGCTAGTCTTGGTGTGGCTTGTTTTAACATAAGTTTACTGTGTCTAGCACCTCTAGAGTTTATTCGCTTCTCTTTTTGTTTTATTTGAATATATTCTGTGAAACAGGATTCTGTACTTGTTTTTGTCATCCCAAAGATTCAGGGCCTATATATGGTCTTGCAGATCCTCCTCTGGCCAATATATGCTGCTTTTTGTAACCCAAATTCCCTTGTCCTAGTACACAAGATATCACCAGGTTTTTGTGTTTCCTCAGGTTTTGGAGATTTTAGATACTTTGACTGACTAATTTTGATATGATTATTTTTACATGTTAATGCTTTAATAACTGCTTGGCTTATGAGATATTATGAGAATTTTTGTCAGTGCAATCTCTTTTAAGATTTTCTAAGGGGTATTGATGGCATGTATTTCAGCTTGAAAGACCAAGGTGTACTTCCCTAATGAGTTTGATTGATCATACTTTGGGCTTGTACAGAAATCCCCTGATACAGTTCCTTCATGCGTTTTGATGTGATCTGTATAGCATATCATTGAATTTGATTTCCTCCTGAATTCCTGTTCTCTGTAGTCTGGTCAGACTTTATAGGATTTTGTTGAAAGCCGGCCCCATAGGAATAGTTAAAATAAGTTAAAAATAGTTGTAAAGCATTTCAAACGTATGTTGGAAATAAGGCCATAAATCTGATGGGTCGTCCACCCAGTAGGGAGCACAGAGACGTTTCCCGCAAACCTGGAAGTCGTAGAAATGCGACAGACATATAATCTGTCCACCAAATAATGAAAATTGATTGAAACTCCTGAAAATTTCAAGTTATTGCATGGCCAACCCTCGCAAGAGGGAAGTTGACCATCTGGCCTAGCAGTTTTTGATTTTCTATTCCTTCCCTCCCCTGTTTATTATAAAAGTAGATGATATGAAAAGCAAAGTCAATAAACTTGAAGACTCAGTCAGGTAAATCCATAGCCAAGTCAACCCAGTCAAGCAGCCACACTCAGTCAGGAACTCAGAGACAGGACTCAGCCAGCAAGGACCTAGCCATTGCAACAAGTCTAATAGATTCGACTGTCAAGGATCCCGGAAACTGCGGAAAGAAGATCCTGGAAAAAGCTGAAGGATGTGGAAGCTGGTGTTGGCAAGCATCGTTTGGGGTAAGAACTCTTGTAAATAAGCTCTCCCCAAAGTTAGAGTAGTGGCTGAATTGCCTTGGTTGTCTGACTTTTTGTTTATTTATTTTCTGACCCTATCCCTCTGGTTTTTTGAATGTTTGAACCCTGCCTTCTCTCCACACAAAAAGTATTTGAGAGCTGAATGTTCTCCAATCCCTTACGATAAGCAAACAGAGCGTCGGCGCCCGCTTGTGTTTCCGGGATCATATAATCAATTCCATTTCTAAGAATGTGTGTCTGATTTTATTTATTGTTGTGTCCCTAGATGTTTAGTTTTGTTTCTGTATCCTAAATGGGCTTTTCATTGCTTCTTGTGTAAATATTACCGATGAAAGTAGGTTTAGCAGTGTTCCTAATTCAACTGACAGGGTTTTTTAAAGGAAGTTACTCGTCAATGTATAAATTTAAATAATTGTATAATCCCAAAACGAAATTATTTTATCTTTTCTTCCTTGTTTTTTTCCTATGTGTATTTTTGTAACTTGAGTTGATAAAAGGCACATTAGTCATATGCCTTCCCCTCCAAACAAAAAATCAATGCAAGCCAATGCAATTCAAGAATGGATCAAAAGATAAAAAATAAATCAATGCCAAATAAGATGTATACTTACCAAAAATCTGAACAAATCATTTAGCTTCAGTGTTAAAGAAATGTAGAGACCATCGGAGGGTACTGTGATGGAATTTAATGTTGATTTCTCCTGGCTGACAATTCCTCCAGATGATTGGCCGTTTTCAGATTGAGACTTTTCTTCTTTTGTTTATTTGTTTGTCTCGACTCGAGTCGCAAAAGGCGACTTGCTCGAGGCGAGAACAAATTAAACGTCCTTTCGTTAAATTCCGATTTGAAAAGCGTTCAAAAACATCCAAACTGAGTCAGACTTACAATATTTTGACACGGTCACTATTTCAAGAAAAGGCCGCCGGCGATTGTTATCGGTCAAAAGGAAATCACTTTTTTGGTCATATCCAAAATCAAAAGGTATCAACTATCAAATCAATCCAAAGCTGAGAACAACACGGTGACGTAACATCGACTAGCACAGTAGCACCAGCTGAGGCCCCTGGTGAGAAAGAGCCTGTCCGATTTGTAAAACCCAACGGAGAGCTTTCATGACGTAGGCCCTGCAGAAATCTCCTAACTTGCAATTTTAAGCTCATACTCGTTATTACGTCAATGCTGGTATAAAAGTGCATAATAGTCACAAATTAAAATACTTTATTTATTCTGATAACTCGTAAGAAGAAAAAACTCATTTACTCAAAAACTCACATACCTACACTCACAGATAATTGGAAGGTGTATTTTTTTAAAGCTCATACTTGCCGCTATTTCAATGCTGGTATAAAAGTATAAAAAAAACACTCCAGCTCATGAATAGTATTGAATTGATACCATATTACAGTCACATATAGCGTATGGACTTATGGATTGTTATTTTAATTAAAATCCATAATATATTCTGCAATACTCATAAGCAGAACAAACTCAATAAGCACACACACACACACCTACACTCTCAGAAAATTGGAAGGTGAATTCTTTTTGCTTTTATGATATATGATGTAGACCCTACCGAAATCTCCAAACCTGCAATTTTAAGCTCATACTCGTTACTACATCAATGTTAGCATACATAGACATATGGCTTGTTATATTTAATTAAAATATGTTATCTGTTCTGTAATACTCATAAAAAAAAAACAACTCAATAAACTCACTCTCTCACACACACAAGATAATTGGAGGATGTATTCTTTCTGCTTTTATGATTTATGATGTAAACCCTGCAGAAATCACCAAACATTTTGTTTATCCTGCAATTTTAAAGCTCATATTTGCCGCTATGTCAGTGCTGATATAAAAATCTACAAAAAATACTCCAGCTCATGATTAGCATTGGATTCATACCATACTTATGGAGTGTTACTTTTAATTGAAATCCATTATCTATGCTGCAATACTCATAAGAAGGAAAACTTAATAAACTCACACACACCAACACTCACAGATAATTGGAAGGTTTATGCTTTTATGATTTATGAAAACGAAATTATCAAACATTTTGTTTATTCTGCAATTTTAAATATCACCCATTGGTCACTATGTCAATGCTGGTAAGAAAAAAAAACACTTCAGCTCGTGAACAGCATTGCATTGATACCATATTGCAGTCATATATAGCATATAGATAGGAGTGTTAAATTTAATTAAAATCCATCATCCATATGTATAGTTTAACCTCTGGTACATCTCGTAACTGGGTATATTTACCTATATAAATAAAATAAATATTCATAAAAAGAAAAACTGAATCACTCAACTAATTATACTCTCATGCACACTTATCTACAATTCACACATAATTTTTAGGTGTATTTTTCAAGAAATATATATATTATTTACATTTATATATATTGTAAATTTTATACACTCGTAATCATATTGTTTGTTTCATAATATGTTGAGTCGGCATTTGTGCCTTATCCGTCCAGATGCTGAGGTTGGGCTCCAGGGGCTACCAAAAGCCTAGGTCATCTCAGCCCCCAACACAATCAGATCCTCAAACCATTCGCTCAGTTACACCAGTGGAGTACTCAATATTCCAGAATCATCTTTTACATCTATTATATAATAACTAACTTAATTCACCAATAAATCACAATTCATACTCAACAAACGCTAGGGATACAAAACTATCAGTACTATATACAATAAAACCCTGTTTCCTACAAGAATCAGAACAGGAAACCCAAAATATTAACTGTGCCCAAGCATAATTATATCTTGGTATTCCTTAGCTCCAAGAGTTAGGATGACAGCTTTCAACGCAACTACTTTCGCTCAACGCTAGACACATACCCAGGCTTTCGCCAGGAACCAGGTACTCAGAGAGCCACCAATCTCTCTTATCTCTTTTCATTTAAGTCTTAAGTATTTCTTTTAAATAATTAAGGTGAATTACTTTTACTTGATATTTATTTTTAGAGTCGGAGGGCCGCGGTAGCCAAGTGGTTAGCGTGAGTCTCTCGGCTCGTAGACCCCGTGGATGTGGGTTCAATTCCCGCCGTCGCCTCTGGCCTTTTTTTCACCATACCCTTCCCCCCAAAACGAATACGCATAACGTATTGTCAGGCATTGGCAAATATGCATAGTATAGGTATATAAAGCCATTAAGCAATCCAGAACAGATTCTCGGGTGGACCCTCTCATTTTAACTCCTAGAGATATGCTGAGCTGGTGCACCTGGGTACCCAGTCACATACGGCTGGAGGGCAACATACGTTATGGACAAGGCAGCAAAGGTGGAACGTCTCGTCATCTAGACTGAACTATCGCAATCCGCTCCGGTGATGCTTTCCAAGAAGTAAAGTGAGTGGGCTGAGTCGTGCCAGAGCTCCCATTAGTTAAGAGCACGACAGAATGATGGCCCTCTGAGAATCTGAACTGAAAGGAAAGGATTGTGCTAACCCAATTTTGAGGATAGGCCATATCCGACTGACACCTGCTTTAAGGTCAAAACCCATTCCGTTTATATAGATTGCTCAATATCTCGTTTCAGAGTGCCGTGCCTTGGCCCCTGACAGGGAACGAGTAATCATGAGCCCCGACGTAAAGTTGGTACTCGAGCAAGTGGGTCATATGTTAGGTCCCTTGGGCCTGTTTCCACAAATATAGAAATTGTACATACCGTATGTATGTATTACATAATGTGTGGTTTGTAAACATTTAAGGCTAAAATGACTTCACTGTAGTAGTATCCGGTTCAGAAAATAAATAAATTAAAAAATTTGGGAGCTTAGACAGAAATAATATTAAACCCTTCAACGAAATGTTCTTACAATTAGTATGAATGAAAATTTCGAACTTCATATTCAAAGGGATTTATAATTTTTATGAAAAGTGTGGATGACTTGAAGATTAACGCCATGAGCAGGACTCGAACCCACGACCTTTTTATCAATGTTTCTCCATGTAGTCTATTATGAATAACATCCTGAGGTAGTTGAATTTGTCTGTACCAAATGTCAAATAATGACGTACTTAGAACTAAAGCACAGTAGTAACATATTATGAATTAATTTTCGATTATTAATAAGATTGTAAGATGGTGAATCTTGTTTTTATTTGTGGTAACATCAATTGTTATTACAAAAATTGAAAGACATAACATTTAACCACTGCTAAATAACTTATCAGTTATGAGTCAACACAATAATTATAAGCTTTTGTTTTGGAATTAAGACACAATGTTTTAATGAAATTGTTTTATAAGAGTCTAGTACAATGAAAACAACTATGTGCCATAGGCATACATATGATTAGATATTTCCAACAAATAACAATTTATACACTACCAACAATGAATGGCTTTCATTCTCATTTTCACATTCTTGCAATCTTACTTGGGTTGATTATGGGATAAACAAAATACGACAATTTGTCCAGGTTTAAACAATTTGTTATTTTGAACCAAATTGTACTTAAAATATATAGGCAATTGAACTATAGTTGATTCCAAAAAGTGGGCATCAATTAGTACTAATCAAATCTTAAATGTTTTTAAAAACTTTAAATATTTATTTTATATTTTTCAACTCAATAGAAATCAAGTACTTGCTCTATGATTTAAAAATGAACACAAAAGAGTATTGTCAAGCTCAGTTTTTTGTTTGTTTTTTTACAACTTCTGTGTAAGATGGTTCTTCAAAAGTACAAACAGAGAAATCTTAATAATAATAATAATAATAATAATAATAATAATAATAATAAAATAATAATACAATGACAATATCAGATTCATAGATTGTAAAGTGATTATGCAATACGATGATTCAAGAAAAAATGCTACCATATTTCAATTAACTTTTATTTCTGTGACCCTGAATAAAACTAACATAATTTTTTGATTTACTTATTAAGTCACTGGCCTTAAACAGGAACAATATTATAAGCACAAAAAAGATTTTTTTTTTCTACGGACAATTAGGCTACATTTTAATACTAAAAAGTACAAGCTCCAAATAATGGATTTATTTCTTATTGAGATAACACTTAATACTGAAAATTGCTTTTGATGTCTTAACATCTGACAAGAAATCCAATTTGTATAAATGATTTTATGTTGCAAAAACAAATAAATATATTACTTACATTTAAATACAAATTTGATGCGTTCGACTGAACAGAATTGAGTGATCGATGATAATCAATAATAAAACAGTTGTGGAAATAAAGGAAAACTAGAGAGATAAATTAATAATTATTTAATTATAAATTGGGCCAATTTGTCACTACAAAAATATCTGCCAACAGCTTGATTTATCAAAAAATCTTATACATTTTTGATTAGTTTATATATTGAAATAAAATCAGAAATATTAACAAATAAAATAAAATGGCGTTGCTGCAGCATAGATGAAATAAATGTTCCAAAATTATTTCATGACTATAATACAGTACAAATAAATAAATGAATAATTTATTTCGCAATGGAGTAAGTGATTACCCGTTTAATTAACAGAAATTATTTACACAGGTAGGAAAATGATCATTTCCCAATTTTTCTAAAAAAATTTTTAGCTATACTTTTAAGTATTGAACTAAATCATTCAAAACCGAGAAATTAACTTATAAATTATTAAGATTTACGATTTTTTCAATAAATAAAAGATGAATACTCAAGAATATCACATTTACAAGCAACAAAAAGAAATTACACATTTAGGACATCTTAATGTTTTGTAATCAGCTTATGGTTATTATTATTATTATAGTGATACTTTTTGAAGCCACACACTTACATAGAAGGTAGTTTGGTTGGAACAACCTTTATCACGAAATATTTAATGAGATTCATTTAACCACTATTCTATCTCAGCTATTTAAGGTTTATTATCATATTCTTAGTTTTTGTTTTATTTAGAGACAGATTTGTTGTCATTGTGGCGATGTGTGCTTGTTACTTGCATGGTAAATCTATTAGACAGGTGTGTACTGTCCGTTGGGTTTGTAGAAAATCTGCCCTTTTGCCAAACGCCGGCCAAGTTCGCTAATAAGCAAACGTCTTTCTTTCTTGATCTTTTGTAGTATACCTTTGTTTTCTTGAGCTCTTCTCGATAAATAAGGTAATACCTCATTCACAGGGCCGTATGGGATGTATTTGTATGCCGAATAGCCTGCTTGGCCTAAAATAAAAACAAACATTATATCATAGCAATAATTTATATGCATCTAACATACACACACACACACACACACACAAAATTAGAACTGTGTAATTGCATCTTTTTTAGGTAAATCTGAACATTGCGAGAGCAAGATATTTATCTGTATCCGGTCAGATAGCGTGTTTTATTCAAGTTTTATACTGTATGAAATTACAAAATGCAATGTTGCACAAAATTGCATTTTTTGTGGAGAAAAAACAAAAAGCAAACATCAGCAAAAGTCACGATAACTCGTGGTTGAGCACCAGAGTACTAATCCAGATGTCATGGATTTGAGTCCAGTTTGTAACACTAATTTTTCATCTCAACCACACTTTGAATAAAATTAATTTATCAATAATTTTTCATTGGTTAAGAGAACCAACAAAAACATAAATTTTATAGAAGTGAATTACATTATATTTCTGTTATATTATTATTATACAGAAATTATTGTTACAAAAATTGCCCTCTTACAAGCGAGGAACATGGAATGTTCATTTTCTAAACTGAAACATATTTCGTACAACAAGAAAAAATGTTGGACATAAAATTTTTAGATATGCATTTGATCATAAATTTTAATCAAATAACAAACATAATTTTATATTTTAATTAATCAATTTTTTTGTTCATAAAAATAATTTCACTTTTTCGAATTACATGTTATAATATAAAGCATATGATTTTTTAAAAAAGCATTGTTTAAAAATAAAAAATATTACCAAGTGGAAAAGTGATGTAATCACACATTCCAAGGAGCTGTCCAAAACAGATTACTTTGTCTTCTGGCTCAACACCAATTTCTTTCATTCTGTAATACATTTTCATAATTATTGATTTTGTTGACAACAGCTAAAAAATACATAATTTTACTTTAACATATAACCTGACTGCATAAACTTTAAACACAATTGGCACAAACTGAATTTTATTAAATATGTACGCCTTCACACATGCCACCTGTGGTCATTGGATATATCAAAAATAAATTATAACTTAACCTCCATTTTCAAAAGAACCAATATTCATTACAAATTAACAAAAGATTTAATTAAATATATAAAAAGAAATAAATGAAACCCTGTATCAATATAGAAAAAATTGTAAATATACACCCGATGAGTTTTAAACAAAATGAAATAAATTAAATTTAATGATTCATGAACCACCAAAATTCTCAAATATGATATTTAAAGTTGTTTTAACAAGTTCAGGGCGGTGGGTCCGGAATCCATTTGAAACCCAGGCCTGTTCGGACGCACCGTTTTCTATTGGCTATTATTTCCCCCCAATTTGAAGCAGTTTTTATATTCAATCTCAAACCTGCTTTGAAACGATATGTGTTGTTCTGATATCGCCCTATTGACACCTGAGAAAATTGGCTGTAAATTTTTTCAAACATTTCAACCTTACTCCCTCAAATAATTACAAAAACTAATTGTAGTTGATATTGGGTGTTAGTCTGCGATTTGGTGAACTCACACTGAACTGGCACTGGTTCACATTGGGTCCATGTTGGCATTGCACGACTTCAGTTAGGAACATTCTGTCCCTTATTCATAGCCAGTTCCTCACTAAGATGGCACAATTATGAGACGTTTTTAAGTAGTTCAACAAACCCGCGAGTGAAGATGGGCCCAATAAGTGACCCAGTGCTGGTTCAGCATGAAAAAAACTAATTGACGAAAGACTAATTATATAAAAGTCATTATAAAAGCGGAATAATATTAATAACAATTACAAGCAAAAAGGGTTTTATGAAAAATGGAAATTCAGCACTATGCGGGTTGCATTATTTGGATGTCGTCTGAGGCAATGGGTCCCATATTTAGATGAATCCATATCCTAATTTAGATGAAAGATATAATTAAAAAAGTTTACCGTGTTATATAATTAATATTAAGGTCATTTATGGAGGGGGGAATTGTCGCCCCAGAGGGTGGACAGCGTTTCAGTCTCCTGCATTCAATGTGTTAATTAAAAGACCAATGTAAATATTCCTTTTCGATAAACCATAAACAATGGCCTATCACATTTATTTAACTACATCTGAAAACAATTTGTTATTAGATTATTAAAAACATAATCTTACTTTTGAATGGCAAAACGAACGGTGTCTTCATTGTGTGACGCGACCATAATTCCTATGCTATTTGGCTTTCCTTTAACTTTTAAATCCTTAATTCTTTGAAGACATTCAGTTAACGTTTTGTGATACATTTCAGACGTGGCTTCATATGTTGGATTAATTGGATCAGTGTAACCCAAAGCAGCTGCTCTCGCTCTTTCCTGTAAAATGAATTTAAGATTGGCAATTTTGACAATTTTTCTAAGAATTCTGATTAAAATCGTCAAGACATTTACCTGTTCCATGTAAGCACCTCTAACAAGTTTGCAGCCGAAGTAGAAATTTTGTCTTTTAGCTTGTTCTAAATCTGTCCTAACTTCATTGAATGCTTCTTTCAGGTAACATTGATATGTGTTGAATACAATTGCCTTTAAATATAAGTCAAAATTAAAACAAGTTTAAATGTTTACACTTGAAAACTGTAAGAGTAATAAACTACCAAACGTACCTTTTCAGTATTGTATTTCCTCATCATTTCCAATGTAATTCTTGAAATTGCTGGTTGGAAATATGTTTGTTCAGCGTCTATCATAATACGGACATCCAACTCTTTAGCTGTCTGCAATTTGATGGCGAGTTAGTTTTGTCTACACTTGCACATCAACATAAATTCTAATATCAAAATTAACCTTGATTAATGTATTGACACGGCGTATCATATTTCGAAACATCTCTTCTTCTCTATTTGACAACTGGGAAATAAGTCTAACCATGCGACCTTCTTTAAGACTAGGAACTCGAAAAGCATCATTTAGTTGAAAACTTTCGTCAATAATTCCACTCCACGGGAACAAGTGAATTACACTAAAACATCATGAAAAAAACAACTTAACCTCAAAAGCTTAAATACATAGTGTCACAACTTTAATTTGCTGTAATACACAATGGAGAGAGAAAGAGAGGGAGAGAGACAGAAAGAGAAAGAGATAAGAGGTTTTTGGTGGTGATGTTAAATGTTTTTCAAATTAAAAATCATTATAAAAACTCAATGAATGGAAACAATAGTTCTTAACTTGTCTGTACCTTGATCATCCTCGACAAGGCTTCACAGTTCATAACTTGTCTATTTCATAAATAAATAGTATTGATCTGAAAACCAGTACAACAATATTTCAAGATTTTCTTAATGCTATTTAAAAAGACATCTCTTATTTGTTAATAAATAAATATGATTTTTTTGAAACTAACAAAAAATAAAAATAAATACTATAGCAGATTTTTGATTGGATATATTTCGTTTTGTGATAGCCATAGAGATTTGGTTTGTCAATTTAAATATTTCATACAAAATAAAAATGCATGTAGAACTTGTTTAGTTGTGACACCATACATAAAATTACAATATCTCTTAATTTATAAACTAATACTCACCCTTCACTATCTTTTACTACTTTTTCCAAAAATTTCTTGGTATCAGTAACTCCTGCCTGCTCTAATCTCTTTGCTAAATCTTCAGCAGAAAGTTTTTGACCGATAACATTACCTTGACCTCCAATTACTTCAGTGACAAACTTCCTCGCCCTCATAATTACTTCAGAAAGCTGCAGCTGTAAAAATAATGTGGAGTATAATAAAAATAATAATAATAGTAATAATAATGTATTTTTTTATTGACTACCATCTAATTAACTGATAGAATAGCACGAATTTGTATTGATAACGCATTTCAGTTAATTTGATGGAGACAAATACATATAAGTTAAGTAAAATAGGAGGGGAAAGACAATTTTTATAACTGCAACTACAATAAACTAAAATGAAACAACAGGACGTATCCTATACCATTTGTTAATGCAGTAGATCTCTCTACAGGGAAGTTGCCAATCGAAATTTAACTAATTATTTATTTCAATATATTAAGTTTAATAAGTTATTCCCAAGCAAAATCCACTTAAATTTGACAATATGGACTGATTCAAAAGGCAACCTAGAAATAAGAATTTATATATTCTTTTAAATGACATATAAACCTGTAGCTTGATCATCCCTGTTCATCCTGGTCTATCCAGGGTTAAAACCAGTGAAGATGGAAAAAATGCTGAAATGTATTCAACAGACAAAACCGGTAAGAATAGGCTGAAAGAAATCAGGAATGATCAAGATACAGGTTCAACACCTGTAGTTTCACAATAACAGATTTTGCATAACGTTTCCGCTGTTTCAAGGTCATCGTCATGTTTAACATGTTTCAAATAATGTTGACACTATACAAAAATATTTATTTAGAAATCGTGAGATGCGGTCTGGTATCTCTATATAAAACCTTTTTGCATGACAGATTTTGTTGATAACATTAAGCTTCGTGGTGAGTTTGTAGTAGTTCAGGTTATAGTCTTTCTTGCAATCTTGTGATGAAAGAATGGCACCATTTATGGATGTTATGGATTTTCTCTTGATTGCTAACGATAGTTGGGTGATACTTAGGACCTGATAGTTGCAGAAACTCACATATAGAGTAAACATTATTTACTGGGCAAGTTAAGTGTAAATGAAATTGAGGACAAAGTGTCAAAAACTCTTATGGAAAAAAATATAAGAAAAAATGCAGTAGCTCTAAAGTACAGAGTAAACATTAATTAATTCAATTTAGCATCACCATTCACGCTAACATAATGCAAAATCTCCCTTGCAAGTTTTTAGTGTAATAATTCTTTAAAATAAACCGACTTGCTCCTTAAATCATTTAGGGAATCATAAAAATGCCCATATTTAAAACAAAATTCAATGGTAGTAAGTGTTAATACAAATATTTTTCTTTTGTGTTAATACAAATATAGATGATTCACGAAATAATAAATAATTAGAGAGTAAAATCTGCATATTTTAAGTTTTGTGCTGCAATTATTTCAACAGAAAAATAATGATTTGGTTTTAATTAAAAAAAAAAAAAAAAAAAAAAAAAAAAAAAAACAGCAGATCAAACACCAAACACTATTTTATATAAATGATTAGGGTTGTAATTTAGGACAATTTTTTTTTGAACTAGGTACATAAATCAAATAATAATAACCAAATCAATAAAATAATTAACTAAGAATAAATAACTGCATGTGGTGTTTAGTGACAGTTAATTAATGATTATTCGGAGATCGTGAGATGCAGTCTGGTGTGACATAGGTTTTAGAAAAACATTTTTTTTATTGTGCCAACGTTTCGATCTTTATTGAGATCAACCTCAGGGCCTGGGATTAATAAACATTGTTTAAATTATACAAATAGATGTAAGATGTGAAAAAATGAATTTATTCAATTACAGAAATTCAATTCAATCAAAGTAGTATTCACTCAAAGTGTTTTTTTTTTTTTTGGTTAACATTGGCACGATAACAAATATGTTTTTCTAAACCTACGTCACACTAGACCGCATCTCACAATCTCTAAATAATCATAAATAACTGCTGTCATTAGACAATTCTAACTATGCACAACCACTTAATTGGGGGGGGGGGATTGTTCTACACCATTGATGCTCAATTGCTACATAATGCAATGGCACCTTGTTAAATCAAATTTCAAGGCAACAGTGAAATTATTTGGTTGATAAAAGGCATTTAATGATATTGACAACAAACTTTGATTTATCAAAAACTTCACTTTCTTTCAAACTTCACGTTTAATATAATTATAATTAATGTATAATAATTAATTAATGTAATTTAATTATAGAGGTCACTTTATCTATTGTTTAATCTTTAACCTTTTTGGGACTCTTGACGAGATATTTCGTTAGAGCTTGGAGGCTCCCCAGGCCCAGTGACAAATTGTTTCATTTGGGCTCATATGCACTTGAGGCCGTGTGATGGGTTTTTCATTATTGCGTCTTTTTGTGTTTTAAGTGCAAAAACACACGGCATCTATCAGGCGGAGGTATCCAATGTGGGAAAGTCCTCAAATTGCAAAGTCCAGTATTATATATATATATAATAATAAAAGGTATTTTTTTCTACTCTGTACTCTTGTGCATGTCTGTACTTATGTGAACTGAGTTGGACTAAATAAACCAGTAATCAATATTTATTTTGATGTTTCGTTATTATGATTCACATAATGAATACTTTTTGTGAAAAATAAATTTTCAATTAAATAAACTTTGTTTGTTTTTTCTCCTTCCATTTCCTTACTTTCAATGAAAACTGTACTATTTGAAGAATGTACAGTGTGATTCTTAAATTGGTGCACTTCCAAAGGAGTAAGAGCGATTCGAAGAGAATGCTTAGAATTTTGATGCACAATGGAAAATAAATCAAGCGGGGGGGGGGTTTCCCACATAGTGGCTGAAAATATGGGTGAGGAACACATTTTAGCATCCGAAAATCAGTCCCAAAAAGGTTAAATTAAGTTCCCTTCTTAGACTTAGAAGGGAAGGAAACCAACCAAAATGTCTAATTTCAAAGGTTTCTGATTTAATGAGGTTCTATTGTTTTAGCAGCTTTTAACAAAAAAGTTTTGCTTTGTCTTTTTTTTCATAATTGGTCTATGATTGTATATGTATCAAATCTGTCATATTCCACCAAACTGTGACAACCATTATTCAGGCCATGTACTGTTGTTATTATACGACTGGACTTTGAATGTCGTATCAATCACTCACAGCTGGTCATTTCTTTGCACGGAAGTGAATTACAAATGCTGTAAGTTTGGGGAGTGAGGGTGTAATCCATAATTTCTAAGTCATTTAAGACGATAATAACTTAAGAAATTATACTTAATATTTAACTTTAAATTATTAAGCAATGTTTACAAGTTAAGCCTAAATTTAATGTTACCAATAGTTGTGGACGTCCAAGAGCAGTAAGTTTGATAGCAGTGATTCCTGTACCATAAGTAGCTCCTGCAGAAAAACAAAATTGTAAAATACACATTGCAAATTAATTTTATTGAAAAATTTATTTTACACACTTTTACAAAAAATTGTTCATGTACGCGGAAAAAACTGTGTAAATGAATGTTCAGATAAAATATAATAGTACAATAAAATTTCGTTGGTGATTTATCAAAATCATAACAATTAAACTATCTTATTTAAATTAAATTTACTATAAAATTTGCAACTATTTAAAAAAAATTACTTCACCTTATCAAAATCATAACAATTAAAATATCTTATTTAAATTAAATTTACTATAAAATTTGCAACTATTTAAAAAAAATTACTTCACCTGCTACAGCATGAAGACAATCCTGAAAAATTTCAACGTTTTTCTCACATGTTGCCTCATTCAAATAAAAATAAGTCCTAGCACTTTGCACTTTATAACGCCTGTCCGCAAAAGTTTTGGCTACATTATACTGAGGCATGGCCCCTCCAACGGAGGCAGCTAAAATGGAAAATAGATCATAAAATAAATGGACGACAAACAAGAAACCTTTTAAATAATTTACTCAGATCTACGTACTTATGATTTTAATTAACACAAAAAACAATATATATAATAGAAAACTACCAAGATTACTCAACTATATTAAAAGCAAAGAAACAAAAAACAAGCACAATAGCACAAATATAAGAATTACGCAGTGTTCTAATAGAGCATTACAATAAAAATTGTATACAGCAATAAAAACTCATACCTTGTAATCTGCAAAGTTTCCAAGAAAAGTTAGTATTATTTTTGTTGGTTAAAAATTGAAATTGATATGTCATGCAAATTATTATATAAAACCAATCTTAAAATAGAGCAAATTTATTTAAGAATCTTTATTTTGTTAATTTTTAAAAAGTAACACTTCATAAGAAACACAACCGCCACTCCTTAGATATGAAATTTATGTAGTGCTAAAAGTAAGAGGTAAATTAACGCTAAAGAAAAGAAATAAAATCATTACTACTACACTTTAAACAAATAATTCCTTTGTTGAATGTTTTGATATTAGTTGTTATGTCAACAAACCTTAATCTGTTGTAACAACAAACAAGGAGAGTTCACAGAAGAAGAAAAGAAAAACATATTGTTAATCTACTTTTTTACATTTTTAAGTTTATTTACTAAAAATAGTTAGGGATGATTAGGATGATTTAAAATAACAGGTACGCAGAAAAGTGTAATTTTTCATTTGCTATTGTTTCAAATCCGTTAATCAACATTTCTATTTACACTGGAGGTTTAAGTGTTTTCATCACATAATACCAAGAGGATAATGTGTCAGTTCATAAAGAAAAAGTGTATTGAATGATTTATTGTAAATTAGAAAGTGTTTTCTTTCTCATGGCTTCAAAAGCCGTAATTCGGGTGTGCTTATTGTATGAATTTATCTCAGTATTATGGCAGCCGGGCAGCTCTTAAAATTTGCACTGCGTTCGGTGATGAAACCATAAATGAGCGCACTGCCCATAAGTGGTTCAAAAAGTTTGCTTCTGGGAATGAGGGGATTGGAGACGAACCATGGTCTGGTTGACCTTGTCTTGAATAATGATGAATTGAGGGATGCTATCAAACTTGAGTGTCAAATATGTCAGGAGCTTGCCAAAGTGTACAACGTAAGTGATCAAATCATTTGCTCTAAGCTTACATCAACTTGGGAATATTCGGAAACTGATCAAATGAGTTCCTCATAAATTGACCGACGGTAAAAAGGCTCCTGTACATTAACACCAAGAGGTCGTACTGTTTGGCTGTCACCAAACCCTATCAAATGGATGAGAAAACTGAATATTCACCACATTCACCAACAAAAAAAGTGATATTACGAGTTTGGTACTTTTTTAAACGTTCTGAACCACTTTATGGCCAGTACGCTCACTTATTGTTTCATCACGGTAAGCCACACTAGTACCATGCTAAAATTCACACTATAAGCTTGCACAAATTATGGGTTTTGAAGTCGTAAGGAAAAAAAAAGTTTTATAATTACAGTGAACTGTTGAAGACACCGTTTCTTGATGAACTGAGGCATTATCCTCTTGATATTACACAACATAAAAACCTAATCCTCTTACAGAAATAAAAAGGTAAATTAATGGTACTAAAACAATAAGAAATGAAAAACCGCATGAACTTTTCTCATGGCCTGGTAGTTAAGATGGTTATTATGTTTGAAGGTGTATTAATTCAGTTCAATAATCAAAATAATAATATGAAAGCATAGATACTACTGATTATTCAGAAATTGTGAGATGCGGTCTGGTGTGATGTAGGTTTCAGAAAAACATTTTCTTTATCGTGCCAACATTTCGATCTTTATTGAGATCATCTTCAGGGCCTGGGATTTACAAACATTGTTTAAATTTAACATCACAATGTTTGTAAATCCCAGGCCCTGAAGATGATTTTAATAAAGATCGAAACGTTGGCACGACCGCATCTCACGATTTCTGAATAATCATCGACTAACGGTCACTAATCACCACACATAGATACTAATGACAAAAAATTTACTACTGTTATTCCAGATGTAACCTAAGGGAAAATTTATAAGTTAAGATTTAAAATCTCCCTCCACAAATAAGTTTTGAAAGATAAGACATATCATGTCTTGATATAATATTGCCAAGATATAATGCAATTATTTAATCATCATAAAAGTAAGACATCAATAATGACAGTAATAGTAAAAATACGGCAGAAGAAGGATAGTTGCCAGATGATTATATATACATATAAAACAGTATTTTCTACTACATCAGCACCTAGACCATCATTTAGATTAAAAAAAGACACTTAATTGATTTATTAAAATTAGTAAATATCTATCAATGACTATAAAATATTTTCATAGTATTTTATTTTTATAGATGAAAAAAATTAAATCTACATTCAACTAAAATTAAAAAAAAAAAAAAATTCAATTTGTGCAAACTTCATCATTTTTCATCATTTAATAAATATACCAAATAAACAGCCTTAAATTATAAAGCAACTAACCATTTGTATCTAAATATATTTTTTCAATCTGCCCTGATGGCCAGATTGTCCGATTATTTCAATAGAGATGGAAAAAATATACATTTAATAAGCATAAAATCACTATCCAATCACTACTACTATTACTACTAACTTATTTACCTACTAACCAAAATTCAAATCAAACGATTACCTTCTTGAGGCCGAGCTGCATTCCAATAAACAGAAATTTCCAATATTAATTTTGTTGAATTATCACATATTTCACATAGAGATGTGCATGTGTCAATCTATTTACAAAAACAAATAAGTGTATTGTCTACCCTATTGAAAAGGGAGAATAAGTGTATATATTTAACAGCAGTTATGGGGAAACAATGGAAAGAAAAAAAATCATATTGAATAAATTTAAGGTAAACAATATTGTATTTCACTTTTGTTTCTGAATGATTACCATTCAAAATCATAAATTGCAAATTGTAATAATTATTAATAAATTTTAAACTAGAGATGGGCAAACGATCAAATAAAATTTATAACTCATCATTTTCACCTTGTTAAACTTGACAACATTCACCTGTCTAATTCGTCATTCAATTCTACTTTCCCCTCCAAAAAATAATACGAAGAAAGTATACAACATTTTTTTAATATATCACTGAGGAATGCTGACAGTTTTGCAAGTTGGAAGCCATGAGGGAAATTTTCTTTCTCTAATTTAAACATTTTTGCTTTTTCGTGCTGCTTCATATAAAAGAGCTTAAGATATTGTGAGCAGATCGCCCATCTCTAATTTAAACTATATTTAATATATTGTTTCTAAACATATTTTAAATTTAGACAATTGTGAATGTGCTCTATGATTTCCATTCATGTAATTAACTAATTCATATACAAGATTTTATCCTCAATGAAATGGAATATTACAATGCACAGAACACTAACAACCAACTAATTTGAAATAATTTTCAATTTTAATAATTAATATGTATGTACTACTTTTAATGTTATATATTTAGTTATTCAGATATCGTGAGACTCTCAACACGACACGCAAGGATGGCACAATTACACAGAAGACAAACACTTTGAGCCCTGTAGATGATCTCAATAAAAGATCGAAACGTTGGCACGATAAAGAAAATGTTTTTCTGAAACCTACATCACACCCGACCGCATCTCACGATATCTGAATAACTATCGATTAACGGTCACTAATCTCTACACGTTATATATTTATAAGAAAGTCATATCCCGTTACAAAGATCCAATAATTTGTTATCAACTCAGATCAGGTTTCGCTTCCCTGAGTAATAAATGATCTGATATAATATAATAAACCTATATTTATTTGAGAGCAACAATACTGAAAGTACAAGAAAACAAGGGTCAAAAATTCCAAGGCGAAACCAAGACATGTCAAATAAGACACTCCAATGCTCAAAACAATCTCAGACACATAGCCTCCCATATTTCAAACTTAAAAACTGAAATTAGATATTCTCATTTTGTTTATTTTCATCCTTCGATCAACAAGAAGGTTTTTGCATCCACTTTTTTTATATACATATACATCCACTGCAAAAAGAAATTATGACAATATTATGGGTTTTCATTTCATTTAGCTTGGATTTATTATTGTTCATAATCTACCAAACAAACAGTGAAACAATCTATTTAAAAATCCTAAAAATAATTTTTAGAAACCTAACTACCCAAAATTTATTTATATTTTTATTGGCAAGCTAGTAGGTAGCGCCTCTGCACCAATTGTGCCAGGAAAACATTTTAAAGCTCAGAAAAAAATATTTTCCAACAAAGATATTTTCATATTTTATTTGTATGCTAAATGTTAGCAAAGGTAATTAATTAACTAAATTATAGTAAATAATGAACCTTGCCAGGTACCCTGTGCATTCAGTAAATACAATCATTAGTCAAGGTTTTGTCAAAAATTTGTGTGGACTGCAGTTCTTTCTTAATAACGTCAAAATTACTTTTTTGTTGTCCCACTCCATTTCAGCTTAAGAAACGAGCAGATACTAGATAGATCAAAACTCAAGTGTTTCTGTGATCCAAGAACATTTGCGCAATAAATTTTGTGGAAAGCAACTTGAGGAAGAAACCAACCCTATGTCTATCCTCTATTTAGGCAGCTGCACAGTGCGAAATTTTGAGAAAATTTTGGACAAAAAATAATTTACCATGTAAAAAAATAAACCATATATATTCTTTTAAAGGCGTTATGTTTTACATATTAGCTAGAGGAAATAATATGCTTGTTGATTGATTTATATTTTTTGGGAGAGAGGAGAGAGAAAAAAAGCCAAAGGCATCAACCACAGGAGTGATTGAGTACGTCATTACCACGCAAGGCAAGAATCAAACCCACAACCACAGGAGTCTACAAGTCATTTTTTGTGCTAACCGCACCAATACAAATTATATTTATGGATAAAAATTATCACAATTTTTAAATTGGCTGTCTTTTTTTAGTTTAGTCGAGTTATAAGAAAACAGGGCTCTCATTCAATGTTTTTATTGAGCTTTGTGCAATTGTTCGGAACATACTGCCTCCGAGTGGATCCACACCCGACGAGCAGAGTATTTGGGTATGTAGCCAAATGCTTGTCTCACTTAGTGTGGATTTGGCTTAAGATTAATTGGAATTATCTAGTCCAATAAATATCACGTTGCATAAAGCACAAAATAACGAAAAATTAAAATTTTTAAAAGAAATTTTATGATCCAAGCTTTATCATATTAATCTTTTATGAATCAAATTGAATCTTTTGCTTAAATATAAATTTGATCACTTTTTCCCTTGGTTAGCAGCCCAAAATTTTCTTTATTTAGTTTCAACTTAAATGTAGGTATGAAGCATGCACCAGTCTATTTATCCCATAAATAGTATCCCATGTAATTAGAATAAAATGAGATTATCGGATGAAATTATGAGTTACAGCCATCCTTGAAAGGAGGCTGGTTGCAATGAAGCCCACCAAATATCTATTTATCGCTAAGACCATAACAGCGCTTCTTCGACTTATTTTATTTATAAAACCAATGTATGAAATATGGAAGCTAAAACAACACATTTCATCAACCCCGACAGTAAATATCAGACAAAAATTCCTTTAAGGCAATACCAAATGTGGCTTATAAGACGAATTTATCAATAACAATGGAATAATAAATAACAAAACACAAACATCAGGCATATCATTAAATAATGATTCTTATTGGCAATATAAACCTTGAAATTTCTTGACACAAGCCTATCCAAATCGAATGAGAGTTTGTAGCATCCTTGCAGCAATTTATTGTGTTCACTCCAATTTCTACTGATAAGTAGTATCTAGACAATATTATAGCAAACTGGAACTTAAGTATGACCTGGATTAATTTCTTTTGTTTAAAACAATTGGCTAAAAATTAAAAATTAAAATAAACATATTTGTTAGCAAAAAAAAAAGTAAAAAATAAAATATTTCACAACAGCACGTATTTTTAATTTAAAAAAATCAATTAGTAAAGCTTAATACAAGCTACACATATTAATCCTGAAAGCTTACCTTCTGTAGAAGCATCAGTACTCTGTACCTCCGAAACACTTGACCTAACATAAAAAAAATCGTTAATAATTTTGATGAAATCATTACAAGTAATTTAGTTGATAGACAACTTTTATGCTTTTTAATATTAATATTTACAGAATGTTTCGTAGAGCCATTTTTCCCTTGACGTGTTTTTGTTAGTCAATCCATTAAGTGACAATTCACTACGTCATTAATAACTCATTTTCTAGTTCTAAATGAATTAATTTTAATTAACCAACCATCAGAAGGAAGGAAGTTTAAACAGTATAAAATCAAGTAAAGCAAAAATAGGTTTAACTTACTCGACTTCTCTCTTTTCCGCTTCCTCTTGGCTCAAATCTTCTTCTACCGAGTAATCAAGAATTGGTTTAACACCGAAAGAACGTAGACGCATCAGGGTAGGAATAATTTTGTATCTATCTTCACCAGCAACGAAATGGCCATAAAACGTAGACTTCATTATTAGAGTAAAAAGTTTCTCGCCAAATATAGATTTCGTCAACTTCATTAACTGAAACAAATAAAGTTTACTTGTAGAAGAAAGACCGATTCAATGGATAAAACAAATTTCAAAAATTTACAACAATGAATATAATTATGAACAAATTTTAACTAATTTTGACTACTAAATATAGAAGAGTAAATCAATTATTTTAATGTACTTGTAAACTGTACAAATTTATAAAAACACATAACTACTACAATTAAATTAAAAGGAAAACCTCAATAATATAATATCAATGCTTCGTAACTACTTTAAAAAAAGGTTAAACATTACAAATGTAGCTTTCCAATTACATATATCAAGTTTTTACTGATTCAAATCAGCTCTTATACAATAATATTTTCCATAAATCTTAAGATTGCAATAATTGCAAAAATGTCTTTATTTAAAACAAGGCCAAAATATATTATTGACATTGATTATTTTGAGATTGTGAGATGCGGTCTTGTATGATGTAGGTTTAGAAAGACATTTTCTTTATTGTGCCAATCTTTCGATCTTTATTTAGATCATCTTCAGGGCCTGGGATTTACAAACATTGTTTAGATTATACAAATACATGTAAGATGTGAAAATGAATTTATACAATGATGTATATAATATAGAAATTTTAGGTTTAATCAAAGTATTTGCACCCACTTAAAGTGTGGTAGATGTGCCAGAGTTGTGTGTCGTGTTGAGAGTGTTAGTGCGATATAAATGTTTTTTTGTTTATATATTTTGATTTTGAAGGAAGGAAATAGGGATAGAAATTCATTTTTCTATGAGGAGTCGGCTTCTTTGAGGTGAAAGTGTTCTAAACCTACATCACACAACACCGCATCTCTTGATCTCCAAATAATCATTAATTAACGGTCACTAAATACTACACATTATTGATATTCATAAACAACATTTATTAAATTTAGGAAGCTACAAATTATATTATAACCCAGCATCAGCGTTTACTAGAGCAGAATATTTGTCTAGAAATTCTGATGAAAAAGTAAAATTATGTATTTTATTTGAGTGGAAACGGTTCTATTTTTCTCCTCCAAGATCTTCAAAACAGGCTTGAAAAATAATCGGAATAAAAGGTTAAATTTTTATTTATTAATCAATTGCCCCAATAAACTTGTATTTAATTTTTTATAGGTATTTTTAGGGGGGGGGGTTAATATATGTAAACTAGACTACCATATAAAATCTAAATAAATTGGCTCCATATAGAGCACATAGGAATGCAATCTGATATGAGAATCATGAGTACAGCAGCAAGTATTTAGGTACTTTGTTCTGATTTTTGGAGGAAACAGGGTTGTTTTAGTGCTACAGTAATGATGGTCCCTAGTGTGTGTTGAGAGTGAATGTACTTATTGGTGTTAATGTGTGTGTACGGTGTAATGGCAGCATATTGATTACCCCATGAACACTCATTTAGGTAATTATACACTCAAAGATAAAACAGACCAGACACCGGACATATTTTGTTGTTTATTTCAACGATATGTATTTTTATTGTTACATTAATAACAAAATTAATGTAAACCAATTAAACAAAATCAAAAATTGAGTTTTAATAAAAAATATTTAATTAGGATAGTTTGAAAGAAAAATCACCGGAAAATCATTTAGTGATAGAATAAATTTAACTAACAATTTATTACCTTGTTTTGCTCTTAATAATGCATTAAGAACAAAACTAGGTAAAAAGAAAAATGATCTAGCATTAAATGATTTTCCGGTGTTTTAGTGAATTTTCTTACAAACCATCATAATTAAATATTTTTTATTAAAACACATGAATTTCTGATTTCTTTTAACTTGGTTTACACTAAAATATGTATGTTGTAATAAATATAACAATAAAAGTACATATATTTTGAAATATTCAACGAAATATGAGTGTACGGTTTTTTTTTTTGTCGAATATATGAATAGGTGAAAAGGGTGATGGAGGAATATCGAGTACTTCTACACCCTGATTAATGCATTTGGATTTGGAGACTGATTGCATTGGGGGGAGGGGGGCTGACATGACCTAGCTGTCGATAGCCCCTAAAACCCAACCATGGCGGTTGGACAGGTAAGACTGAAGTCTGGCCCCGGGGACTGTTGTAAATTACAAAAACTGCAATTGCAGGTGGACTGCAAAAAGTGATAGCCTGAACTCTGTGCATGCGTATGTATGTACGTATGTGCTTACGCAGATTTAAGATTATATAAATCACTAGTAAGTAAAATTAAATAAAGGTTATAATAAAAATAATAATGTACAAATAATTACATCTACTCATTTTGATTTTATGTTAAATGAGTTTAAAAATATTAAAAATGTAGGCAAAATTGCTAATATTCAATCAATGAAACACATAAACAGGATTTATTGATTGAAGATTTATTGGATTTTATTCAATATACATGAATGGAGCGAAAAATTTAAAATTCAGCAGTTTAGAGCTACATAAATTAATAAGGAATATTCTATATACACTGACAGGCAAAAAATTCCACCCAACTGATTTTTTTTCTTAATAAAAGAAAATTTTGCCCCCAATTTGTTTTGTTGTTTTTATCAATAAATATTTGTTTATGCTGTTTTAAATTTGGAATATCAATTAGATGCAAGCACACTTAATCCTTAATCGAAAACAAGGATAAAGGAATTTTCAATGTTTAATTTTTACAAAATTTAAAATGTTTATTCAGTCTCATTTGAATTCTGAAGCAATAAACTGTTTAGTTAATTTATCTTTGTTTTCTTAGTAATTTCAATTTTTAAACTTAAAATTGTCACTTAATGCTGAGGACGTTGCGCGTGGTGTGGCACTTATTGATGATGGACGTTCCATCAGGTATGCGCCTATTGCCATCGTAGATCCTTACAAAATTCTGCGAGACGCCGTTGGACGTTTTCGAGAAACTGGGTCCTACTAAAGAAGGCCCGGTTCTGGACGTCCTGGGGTAACAGAACCAATGGATGACCATTCTTTGACTTTGAGAATTTTGCGAAACCGGCACCGTACTTTTGTTCAAGCGATTCATCAGCATGGACTGATGGTTTTTCGCCCCATAAGAGGTGCAGAACACACTGAGTTGCACGGCTCGCATTTGCTCGAGAACACAGCCATTGGTCTTTGGACGATTGGTCTGCTGTACGTTTTACAGATGAGTGTAGATTTACTCTACGATCTCCAGTTGGGCATGAAAGAGTGTGAAGAAGGCGAAATGAAAGGTATGATACCTGTAATTTTTCTCAGAGCGAACTTTTTCAATATAGCTCAGTGATGGTTTGGGCTGGAATTTCAATGTAGTCGAACAGAGTTGGTTGTTGTTCGTGGAGGGTCACTTGCTATGTGGATGGAATTTTGGAACATCATGCATTGCCCATCGTCAACGGAATTAGCGACAATCCTATTCTAATACATGATAATGCCCGTCCACATGTCACTCGTGCATAGTACAAACGTACCTTCAACAGCATAACATCAAGGTCTTAGCCTGGCCAGACTTGAACTCCATCAAACATTTATGGAATAACCTTAGAAGACGAATAAAAGCACATCCTTCCTGATATAATACAATCCACAATCTTGAAAACTCTTTGTGAAGAATGCAGTAACCTCCAGCAAAGAGACATTTCCAGACTGGTACAAAGTATGCTGAAGCATCTTCGAGATGTAATTAAGGCAAGAGAAGGAAATACGCGATATTGAAATGTTAATTAAAAATCTAAAACAAATTTTATCTGTCGGTTTTTTTTTTTTTAATTTTTCCTTTTCCTTAACAATTTAGTTTTTTTTCAATTTTTTAGACAAAGACTCAATTATTAAACAGTAAAAAACGTGAAACTTTGATTAATATATACAAATCAAGTTATATCACAAGTGGGTGGAATTTTTTGCCTGTCAGTGCATTTCTTTTAACCAGCTGTTGGTAATTTTATCTGAAATAGATGCTGAAAATAAAAATCTCAATTCTGCCCAACACATGAAACTCACTGATATGATAATCTTTAAGAGATTACCATGAATTATAATTTATAAACACATGAGTATGCAATTATTGTCGGTGACAAAAGTGTCTTATACCGAGGATGGGAATTCATTTTTTTAAAATATTAAATCCTGCTGGTTGCCATCTCTGCTAGCTGGAATTATAGTGTACTGCGGAATCCATAGTTCCCAGTATAATTCAGAGGCTTCTTTGCATGAAGCAGACAAAACTTTAGGTTGGCAATTATTACTTATTTAATTTTAGAAACACTGGACCCACAGCACTTTAAAATTGCTTAAACAAACAATTTTCCCTCAAAGAGCTCCAATTAGAACTACATTTGTGATTCGTCACACAAAACACTTTCAAATGTGTCATAAAACAGACAAACCAATTTATTATATGTACTATCATATATATACGCCTATTGTTCGATTTCTCTCTCCAAACGATATAATTATATTGAACACTGTTGTCACGTGCTTACAATGCTATCACTGAAGAAGTTTAATGTTTTTCTAAGCATATCCAGACAGCTTATTATGTGTTATCTTCAATATGACTATTACTCAATTAATTGATATTATTCTTTGTAGCAAATAAAAGTTAAAAAACAACCATCTTTGTGATAATTTAAACATGCCTCTTTTTATTTTTATTTTATTTATTTTTTTTTTTTTTGAGTGGGGAATGCACAAAAAGAACATAGCACCCATCAAGCACAAGTTTAAAACAAAATGAATTAATAGAAAATGATAAAGGTGGGGTGAGTATGTATTTTAATCTTTTTTATAAAATGGTTCTACTCACAATTTGTTGTTTTCAATGATCCGGATTTCAAGCTTAAGCTCAACATCAGGTTGAAGGATTTACAGCCACGTCTCTCATATGAATTGTAAGAGTCAAGAGACGAGGTTGTAAAACCTTCAACCTGATGATGAGCTTTAAGCTCGAAATCCGAATAACTGAAAACTACAAACTGTAAGAACTATCTTTTTAAAAAAGATTAAAATGAATTAATACTTTTGATTGGAATGATTCATAAACAAAGTAATAATAAAGAATGAGAATGATTTTTCACAAGACTATAAATTCTGATTTCTGGGTAGATAAGGAGCTAACAGAATCATCCTCCTTCGCCACAATATAGCATGATTAATACTTTTCACTGGGATAATGCCCAAATATAGCACAGTGCAAATCATGAATTCCTATTGTGGAAAAGACAATTTATTTCCTCTTATCCATCAACTTACTATTGGGTTCCACAAAATAAGAATAGACACTATCAAAAAACTAAAAGAATGAAACAATTCTTCACAAGGAAAAATGTTGTAGTTGAATTTACAGCTGTCTGATGGATACAAACAAAAAAATAATTAGGCATGTGAGTGGCCGCAACGGTTAGTGTTGACATGGGGATTCATCACTCTAAGGGTCTTGGGTTTGTATCTCAGCCTTACAGATAGGATTTTTTTTCAAAAACACCAGAACTCCTAGGGTTGATACGGCCTCTGTTGTTGCGAACCCCCGTTAAAACAAGCAAAAAAAATGCTGGTTGTTGTGTTACCAGCTGACATGATCATACAGTGTAAAATAAAATTAATATTGGATGTGTGTGTGTTTTTTTTTTTTTTAATTGTAACTTTTGCCCTTATAAAGATGATCCTTGTTTAATTACCCTGTTAGCTCTAGCATGGGAAAAGCCCTATTGAAAGAGATTGTTAAGAAAGGGGTAGTTGATCCCAATAGTCAGTTTAGAATAAACTGGGTTGTGAAGCAAATAAATATTTTTTTTTTTTATGAGGGTTCGCAACAGCAGAGGTTATATCAACCCTCGGGGACCTGGCATTTTTGAAAAAAAAAAAAAAAAAAATGCCTATTTGTAAATATGTCGGGTTTGAATGCAGAGCCGCTGGATTCGAACCCGGGACCTTTACCTTACAGCGATGAGCACCGTGGCCACGCCTAAACCGTTGCAGCCACGCGATGCCCAAATAAAATTCATTAAAGGCATTGCTTGCTATATGAGTTCGATCTCAGGCATTGAGCGACAATGCCTATTGAAATTTATATGGAATTTACAGGGATAACATAGTAATTGAACATGTGAATCAACAGTGGTTCCGACGTTTTCGTAATAGAGAGACAAATCAAAGATTAGCCTAGTTTTAGAACACCTAACAAGATGTTGTTGAGTGTGGCACCGTTCTTCCTGTAGAACTCCATAATGGTGTTTTTTATAAATAAATATAAGCCTTTAGTTCCAGCAGGTTTATTTACATGGGAAGCTTTTCAATTATTTTATAATCATCTTCAGCCCCTTAACTCACAGCCTTGTTATTTATATTTTTTCATATAACACTAGTTATCAATTAATAATATGTTAACATTGATAAGAAGTGATGAAAAAATATAAATAACAAGGCTGTGAGTTAAGGGGCTGAAGATGATTATAAAATAATTGAAAAGCTTTCCATGTAAATAAACCTGCTGGAACTAAAGGCTTATATTTATTTATAAAAAACAACACCTAACAAGCTTAAAAGCGATGACTTATTACTCGCAATAGAGGATGAGGGCAAATTAACTATAGCAGAGCTATCAATAAGATTTTAGGTACATCACACAAAATAAAGAAGAATCTGATCTCTGAGTTACATAATGAAACTCATGGAAATCATGAATCCCACCAGGAACAAGGAATACATGGCTTGTTGTGTCTCACACGTAAATAGGAATAAATCAGAAGGTTTTATTTCCTATTTGGTCACTGGAATGAGAAGTAGGTTCTTCACAAAAATGCTACACGCCAAAAGACCATTTGCAAGAAGAATGAAACTTCGACATCAAGAGGGGCTGGGTCTATCTTGGAAGGTCCTATGTTCTGTTTGATTGGCTATTCAAGGAATATTGGTAAACTCATGAAACGGCATGGTACACTGTGCCCAACCAGAACGTAAAGGGTCAGCATTGAAGGAAAAACGTTCAGCCCCGGTGAACAGATGCAACGTTGTTTCATCATGAAGACCAGGCCTTACATAAATCATGAACTAGGTCTTACAGTAAAATCGCAGAGGTAGAACAGCAACAGTTGCCCCACCCTCCATACTCTCCACACCTTGCCCGCCCCTTTTGATTTCTACTTGTTTCGTTCCCTAGATAATTTCTTAGAAGGCAGGATATTTTTGGACGAAAATGCTCTGAAAATCAGACTCGTCTAAGTCTGATGCTTGGACTTTCCCCTCCCACCAAAAAAAACAAAAAAACCTCGGAGTCTTCATATTAGTTTTTTGTTATTAAAATTTTCTATCAAGCGTACACTCCCAATTACTTTTTTCTTTTTTTGGCTATATTCTGACTAAAACTCTCCCAAAGCGGACAGCAGCCTCCATAAAGTAAACGTTCCCCCCCCATGTGTTTTGATCTCCTTCCAATATTTTCCCAATATTCCTATATTTCGATTAAGCCACTTTGCAAACATGTTAAGTACTTATTCAGTGCGTTTAACACTTAAAGAAAAAATTAATATAAAAAATAAAATGAGTGAAAGTTAAAAAATGAGTACGAGATTTGGCAGCGAAGTTTTCCATTGGAAGGACCCAGGCAAGAGAAATTCTAAAGTCAGTTAAGGTGTTGACACAGTATGGTGCCTTATCGCTGTAAGGTAAAGGTCCTTTGTTTGAATCAAGCAGCCCTATATTTGAGAAAAAAACTACATACATTTTAGAAATCCGAAAATGACCAATCCCATTGATTTTTTTTCTCCATAAAACGTCCTTAGAAGTTGCAAAACATTTAGGGCAAATGGATTTTACAGCATCTACTTGATCTTGGTTGACTCAACAAATTTAGAACACGGCATAAGATTTTTTTTTTTTTTGCATAACCCCACAGTTCTCCTCCATACGCCCGAAGTGGTCACAGTAAAGTATATGTTTAGTTTAGTTTTTGGTACTAGAAGTTAAGTTGTCTCACAAGCCTTTTGTGGCGATTCTATGCTATTGTCAAGGTATAGTCCGAAGTATTAGACTTGAATGAAAATCAGTATCTCTTTGTAGTTGATGTACAGCGGAGGGCACTGTTTGAGTACATTTTTCTTCATTCCATCTTGTCACTTTTTGCACCATTCTTCGATAGCTCAAAGTCGTAGGTTGAATGTTAATAAAGCCATTGGTTCCAACGGTTTAAACAGGTTAAAAACGGATTAATTGGTAAAACTGGTTAATGGTTTGCAAAGTGGTTGGAACTAAAGGCTTTATTAACATTCAATCTATGCTAATGGAGTTCCACAGCAAAAGTACAACAATCCCTGAAAAAATTGTAAGCTCAAAGTGTACTTGGATGTTGGAGGTTGTTCAAAGCAAGAAAACAAAATTGTGGTACCGTCCGTGTAGGTGGTGGATGGTATTAATGGTATGCAGGTAGGAATCAAGAATGCGCTGGCTTTTTTTGTAAGTAATCTGACTTCCGAAAACTTGTACTTTAGTACTAAACATTTTTTTCCCTCTTATCACAGAAGTGGACAATATTTCATTTGCCAAGATTGTCCGTTATAGGTTCTTAACAAAGCACAGCCTTGTAGATATACTCTATTTTTTTTTTTTCCAATTAGCCATTGCCATGTTAGAAAACTGCGCTAATGAATAAATAAATAAGGCGTAAAAAGTTACTTAATAGCCATAAACACAGTTGCCTATTTATTCACCTTATCTCCTGTACACAAAATGCTTCCAAATGTTATCAACACCCGACACCCTTGAACATGTGGGCTGGTTTATTTTAAGGATATTTTAAATGGCATTTCGCCAATTTTATTGTGATTCTTCTGTAAGGTCTAAAAACTATTTTAATATTTTTAACCTTTTAACTTTTTTTCAACGGGAACGCCACAGGGGCTGGGGTACGAAAGTTGAGTTTTCCAAGGAAATCTGAACGTTTTCACTGGTAATTTTTCAATTGGGAAATTCGGAAAATCTGTGTCAATTGTCCTCAGAGGGGAGGGGTAGGAACTCGAGAAAAAAAATTGAAAAATTGGTAGAACAGGGTAAACAAGAGATAAGATTAGCGTTAACATTTAATATGGGGCGGCTTTGGGGATGGAATGTATACAAGAGTTACAAAATAAATAAATAAAAATGAGGAAAATAAGGAAATGAGAACAAAATCTAATCCATGTTTTGATAATAAATCCGGAAGGGAAATTGTCTTATTCAGCGTTAAAAATGTGGCGGCTTATGGAATAATGGTAACGTCATAAGTTTCCAAGGCCGGAGCCGGCTTTTTACCCCGACATGCTGTCGAGACCTGGGCCCAGGTGGAACGGAAATCCTTATCGATAAAAAGTAAAATTATTACTGGTTTTTTGAGGGAGGAGGTGTGAGAATAGGCCAGATCGGTTTTACCTTCATGTTATTTTCGACTAAGTAGGCTGACGAGCACATCGTGTAGACGAGGTAGGCCCTCAGGACTTCCCATGTCGTTTTGCTCTTGAAAGCCGCCTCCGGGTTGTCGAACGAGGTGTCGAGCGGGTCCCTCAGCGGTTTCTTCGGCTTCTCCGTGTCGACAGCCTTCGTCGAGCTGTGCCTCGTCGCATTGAAGAAGGACGACGACAAAAGTGCCGGGCCGCGATTCCACGCAGTAGGCTGACCGTTGAGGCAAAGTTTTCTCGTTTCGTTACATTTGGAGATTGATCTCAAAAACGCCATTACTCGAATTGGACGAAAATTGAATCCGCCGTTTTATTTATAAGAGAGGGGATGGAGCCGCACCGCGCCGTCCTCGGGTCCACTGTCTGGTCGAGAGTCGAAACCGAGAAGGAAAAAGGGCCCCGTTTTCAAATTTAAAAAAAAAAGTAGCACTCTACTTTCCTGATGTACGTTGGTTGGAGGTGGTTGTGTGACGGGTTTTTCGGCGAGCGGAACGGAGCGAGCCCACGGGAATCGGGTATCCGACTTGCGACTTGCGAGTTAGAGCAAAAGTGAAGAAATCTCAGTTCAATTATTGACAGGATTGCCAACTCTCGAACTGCGAAACCCTCCCCCCCGTAGCCAACCAGTTCGGACAGCTGAAATCTCTTTTTTCCTTTCTTTTTAAACAGAATTCTTCTTTATTTCATTACAATTTTACATCCTATACAAAAATATTAAAAACCAAACATAATGACTTGAATACAGTTTATTTCTACTTTATTAACTATTCAGGACGATTTGCGATCCCAAAGGTTAAAACGATAACGGATTTTTTCGCGCTTTTTTATGAAATCAATGGAAAATTGTCCACCTCAAAATGAAAGCATCACAAAACTAATAATAAAAATACAAACCAATAGATGCAAGTTACAACCGCTTAAACTATGGATTCATACTCAACAAAATTAATTTGCGATTTAAGACAGGATAGACTCCAACAGTTGAAAATTTCAAAGGAACTGGGAAAAGAATTAGTATTCTTTATTATCTATTTATATATACAGACTGATAGAAATAGATATATATTTGTCAGTAATCACTATTACTGCTCATGAATATTTCTGTCTTAAGATAATGGTTAACAGACATTATTGTCTACATGTTCTAATTTTTACCAAGCAAATACTTTCACTTGGGGAGGATTAAGTGCATATTAGGTGGAAACGTGAGCACTCGTTTGGCTTAAGTGGTAGAAAGAACTCAATGCAATTGCTTTGTGAACATTTCTGACTTAAGATAATGTGTAACGACATTACCGTCCCCATCTCCTAATTTTTATCAACCAAAATATTTTCATCTGGGGAATGAATAAGTGCATATTAAGTTGTAACGTGAGCACTCGTTTGGTTTAGTGGTAGAAAGAACTCAATGCAATTGCTTTGTGAACATTTCTGACTTAAGATAATGTGTAACGACATTACTGTCCACATCTCCTAATTTTTATCAACCAAATATTTTCATCTGGGGAATGAATAAGTGCATATTAAGTTGTAGCGTGAGCACTCGTTTGGTTTAGTGGTAGAAAGAACTCAATGCAATTGCTTTGTGAACATTTCTGTCTTAAGATAATGTCTTACAGACATTATGTCTACATCTTATATTTTGCCAAGCAAATATTTTCATCTTGGGAGGATTCAGTGCATATTAGGTGGAAATGTCAGCACTTGTTTCGCTTAAGTGACAGAAAGAACTCAACGCAATTGCTTCTTGAACATTTCTTTCTTAAGATAATGTCTTACAGACATCACATCGACATCTTCTAATTTTTGCCAAGCAAATACTTTCACCTGGGGAGGATTCAGTGCATATTAGGTAGAAGCGTGAGCATTTGTTTGGCTAAAGTGATAGAAAGAACTCAATGCAATTGCTTCTTGAACATTTCTGTCTTAAGATAATGGTTAACAGACATTATTGTCTACATGTTCTAATTTTTACCAAGCAAATACTTTCATCTGGAGAGGATTGAGTCATATTAGGTGGAAACATGAGCACTTGTTTGGCTTAAGTGACCGAAAGAACTTAACGCAATTGCTTCTTGAACATTTCTTTCCGATGATATTCACTAGCAAAGACAAAAAATCCATGCACTTTGCAAATTGTAGGTCAAAACACTTAGGAATTATCACTCCTCATCAGGCAATAAGTATCTTAAGTAAGTAAACAAGTATCCTGTCAAAAACACATTGGCGATGATGTGTCGTCTTTGGCACAAAAGTTGTCGACATTTATGAGTTACGAACCGCGCGGCATAGTCATGAGTATTAATACGCTAGGGGAATTACTTCTGTTCTATCGCAAAGAAATTGAAATTACCGGATTTACTATAGCACATTAAAAAAAGATAAAAATATTAGAACCACGTGTAAGAAAGATTCAATGTTTTGCACATCAAAAGTTGATAAATTTTTATTGAAACGTGTGAACACAAAATTATTCCAGTTGAAAGAAAAAGGACACGAGTTGAATCGTGAAAACGCTTCATGAGTAAGGGGTAGGTTGAAAGGTCTGATGGCACGTAACCAAATTTTAGTTCATGATTTTTGACAAATATTACTCGCACAGACCAAGGAGATTTTTTTGAAAAATTAAAAATTTGAGGTGAGGGATTTTATTTTATTTTTTATTTTTGTTTTAAATATCGACACGAGTTTGTAGAAACAAATTTGCAATAGTAGCTAGTTGCGCGAATCTTTATCGAGCGTTTTTGTAAATCGTAAAGTTGGCTCTCTTGAACGTTATCGATTCTTTTGAATCGAGTCTCGAATGTGCTCACTGCTCAGACGAAAGATCCTTCATCGTGCATGAGAAGTGACGACCGTGAGATCTCATATGAGATTATGAGTCTCATTGCCTGAGTGCATGCGCGAGACCGCTGTGACGTCTCGTTCAGTTAGGTTATTCGTCAATCCTGCCTGGACGAAAGGGGATCGTGGCGAGTTTGTAAACAACGGGTCGGCCGAACGGATTCTCACTCGGTCCGAGTCCGGGAGCCGATTTCCAACCACGTCCCCTGGTTTATCAGCTCCCAGGCTTTTTTCATGATTTCCCTTCGTTCTGACGACGACTGTTTCGCAGCCGAACGCCTCTACGAAAAGATCTCAATCGATCTCGAACACTTTCTGAAGGGCCAGGAAGATAATAGGTGCGTACACTCATGACAGACTGGTCTTTTCAGGCAGATTCCTATTTTTTTGTTTTTTAATTCTAAGGTTAAAATATGTTCCAGCGTTCTGATCTTCCCGGCCGTCAACAATTATAAGAGATTCCTCATTCATAACTTCGTCCAGAAGTTTTACGATGGGCTTGATTCCTTTTCTATCGGTGTCGCAGAAAGGAGACGAGTTGTAGTCTACAGTCGAGCCAAAGCCAGGTGAATTTTTGACCAACGCCTTATTTACAATTAGGACATTTTCGATCTGGTCAAACCAAACAACCTCAATTTTATGCAACCATACCCCAAAAAGAAACATCATACTAAAAACATCCTATTTTTTATACAGACTACCATTTGTATTACCTCACAATCAATAGGCGTTAATTATGTAACTTTTTGCCAGGAAGAATCCAGGCAAAACATAACAGCTTTTTAATATTGTTTACTTTCATAACATGCAGTCCTAAAGATTTCACATGGATAAAAGTATTTGCTTGGCTGAATTTGTAAGATTTAGGCTCATGTCTTCAGTAGCCATTATCTTAAGACAGAAACATTGAAATGGACACGATTCCACCTAGTTTTTTTGGTTTTATCTAACAGGATATTTGTCTTTATTATTGCCCCATGAGGAGTTCAAATTACAAGAAATTTTGATCAATAATCGATATATTGGGATAAAAATGCTCAGAAAACAGTTGCAGTGAGTTCTTCCTGTCCCCTAAAGCTAAAATACTGCTCAAGATTCCACAAGGTTTTATGGTTCTATCTAACAAGATATTTGTTCCTATTATCGCCCATGATGAGTTCAAATTACAAGAAATTTTGATCGATAATTTGCATTGTGCAAGGATTATTTGTCTTTGGTAGCCATTATCTTAAGACAGAAACCTTCAGGATGCATTATTTAGATATCGTGAGATGCGGTCTGGTGCGACGTATGTTTAGAAAAACTTTCTTTATCGTGCTAACATTTCAATCTTTATTGAGATCATCTTCTGGGCTCAAAGTGTTTGTTTTCTGTGTAGATGTGTGTCGTTTTGAGTGTGTCAGTGTCATATGAGATGAATATCACACTGGCCCATGATCTAAATAATCATCAATTAATGGTCACTAAATACCACACACTAAAGGATGCAGTTGTGTTCAGTTCTTCCTGCCAATTAAAGCTAAACTACTGCTCAATATTCAAATGTTTTTTGGTTCTATCTAACAAGATATTTGTCCCTATTATCATCCCATGAGGAGTTGAAATTACAAGAAATTTTGGTCAATAATTTTAAAGTGGAAGGATTATTTGACTTTGTTAGCCATTATCTTAAGACAGAAACCTTCAGGATGCAGTTGCGCTGTGTTCTTCCTGCCACTTAAAGCTAAACTACTGCTCAAGGTTCTACCAAGTTTTTTGGTTCTATCTAATGAGATATTTGCCCCAGTAGGAGTTCAAATCACAAGAAATTTTGATTGATATATTAAGATAAAAAGGCTCAGAAAACAGTTGCGTTGAGTTCTTCCTGCCCCTTAAAGCTAAAATACTGCACAAGATTCCACCATAAAGGTTCTACCTAACAAGATATTTGTTCCTATTATTGCCCCATGAGGAGTTCAAATTACAAGAAATATTGATCAATAATTTTCAAAGTGGAAGGATTATTTGTCTTTATTAGCCATTATCTTAAGACAGAAACTTTCAGGATGCATTATTTAGAGATCGTGAGATGCGGTCTGGTGTGACGTAGGTTTAAAAAAACATTTTCTTTACTGTGCCAATGTTTCGATCTTTATTGAGATCATCTTCTGGGCTCAAAGTGTTTGTTTTCTGTGTAGATGTGTCATTACTGTGTGTCGTTTTGAGTGTGCCAGTGTCATATAAGATGAATATCACACTGGCCCACTATCTAAATAATCATCAATTAATTGTCACTGAATACCACACACTTCAGGATGCAGTTGCGTTCAGTTCTTCCTGCTACTTATGACCCCCAATGGACACAATTCCACCTAGTTCCTTTTATTCTGTGCCACAAGATTACCACTATTTTTCTCCCATGAAGGAGTTCAAATTTTAAGAAGTCTTGATCTATAATTTGCAAAATGCATCGATCATTTATCCTTTAGCTATTATCGTAAGATCTCTAAATAATCATCACTTAATGGTCACTAAATACTATAAAATTTGGGATGCAGATGTGTTCAGTTCTTCCTGCCACTTAATGCGAAACTACTCTCAATATTCAACCATGTTTTTTGGTTCTAAGAAGATATTTGTCGCTATTATTGCCCCATGAGGAATTTAAATTCCAGTAAGTTATTTTTCTATAATTTGCAAAAAATGTGGATTATTTAACTGTTCTCATTTGAAACTAGTACTACGTCTCAGCACATATTTTTACGGATGCACGGAATCCTCCCCAGATAAAATAATTTGCCTTATGGAATTTGGAAAATATAAGAAAATTCTTTGTTGATCCATTATCTTAAGACAGAAATATTCAGGAAGCGGTTGCCCTACGTTCTGCCTTCCACTTAAAGCCAAATGTATGACACTTTAAAAAAAATTGTATTTATGTATTTATTTTTTTAATTTCCACTATAAATAACTTTTGCTAAAGGTGGATTCCACAAATGAATACTCTCTTTTCTGCGAAAGTTTGTTATTGTCTTTCATGATAAAATACAATCTCTTGAAAATGTTAAATATGAAAAATGTCACCTTGATTCTCCTTTCTCTCTACATCCTGATTTATCGAGTTTTTTGCAAGTCCAATTATTTCATCTCTAAACAGTTTAATATTAAATTATGAAATTCCTTTTGTCAATTACAAAGACTTTTGTTGTATTATTTTATCAATTAGATTTTTTGTTTTTTAATTAGTAAAATCATGGATAGTAAGGAACAACCACCTGTTACTATTAAAAGAAGAATTCCAGAAGGACATTATATTCCACCGCCTGCCAGGAAAGCACTGTTACAAAATGAAGAGCAAATTAAAGAAAGGTATGATTTTTGCTCCTTCCCAAATTAAAATATAAATTGATTGTGTTGAATATAAACTAGTTTATGCAGTGTATCCAAAACTGAATTTCTCACCCTTAATATATTCAATTTTATTAGACAAATTTCTTTTCTTATCCTAAGTGTTATAATATATTAGCATATTTTAAATTTGAAACTTGCTTGAGGTGTTTAGCCTAGAAATGTATGAATAATGTATTATTTGATATATTTTGTATATTTGACTAATTACTACTGACATTTTTCTGTTAGGCGCAAATAAAATTGATGATTACATTTTTCAAAATGGGAATTTTTTTATTTTCAGAGTCAGAGTTGCTCAGCCGAAAATTGATAATAAGGATTCACGGAAGGCGTGCAACGATAGCAGTCTCTTGTTTCAGGAAGGCAATGCTAAATCCCAACGGACTAGCAAAAAGGTAAAACCTAAGCAAACCCAACCGAAACAGGGTAAAACTGAGGTTCAAGAATGTACGAACAGTTCAAAAATTGATGTCAAACGAGATAACAACGAAACTTCTGAAAAGTCTGTGTTAAACGAGTTGGAGACGTCCAAGTGTCAGGTGCAAGAGCTTAACCCTAAAGCCTCAGACATTGTTTTAAAACTTGATGGATACAGCGAAAAAGTTAATACCAAATTGGTTCAGAAAGAGGAAGTCGTTGAAAAAAAAGAAGAGGGAAAAACAAAAGTGAAAAATAAGAAACCGAAAGCCAAGGCCCAAAAGGAAAACAAATTAGAGCAAAACATGATTTCAGCATCTAGTTCCTGCGACAATGAAATCACCAGTAAAAAAAAAAGCGTGACACCTAAACAAGTGAAAAATCTTCCTATGGAAGTAGAAGATTGGGAGTCCCTCTGTGATGACTTAGGCGATGATTCTTTGACCACTGCAGAGGTTAATGAGGTAATTACTAAACTTTAGAGAATATAGCTTTTTAGCATATAGGATTTTTTGTTTAGATTACTGAGAAAGTTGGAAAGATGAAAGTATGCAAAGCAAAAGAAAAGTACACCGATGATTCTAATGATGAATGTGGGACCATTATTGAAATATATGGTTTTAATGAGGAAATCAAGACGAGTGACCTGATAGCCATTTTTGGAAGTTATGCTTCTCGTGGATTTAATCTAAAATGGGTTGATGATACTCATGCTTTAGGAATTTTTGCTAGTCCTCGTTTAGGTTAGCTATTAACTTTATAATTTATTAAAACCTCAGATATTTAATATAAGAAATGTGTTATATTAGTAAACAATTTGTTTTAGCGGAAGAGGTTCTTAATACCGATTTGCCCATGATAAAAACTCGCCCACTTCATAAAGCTTCCCAACAATCTCAAGCGAAAGCGCGAACTATGGTACTGCCTTCTGCATTAAGGCCAAAAACCTGTACTGCTTTAGCTCGAAGACTAGTCTCAGGTGCACTGGGAGTAAAACTGTCAGTGACGCCGGAACAGAGAGCAGCTGAAAACAAGTTACTGCGAGAAGCAAGAGGTAAGCAGTAAAATAACAATTTTACGAAAATGAGGTTTTGTAATTTGGATTAATAACATTTTAGAAACAAGAAAGCAAGCAGCTAAAGACAGAGATGCAGCGTGGGAAGGAAATTTCTCATCAAAATGGTGAGTACGCATTTCTTATTTTGTTAATATTCAGTATTGTATAGTAATTTGGTCTTTACCGATCATTTTTGTCACTCTGTCCTTGCTGTTTTACGTCTGGGTTATTTTTGTATTAAAATGGCTTAATTGCTTGCATTCTGTCGAGCCAAAAGCAGTTCTAATGGATAGAAAATAAAACTCTTCTTTATGTGGTCTAAAGGGTGATAGACCTGTAGTTTTGTTGTACAGTCTAGACACACAAATCAAAAACATACGTTTAAAACATACAAATTATCAAGGGAAAGGGATCAAAATCACAACGACAGCCAGGGCCCAGTCAAAATTGGAAGTTGTGTTCATTTAAAAATTAATAAACATAAATTTGAAGCTAAAAGGGTTAATTTGACAAAAAAAGTCTATATGTTAAAACGTTGACAAAAAATGAAAAAGGTGTTTATCTAAAATGCCTTCATTCCTGACCGCTCCTTACTACTTCAACAAATTATTGAACAGCCTAAATAACACATATTTGAAGTAATGCTAATTTGAAGTAAAAAAAGTATATATAAAAACAAACCATTTGTTTTTTCTAATTTGAGAGTTTTTAAGTATAAAGTAGGGGTTAGCTTGAGAGACTCTCGGCTCATAGACGCCGCGGTCATTGGTTCGATTCCCACCGTCGCCTCTGGCCCTTTTTTTTCACGATAAACCCCCCCCCAATATGAACACACATACAAGAATTCGTCACCATATGCATTAGATCATAAGGCAAAAAAAAAAAAAAAAGACAAAAAAAGTATAAAGTAACTGGACTCTTATTAAAAATACTCTCTAAATACTCTAATTAAAATTAATATAACAACATCTAAAAAAAGCTTTTTTCATACCATGTATGTGTTTTTATGCTTTAAAGAAAGGGAAAGAAAGAAAACAGAAAACCACACTAGCCCTCCTCTGATGGTGACAAAAGGCAGAAACATGTTGGACAGACCAAAATGATCGGAAATGTCCTAACTTAAGGATTAGTTACTTATTGTTAAAAATATTATCATAGAAAAAAGAAAAAATGGGCAAAACCAAATGTTTTGTGTTGACGAAAGATTAGAAAAGGACTTAAAACATTCAATGTGATCTGGAATGTTATTTTTCACCACACCGGATGGGAATTTTATTGTTTTATGCATTATGATCTGCCTGTTAATTGGAATTGATTTCCTCAGGTCAGCATTGAGCGGGTTAAGATTAGTGGAAAAAAGCAAAATAAAACACAACTCCTGTTATAAAACAATTAAGACCTGCTGTTACACGTCATAACAGTTGTTTGGCACTGAAATACAAATTAATCTTAATAAGTAAAACTCCCCAAAACGGACACCTCTAATAACCGAACATCCTCCATGACTCGACAGTTTTATTTTCAGCATTATTTTATGTGCTATACCAAGGAAAGTACTTCTGATGAACAAACAAAGTAAAAAAATCAAATAAGCAGGCAGCGGAAAGAAAATTCAGGATTCAATGAATGACTTGCAAACGGTAATATTTTGGGAATTCTCATACCCACTCAACCCTCTTGAATTCCTTTGGCTCTTCCTGGTTAGTCCTCAGATTGCAATTGTAACCATTCGGAGATGAGTGGGTAAAAAAGTCTTTCTTTCAGAGAAAAAACCGAAGTCGTGAGTCCATTACAAGTAGAAAATTAGTGTCTATATAAATAATTGCATAATTCGTTCAAATTCAGTTTTTTTGTTTTACTTTCACTTAATGTACCTAAAAAAATTTTCTTATCTGCTGGTGGGAATTTCGACTGTACTCTTCTGCTTAAGTGACCATAATGTGACAAGCACAAAATTAAAAAGAAAGAAATAAACTCATTTTTTGTGTTTGTTTGATTTATTAATGACAAAACTTAATGAGCAGACAGGATCCATCATCACTTAATCATTTGTGAGCCTAAAACAGTCCAAAAACTTCTTCCTGAAACTCCTACCCCATATTTTATTTAATTGTGGTAAAAATTATGAATCCCAAAATTACATAGCGTAAAGTAGTACTTGAATTAATAATACAAGCCCCAAATCTCTTCAAGGTGAGATTTAACCTTTGAACAATCGCACCTCCTGTTGTAACACGAGCAGCAATATTTTTTTTGGGATGTGTACCAATTCTCTGTTTCTAGATTCCTGTTTTAATTTTCAGAGTAACCAAGTGTTACCGGTTCCTCGCCGGACCAATGGCAATTCACCCGGTCGCCGGGTACGTGGGGCTCAATGGAGATTTTTTCCCGTGGCCACTTCGTCTCCAAAAGTAAAATAATCGGGCGCCACACTGTTTTTATATTTTTTTTTTCTTCCTTTCGGAAAACAGTGAAACCCTCGGGGTATAAGAAGATAAAAAAACTTTTAAAAAAACAACAAGAAAGTAAAATATCAGTGTCCTCTGTATTGTGAATAAAATGGAAAAAAAATGAAATAAAACAAATCTCTTCAAAAATAAAACTAAAAACAAAACTGTCCGGAAACCAATATTATAATATAAATTAAAAGCTCATACCTTGTGTACATCCTTTTCTTTCTCGTTCCAGAGCGGTTCTCCCCTCGCACACGCGAACTCTTCACTTCATGATGATGAGAAAAAGTCCCAAAATAATTAAATAAAACACTCTCACATCCTTTTTTTTCTTTTTCGCCCGGCTCGTCCACACCGACCAGTCCAAGCTCGAGCCTCCTTGTTCACACCGGTCAGGCCCCACTCCTCGCCAGTGTCCCCGCTGGGCCAAATACCACCCACGCATCTTCGGCCTCTTCTAGGCCTTGCTCAACCTTGCCAAGGGCACCCACGTTTCTGCCCGAGTCTGGTTACCCCAGCGCAAAAAGACAAATTTTTTTCCTTTCATTTTCACTTGTAACAAGTGCATTATGATCTCAATAAATTTGAAGCATAATACAGACCAGCAGAAAGTTGAGTTCGTACGTATATTTCCATTTTAGTAGTGTAGAAGGTCAATGCGTTGTGTAATGGAAAGATCTGTGTACTGATCCATAAGTATTTCCCTCGAAATGGATTTCATTAATAATATTCACTCATAGCATAAGACTGCATGCTTTGACTAGTCAGTCAAAAATATTGTGGATCACTTTTGCCTTTGATCTTTTCTCTGAAGTGAATTCAAATTGTTGCGCCTGAGACATATTAGGAGAAGAGGTCATCCTGTAGCAAATGACACCATGCAATGGTCGATTCAAACAGGTGTCGTGGAGTGTATCTATGTAGCAAATGATTGGAAACTACTCGAACCCTTTCACGCACAGCCAACTCATTGGCTCAGGAAGGTGGCCAGTAGATAGACACAAGTGCCACTCACATTCTCATGATTAACACAAAAGACAACTCGCCATTCGTCCTTCATACCAATTGCCTAGTTGAGTCAACCGAGTTACGATAATCTTGGAAAGCGTATCAGGAGAAGTTGATTCCACAAGTTGCCTGTTATGAAATCAGACAAGAAAGAGTCTTCACACGGCAGACAACTAATTGAAAATCCACCAGCCAGCTTAGTTGAATCAACCAAATTGCCTCGTCAGTAAGAAGCCTTACTTTCCATGGCAGCCACTCAGGACTTGGGTCAATTTATGGTTGAGTTGTAATTTTTTTGATAATCAACATCCAATTGTAGGGGGAAAATTGTTTTTTTGTTCCCTTTGGAATTATTTTCACATTCTGTTTCCCAGTTTTTTCTATTGAACAGAGAACAATGAATTGGGTTGTGTGTTTTTTCATAATTTCCATTTTCATCCATCTTGCATTTTGAAACAATGTTTATTGTTTTATTCATTATTGTTTACACACTCTAAAAGGGATTTGTTAAGGTGTTTTTATTTGTCAGTCTTCCTTGAGGTCTCATATTTTTACAATAATTTGCTAATTTAAACGTAGGAAAATAGTGTTTTTTTTTAAATTACTGCAAAGGGAAAAGAGTGCAGCTTAGACTGCTAGGAAAATTTGTGATATGTATGATAATGACTCTTTAAAAGAAGCACTGTCTATAATTGGTATTGAAGCAGAAATTTTGCTTTGGAAGACACCAAGTGCTCTGGTCATTCTTCAACTATTGATGATGACCAAATGTAAGCTTTTTGTGACAAATAACCAACACCCAACAACAGAGACACACTGTCAAGCTGTTGCACAAAATTCACTAAACACAAGAATCACTCATGAAACAGCTGTCTTGGGTTAACCATTTCCACGAGGCAAAATATTTTGCAAAATAGAGACAAAACAAGGTGGTGAACCATCAGTTTGCGTGAGACAAGCTTGCCGTTCATTTTTACCTACTGCAGCATCAGCAGCTATCATGCTTTATGTTAAGAATAAAAATAAAAAACCAAAAAGTTAACAAAAAAGAAAATCTTGTTCTTATGATGGCTTTTATATTTAGCATCCCACAAAAATTGATAGCTCTGAGAGACTTGTATAAGTCGAATAAAGTCCTCCTAGTTCATTCTAAAGCTCGGAACACATGTGCATTTTCACAGAGAGAAACAGACAACGCTTTTGATGTGCACTAAAAAACCAACAGCCAGTCGGCTCACCCTGAAGCATCCACACTCCAAAAGTTTCAGCGTCTCGGCTACGTACCCACAACACAAGTTTTGTGAAACAATTGCGCAAATGATTTTTGCGCATTGGAAACCCAGCTTTATACAAGCATTTCAACGCATTTGAGATTTTATGATTTCCATCCTAAAACACCATTTAAACGACTCTTTAAAAAATATATAAATAAAAGTTGAAAAGTGGGTCTTAAGGTGTGTACACTACCAGCACATAAAGGACACCATGGCAATGGAAAGGCGGATGGCCTAGCCAAAGAAGGTTCTGATACTGCGTTTGTTGGGCCACAACCGGTATTACCTCACTCTATGAGCACAGCGAAAGAGAGTATCAATAACTGGGGCATGAAACAATTCCTTAGGGAGTGGAATTTATCCCCTGGACACAGNCACACGTTCGTTCGTGCTTTTGTGTGTGTGTGCGTGCGTGTGTGTGTGTGTGTGTGTGTGTGTCTATATATATATATATATATATACTAAGCAAATCTTGGCCAACAAAAGACAACCAACCGCTTCATTAGTCGTAATTTGCTTAGTGTGTAATGGAGGTGAATTAGAACCAAGCAGTAAACGCAGTGACCGACCGTTAGCAACTCTTGATCATACCCCAAAAAGTCAATGTGCATTTGGTTGAATTGAAAGGGATGGTTTGTATGCTTCTTCCATGCAACCAGACAGAGTGAATGAGGTCAGCTATAGACCAAAATCTACCAGATTAGTCAGTGTTAATCACAAGAGGTTTATTTTGTACCAGAACAACGCCCACCAAAATTTCTTAGAGCATGGCTGGGATGTGCTGCCCCACCCACCGCAATGACCTAACATTCCTTCTTCAAATTTTCACCTATTTCAGGCTCAGAAAAACTCTATTAATGGAGAAAATTTGTACTTATTTCCTTCTGTTTTCCTCTTCTTTGCTCTGTTACTTGATCCATTTCAACACTTCAAGTGTGGCTTTGTATTCTGGCTTGATTGTTGAAAATCTTCTATTTTGTACTTTTTTAAGTGTATTTTTTATACACTACCACTTCGTACTGTACATTTCCATCACATTTAATCCCAATAGAGTATTCTGTATGCATAATTTTCTACTATGTTCTCCCTCAGCGATGTTATTTGTCCTCATTAAGGATTGCACGCTAGCCCTCAAATGGCCACCCGTCGACCCATCCACTCCCTTCCTTATAGGTTATTTTATAGAACAAGCCCAGAAAGGTTCAGTCATGCAAACACAACTTACGACAAGAATTAAACTCATTATAAAAATTAAAAAACTTAAACTGCTCAAAAGGAGAAAATTTCAAACGCATGCTTTGACGACAATTCATTTAATCAAGTCTGGTAACTGCTCATGGTTGTTCTTTTTATTTTTGTTTTTTGTGTTCTTTATTGCTCATGCATACAATTTGTTTTTTTGTGTTTTTACAGAACCTTTGATCTCCGAAGGACTGGAATAAATCCTAACACATTATTATTAATAATTATAATAATAATTGTCATGATATTGTAATGTGTACATGCTTATTTTCCCTCCCTCATGGGAAAGCCATGTAAAACATTTATTATCTTCTTGTATCGTTACCTTATATATTTTGATAGGTTCAAATGTATTGATGCCAAAGGAAGAGTGTTACCAGTCAAATGGAAAAAAATGAAAGCAAAATCGAAAATTTGCAATTAAAAAAAAAATCTTTGTGAGAAAGTCATTGACCTTTAACTCTGACCTTTGTATGGATATCTTTAAAACTATTTTTATATGATATTAATTTTTATCAAATTACAGAAAACAGTTATTTTTATCTAATAACATGTATTTCTGAAAAAAAGATGTAATACATTCAATTTAGATACTTTAATAAATATGTTCCTTAATAATGTTATTTCTTTTTTCAGACTAGAAATACTTTTTTTGTTTGGTAAGAAAATTAAGACAAAAAAGAAATTAAGAATTTATATAATTATATAAATAATTATTTCTAAAGAGAAAAAATAGCCCAAGAGTTGTTCAATCATACTTTTATTATTACGCTTCTTGCCAAACAGTTGTTAGCTAATTGTTGCTTGAAAAATTGTTTTAGCATATATTCTTCTTTTCCTCTCTCTCTCTCTCTCTCTCTCTCTCTCTCTCTCTCTCTCTCACTCATTTTTCTTTGTCTTGAAAACATTGGCCTATTGATTTTAATATTTTTATTCTTGTTATTTAGTAATGTTCCAAAAAATGTAAAATTGTCCAGCAAATATGATTAAGTTGTTTAAAAAAAGAGCACAATAGTACAATTTAATAAAAATATAGGATCAGAAATAGAAATTGTGATATATTTCTAACTTTTCTCATTAAATTTGTTTCATATATATACTGTTGGGTTTTAAAGCATAAAAACAAAGAAATTTCCATTTTGCTTTTATATGTCTTAATTTTATTAATCATCGTTTGATTAAGCTTGTGTTCAAATGTTATTATGTGAATAATAACTAATTTAATTTTAATTGTCTTCATTGTGATGAGTTTTTAAATTTTGTTTAACTTGAAATTTTGTTAATGCCAATATTTTGTAGTGGAATTGTCCATTTCTGTTGTGGTCGGTAAGGATTTTTAAATTCCTGACGCCACAAATGACATTATAATATGTAGACAATACGGTTTTGTTTATTTCTGAGGTTAATATTGTAATTATTAAGTGGTGTTATTTTTATAAAATAATGCTCTCTAATCGGACAGAATCATGTTTAAATTTTGGAAAAATTGTAGATCATAGAGTAATTATTTAAATTTGTTTAAATTATAAATATTTACATCAAGTGTTTTACCCCACACATTTCATCACAATTTTCTTTTATCTTCCCAACCCTATGTACAACATTTAATAATTTCAACCCAAAAAGTCTGTGTTGTTTGCAATCAAAAATATATAATGTTAATACATATAAAATTTATAAACCTTGTAATTTGATGTTAACTGATTAAATAACTTCAGTCAAATGTCTTAAAAAGGTTGAACTGATCTGGACAAAAATTAAATTGTACACATAATTAGATAAATTTGTTTTGACATTATTTTAGGTATTATACATAGCTAATTGTTTGTATATTTATTGGAACTATAATTTAATTCACTTCAAAGAATTAATTAATGGCAGTTCTTTTAAAGTTCACATCTATGATTTACTGTGATCAATGACAGTGATCGTATGAAAGATTTTTGTGTGTTTTGAACTATGGATGTGTTTTGATTGAGAACTATAAGGTAATTTTGTTTGTTTTATAGTTTATGTAAGAGTCAAAATTTAAAAAATTGACTCTGCTTCCCCTCCGCATCTTTTAATAGTGGTCGGTGCTGTTTGGATAGTTTCGCCCGGAGTTGTTGCAATATTAACACCCTTGTATAAAAGGTGCATTTTAATTACAATACTTTTATATTTGATCCTCAAAGTTGATGAATTGTAGACATGTTTTTGTATCATAAAAATTTATGTTTTCATAGAAATTAAATATATTTTGTTTTTCATGGGTTTTATTATCATTTTATCCTTTTATTATTTTAAATTGGTTTATATTTGATTATCCTCGGGGTTATGGTATAACAATGCTTTATAAATCAAAAAGATACATTTGGCAGTGGTTAAGTGTATTTTTTGTAAGTTTACTTTTGATGACAACACAATTGCCTAATTAATTGTTACTTAGGCATATTAACATTATATCTTAACCCTGAGGAGGTCAAATATAGGCTGAAAGCTTGGCAATTGATAAATATTTCACATCTGTCTGGCCACAACCTTTATACACTGCCCATCCTAAGCCAACTGACCATCACCCTGGTAAAATGCACATCTTAAGCTGACTGACCCCAACCCTGATTCACTACCCATCCTAAGCTGACTGACCACAACCCTGATTCACTACCCATCCTAAGCTGACTGACCACAACCTTTATACACTGCCCATCTTAAGCTGTGGATGACAGTTCAGGACACCCAGAAACTAAATCAGAAAAATAACAAACTAGACCCCGCAGTTTTGAAAGCCCTTGATGGTATTTTGGCTAAAAACTCTATGCTTAAGCATATAGGACTGCAGCTGAATCAATGCGAGACAAAAGTTTTAACCTGTTGATAGCGTACCGATGAAAGCGAAGATTTAATGGTTCAGAAGGAGAACCGACACTATCAACAAACCGGTCCAAAGTTAATTTTTACTTTAAGTTGTACCCGCTGATCTATCCCCGTGGTGATCCTGGATAGGATTCCAAAATGACCCATAACGCAAACAAAACCCTCGTAAAGTACTAATAAAGTTTGTCGATTTCCCCATTTTCATAAATCATTTCGTTCTATATTCCAACTATAGGGACCCAACAGGCTGCTGGTTGAAAAATATTTTCACCCAAACATTTATGCCATGCAGTGTGTCTCTGCTCATGTTGTGCATTGTTTTTGGAAGAGTAATCTGTTCTGCTATCTTCGCTCCTCAACAAATTGGTTTAGTGATGGAATTAGTCAAGGAATTTGTAATTCTCCTGATACATCGGTATCAATACTATAAATTGTTGTGGGATCCTAAAAATAAGTGGCATTTTAATAAAATCAAGAAAAAATGACACATTGCAGGCAAGTCATAGCAGTTTCATTGAGGAGAAGCCTTCTTGGATCTTTCAGGTGAGAAAAATCTAAATTATTAAAAAAAAATTTTTTTTTTTACATCCCACGGAACAGTGAAAACTAGACACTTTGGTTTTAAATCAGTCATTTCAAAGGACACAACAACTTGTATTAACTACCCAACGCTACTGAGGTACTAAATGTAGGCAGATTGGAGGACAATCATTCGTGTGGCAGAAGCACCCACATCGAGAGCCTTTATGGGGCACAAATCCTTTGATGTTCGTCAAAAAACCGACTATCTCCCGAAGCGTCTGCATTGAATGTGGGATAAATTCTGTAGGTGTCGATGATACCAAAGAGGCAAGTATGCAAACATTTAGAAAGAACAATACAAATTATTTGTAAGACTAGTTGACGACATTCTGTCTAAGATGTGGCTATTTCATCCTAGAATTTTGAACCTTAATTCTGAAAAAAGTGTTTACTGCAAATAAAATTAAATAATTGTACAGTGATTACTTTGAAAAAAAAAAAAAAAAAAAAAAAAAAGCGTCAGTGGAAGTAGACTGAATGAACTCTCTGGACATTATCGACAAAAGCAAATGATTTGCTTTGGAGTTCGAACCAATGGTCTTTATTTATGAATCAGGATTCAACCTCCAGCTGAGCGCCAGGCAAGATCTAAAGGTAGCACGCGAGTAGTCATTAGTGAACCTACTGTGCTACCTAGTGTGGTAGAAACACACTCTCATACTTATTAATAACCATTCTTCTGTCTTATCGGCTGAAAGTTGCAACAGCGCTGTTTTGCAAGTTTTTGTCTGAACTGTGCGCTATACTTGTTCAGATGTCTTGTCAAGGTTCATTTCTCATTATGGATAACGATGAGGTGATACATAAGACAGATGAAGTTCGAGCTGAAGTTGGATCAATGCCACATTCATTCAAGTACCTTCCACTATACGCACCTACTCTTAACCCAGTGGAACATGCCTTTTCTAAAATCAAGGTGACTGCAAGGAGTAATACTACCGACACACTGGAGCTCAGTAAGGTAAGGCCGTATTTCAAAGTATTTTAACAGTGGATTGTACCAACTATTTCATGGAGCTGATGCTGCAACTGCCATCTGCTTCTGCAGGTCTTCAACTCCATTGATCTAAAAAAAAAAAATTGTTATTTAAACAAAAATTCCTATCAATATTTTTCATTTTTTGTTTATTAATCTCCTACAGACCCTCGCAGGAGTAAATGAAGAAATATGACGACACTCGTTTTTTTAAAAAGATTAATATTATTTATTATATAAAATACTTGATTACATTAAGTTACAAAAATGATGTTCACAATTCGAGAGGTGGATCCGAAATGTTTTCAAAGGGTTGTCTGTCTGGTGTTATGGTGGGGATGGGTGCTTACTCTGTTTTTGCTGACTCGGTGGAATTTCTGTTGATCATTGTAGAAGTTGTGGCCAGATGTATATAAATAATGTTATTTATAAAAAAAATTCCTATCAATATTTTTCATTTTTGTTTGTTTGTTAGTCCCATCCAGATCCTCAAGGGTAAATATAGTGATTTTTGAGAAAAATAATTTCTCATTGTGAAGTAATAATTCAAATAAGAAACACATTTTTGGAATTGTGCTCTGCTGGCTGTACAACAAAATAGTAAGTAGCTCTTACATTTGTGATTTTATTTTTATTTTAACGATGGAATTATTGTCTAATAAAACTAAAACATGTATAAGAGACAAAATTTGTTTGTATATTTGTAGTAATTTATGGTAACAAATGTGGTTGGTGTGAAATGACCTATCAGGCATATGTAATATTATTTTGTTTATTTTTATCTACTAGAAACTACTACTCTGTTCATGAGATCCTGAATGTATTACAATAGTTGGAAGAAGAAGAAGAAAATGAAGCATTTTTGGCTGGTGTACATATCACACCCCCTTTGAGTTACGAAACTGATGAAGATGTTGGAAGAAAAATATAAATTGAATAGCTGTCAATTGAAAGCAGATGGAGAATTATTATTGATCAACGTGTAAGATGACGTGTTGAGATTAGATGTCCCAAAGAATATAATGCAAAAACCTTCATGTGTCAATTCTTCCAGCTCCTATTTCAAAATGTCCAGAAAAGAGGGCATCCATGATCAAAATTAGGGATGCAGAATGCAATCAGAAGAGAGCCCACCTGGGGAAAAAAAGATGCAAAGAAATCTGCAAAATCGGATATTTGGGCCAAAGGTGATCTCCCTTGCACCCGACCAATGACTTGTCTAGAAACATTTAAATTGTTTTAAATTTAAATGTTCAGAGGACATTCTGAGGAAGTCAGTTTTATACACTGTACAAAAAGGCAAAGCAAACTAGCAGTCACTGAACTAAAGTTGTTTTTAGGAATTTTTATATTGCTCAATTATCCTCAAAGAAGGATGTATTGGGAGGAGAAAAATGATGTTCAAACTGAGGCAGTTTCTACTCTCCGTCGTTATAGATTCAAAGAAATTATGTGATTCATTCATTTGAATAATTCTGTGCTCGACAAAAATGATCAGCTTTCAAAAATGAGGCCTTACCTAGAACATTCGAGGACTTCATTTCAAGAATTTGCTATTTTGAAAAAAAGAGTTTAGCATCGACGAGGAAATGATACTTTACTATGAGCATCACAGGATGAAACAGTGCATCAGAGGCACGGCTATATAATATTTGGCCTCAAAGCACGGTGCCACTATTTTAAGCTTGGCTATATAGTTAATATAGAGCTTTATTTACATCAAAAATCATTATTCTATATTTGTAACTTAAATTGGCAATCATATTTGAGTCAAATATAATAATCCTATTGTAATAATTATATTATATAAAAAGTCAAACTGAACCAACAGTCACTTACAGGGCCTGCTCCACTCGTGAGTCATCAACTCTAAATTAAAAGTACTTATATTATCTTGCAAGATTACATGATTCATTAAAATACTATATACCTCATTAAAAACAGCAAAATTATTATCAATTAGCCTGACAACCAAATTATCTTAAGCATCTTCAAGGCGTTTGTGCACCAGGGCCTAACTCGAAAAGTGAATAGATTCACTATTCCTACTTTTTTAAACTAAGTTTTAGACTCAAAAATAAAACAAGTATTGTTTATGTTAAAAAAAAGGAAAAAAATAGTGGGCACAAATGTGTAAATGTAAACAATGCTATAATATTGTTCATAACAGTGTTCAATACACAATTTCTTTCAGTCACTTGGTGTTTACATGCTTTAATACCCAATCCTCACAATCATGATGGTTTAAAGTCGGTTAAAAAAAAGGTTTAGTTTAACTGAAAAATACTATATTTTATACTCAAAAGGAATTGGCACATTTTTTAAAAGTTTTTTTATTCATACTCAAAAATTCTAGAATACACAAATACTGTTATTTTCTACAAAAACACGTTTTTTGTTTATTTTTTAAGTCACATTTTTGTCTGTGTTTACATCCAATCACATCAGTCTATAAACTCAAAACTTTAAAGTAAAAACAAAACAAAACCTTATATTTATTACAATCTAGAAATCACCGCCATTCTATTCTTACTTAATTTTTATGTGTGATTAAAAATTGAAAAATGTTTTTGACTGATTCGACAACAAATTTTAATTTTAATTAACATTCGATAGTCTCCACTTTGTTTCCCATGTTCTTCAGATATTTATTTAGTTTTTGGAATGGAATAAGATTAAAGTAATAAAAGAAGAACAATGTTAACAAAAATGTTTCATTTTATTATAAAAGTCTGAAAAAAATTATAGTTCTTTATAGTTCAGAATGATCAGTGGCATCTTCTTTAGAAACCGAGAATGGCACCTCGAGAGTCTCAGACCCACAATCATCAATGACGACACGTTTAAGTGGCGAATCTCGGCCATCAGTTTTTTGTGCCTCGATCTTTCTTACAACATCCTAAAAAAAAATTCATATTGGTTAATCTGAGCTGATCAGGGAAGAATGGATTTTTTCAATGTTGAATGCAGTAACTTACCATGCCACTGATAACTTTTCCGAACACTACATGCTTTCCGTCTAACCAAGGAGTTTGTTTTGTTGTGATGAAAAATTGTGAGCCGTTGGTGTCCTTTCCTGCGTTGGCCATTGAAAGCCAGCCAGCGCCATAATGCTTAAGCTTGAAGTTTTCATCGGCGAATCTTTCTCCGTAAATGCTGCGTCCTAAAAATGACAAATTTTATTAGTTTGTGTAATATACTTAACCACTGGCAAGATTTTGCAAGTTAACTTAGCCTCATTTTATAAACTTGAACATCACATTTTTTACATTTATCAGCAGTTTAATCTTTTTCTACTAAGCAGATCATGATACTACTGCTATACAAATTTAAACTTTTTTTTTCTTATTGCTTAAACATCACTATACATTTTAACATAATTCAGAATAAAATGTCAACGTGAAATGCTCTTTTGAATACACACCTCCGGTTCCATCTCCTTTGGTGAAATCTCCTCCCTGGATCATGAAATCCTTAATAACCCTATGGAATTTGCTACCTTTGTATCCTTCTCCTTCTGGTTTAGTTGCTAATTCCATAAAGTTTCTCACAGTCTTAGGAACTGTTTTACCAAATAGACCGATTTCAATTCTTCCAACAGACTCATCTCCTATTTTTATATCGAACCAAACCTGAAACAAACCACATATTTTTTTAGCATGGAAAGGTAATGAATTGTGCAATTTTGTCATCTAGTAATTACAACTGCTCTGAGTTGACTTTAGCCTATTCTACTTGGTATGTATTGTAAGCACTAGACTATGAGAATAGGCTATTTTTATTTTTTAGTTTGAGGTATCACGATTTTTATGCATATTATAAAGGCATGTCTATCTTTCAGAAAAATAAATGCATTCCTACAATCATTCGTGTATCCCAGAAACCAGTATAATTCAGGTGAGGAGGCAGCTATGGTAAGCAGTCAAAAGGACTTTCCTGGAGGCTTGCCTAGTGAGACTTCTACAAAGAAACAAAGAGCTAGTCAGGTTTTTGCATAAATAAACTGGTTGAGCTTACTAGTTGACAAGCACCAATGACACATCTATAACCAATGAATAATAGTTGAGGAACTGTCATAAGCAAACCCAGAACAGGTGTCTGGAAAGACTTGATAAGTCATTTTTAAAAATGAGATAAAGAGATGGTCCTAAGACAGACCCTTGAGGAACACCTGATTTTATCTCTTTAAATTTTGAGAATTGACTGCTATGTTGCTCTCTGTGTCCTACCTGATAAGATTTTGATTTTTAAGAGTGCAAGGTAATTAATTGTTCACACCAGTAAAGATTATTTTAATGACCCGCTTAAAAGAGTAACATTATCGTAAAAACATGATCTTTGCCCTCTCTGTCTCCATCAATACTTCTCTCCAATGTAAAATTAGAGCAAGAGCCCCATAAAGTTCTAATCTAAAAGTTTTATCAGAAACGGAAGCAAGTTAGTGATTCTTCCTCAGACATGATCAAGTGAGCTGCTGGCTGCCGAAGTCTAACCTGCCAGGACATAGGGTAAGTGTGCTATTTCTTCAATTCCTTATTTCAGTTCCATAGCCCACCTTGGCCATAGCAGATTTTTTTTGAGAAATTGGGGCTCTCTAATTGTACGAGTAGCAAGGAGTGTGAGACGCAGTCAAAAAATCTAATCCATACTATAATCAACAAATTTCAGAATCGCTTCCTAAGTTTTCTTTTTCATCAGAAACTGGAGTCACTGAATAGAGAGTTTTCCTCAAAGTACATTACAATTCTGGTTTTTATGACCTGATTATTGATATCGGTGTGTAGTTAGCAAGATCCCTAGTTTTTTAAAAATAGGTGTAATTTGAACAACTGAGCAGTTCAAATCTAATAAGCAGACTGAAGAGGCTGGAATTGGAGTGAAAAAAGAGATAACTTGTCAGTCACTTTGTGATCATCTTTGGTACTTCCAAATAGAACTAGGCATTAAAAGAATATGGAAATATAATTTGTATCTTTTTCATTGAAAAATGCTTACATACATCTGGCACATCAAACCAGGTAAGTGTGATCAGAGACGGCCTAACTACAAATTTAAAACAGCTAAGATGGGGTTCCTCATTTTTTTTCATTTGTTTATTTAAATTGCCAAAGTTGTCACAGCTGGGGCGTTTAACCAACGAAAGCACACTAGCTTAGTTTGTGACATATCTGCTGGTGTCCCACAGGAATCTACAATAGGACCTGTTCTTTTTCTTATATTTTTCAATACAATGCCAAACCTAACGATTACTGACTGGCCTTGTATGATGAAATCTACACTTTGTCCTGGCGAGTGGATACAACAGCCAGCAGACTTTCAAAGGCCATGTCATGTATTGGCAGGTCTGTAACAAATTAAGGATTAAAATAAATCCAATAAAAACAGAGGCTATGCTCTTTACACAGAGTAGCCTGTGTTGTATCAGCGTGTTGTGGGGGGCAAATAATACCTTGATCAGTTACTGTTAAATCCCTTGGGGTAATACATGACAGTAAGTTAACTTTCGATGCCCATGTATAAGATAGTCAATAAAGGCAAAGCTGTATTCATGTCTTGTTTCCCTTAGGCCGGGTTTACACCTGTAAGATAGTGAGGTTCATACCAAAGCGATAAGACATGAACCAGCCAGCCGATCACAAAGCCAATGTCCTCACTCTTTGAATTTGCCATCTTCAACCTTTGCAATATCGTACGACATTAAAGGAATAGTCAAGCAGGCCGTGGATACACATATTTTATGACTCATGTCACAATCATTCACAGGTGTGAACTAATTTTGTTGTTCCTTCACATTTTTTATAGGCCTGAGCATTGCGTATTTTACAAGACAATTATTGTATATTGCTTACGACCTAAAGATGTGTATCATATTGCTCTGGTGAACCCTACCTTACTGTGCTGAGATCCTAAGCTGCCCCAGTAAATAAACTTCTCTGTAAAGTAGTGATCAGACCAATGCTGTATGCTTGCCCCTCATGGGGTTTGACATCATAATCGAACATCTCCTCGACACAAATTACGCAAAATAAGTTTTTACGGCTGGTGACCTCATCACCCTATTACACCCTTCTTCTAGATTTGCACATTAACAGAGACATGTTGTACACCATATAAAACTCCTTTATTCCTTACAAAGAACATCTAAGATGTGAGCTAAGCAGTAATCAGTTAGTTGATAAATTGGGGTCTATGACTTGGACTTTGTATACCGGAGAGTGAAGAGCTCTTTAGTTTCAACCTTGCCTTCGGCGTAGGAGTTTTTTCCCTTGAATTAACTTTTTTTTTGCTACATACTATTTTTCTTCAAATTAAAATTCCGAAGCAGGACGTCATAGTATAAATTGGTACTCCTATGTTAATACGTGTAAACTGTTGTAAATAATTTGAATAAAAATTCTACAAACTGTAAGATCCAACTTTGTAAAAAATATTAAACAACACACTCACCCCACCTCTATCATTTCTAAAGATTCTATTCAAGCTGCCCACAAGAATAAACAAATAGAGTAAAAGCCCTCCTAATGGATGCCCATCCACAACAGACACCCCTCATAATGGAAATTTTTTTCTGGTGCCGAGTCAATGATATAGGAAGGAAATCAATGTATTTTGAAACCCTCTACAACAGACACCTCTCTAACACGCTGTTTTTAATGAAATATTAGACAGTTTTTTCTCCTTTTTTTGCCTTTTCTGTGACTATTTCTTAAATTTTTTAAAATTACATACAAAGAACAATGTTCTTGCGAAAAATTGCACCCTGCTTTCCCTGAATAAAATAAAACAAATAAATAAAAAGTTGTTTAATGTTCCCCCTTCCAGCCCTATTCTCTTGAAGAAATGGTTTCCCTTCCAAAAATACCTACTCTGGTTTTTTTCATTCTGACAATTACTTCGTAATCTGAAGGTCTTGAGGCCCTCCAGAAAGTCAGAGTTTTTTGTTTGTTTTTTCGAAAGGAGATTCAAATAGTTATAATACAATAATACAACTAATACATAATCAAGAAAAAATTACGTAAAGGCAAAAAGTTTGAAAGCAAATCAAACAAAAATTACTCAATATTTTAAAACATAAATTTTTCCATACATATTTAGACATTTTTACATACTTGTTTATAATTATTTTATAGCAATATTGATTACGGAGTGAATTTTTTTCATAAAATCTACTGTTTTATTACCCCCCTCCACAGCAGCACCCCTCCACAACAGACAATTCTTCGGTTCCATTAGCTGTCCGTTGTAGAGGGGTTTCACTGTAGAAGCAGGACAGGATAGAAGAGAAAAAAAGCAATAGCCAGTTATTTCGGGACTATTTTCTACTGCAACTTTAAAACAGAAATGGAAAATAAATGAACGATATGACTATAAAACTGTAGATAAGCAGTTTTAGACTGATTAATTTAAAATAATACAAAACAATATAAGGTACAGAATTTTATTAGCTAAGTTAACTGTACACTACTCTGAGGTAACGAGTTCGAGGATAAAAGCACAATGTTTATATCTTCACATCAGAATTATTATGTGCTGCTATCAGAAACAAATTTATACCATTTATACCTTAGATTATTATATTTATGTTTTGTGATTAGCTGAAAAATTATTAATGCCAACGTTGCAGCTTGACATTGGATATGTAAAATTAAAAGTACAGAGTAAGGATTTTTTTTTTGCACAGTTGGCAAATTTATAACAGGCGAGAAATATTTCGTTTTGCCTTATATTGCCCATTTTTTGTAGAAAGCGGGCTGGAAGAAACAAGCTGAAGCAGGCAGAAAAGAGGCAGAGTATGAAAAGGAATTTTTTTTTTCTTTAAATGTTAATACCTTGTCTGTAACTTTGGGCCCTTTTTTCGCTGCGTCCGACGTCGAGAGTGTCGGCCGCGGTGAGAAAAACAGAAAAAGAGATGCAGTGGCGAAAATAAAGCGCAGACTGTTCATTCTCATCGTGATTTCGGTCCTCGGACGTTTCGTGGACAACTGGAAGAATTGAACTTTCTGCAAACCGGGTGAACCCCAGACCAGTACGACAACCGAGAGCAAAGCCAATCAAAACGAAACAAGTGTCATTGGCTACCGGCTTGGAAGAAAACACAACGCTAGGTTGCGGCACTGATGACCATGTGACCTCATCTGCATCACATCAACGGTCCAGAGGTTTAACATGACGATTACTTGCGCACAATTTCAAATTAGGATCACTTTTGGTAGGTAGGATTTGACTGTGGATCTTGAAGCAGGCACAACAACTTCAGTAAAAACAAACTTGCAAAGCCTGCTTCGGAAGATGGCATTATAAAGAAAGAAAAAATCTCGATGCAGGCACATGAACTTTAGTAGAAACATGTTTGCAACACCTGCCATTGCTACTGGACATTAATATCGTAACAGAAATTTCAGCAAAATGTGATCATCATTAGAACAATTAATTTAACTGTGGATCTTGCAGGCACAACTTCAGCAAAAACAAGTTAGCGAAGCCTGCTTTTGTAGGTGGCATCAAAACAGAAATTTCAGCAAAATGTGATCATCATTAGAACAATTAATTTAACTGTGGATCTTGCAGGCACAACTTCAGCAAAAACAAGTTAGCGAAGCCTGCTTTTGTAGGTGGCATCAAAACAGAAATTTCAGCAAAATGTGATCATCTACGGTTGAAATAGTTTGACAGGATCTCAATGCAGGCACATTAACTTTAGCTGGAACTTGTTTGCAAAACCTGCTGTTGCTAGCTGGGAGATTAATCTAGTAACAGAAATTTCAGCTATATGTGATCATCTATAGTTGAAATATTTTGATGGGATCTCAATGCAGGCACATTAACTTTAGCTGGAACTTGTTTGCAAAGCCTGCCATTGCTAGCTGGACATTAATATTGAAACAGAAATTTCAGCAAAATGTGATCATCATTAGTACAAATAATTTAACTGTGGATCTTGCAGGCACAACTTCAGTAAAAACAAGTTAGCGAAGCCTGCTTTTGTAGGTGGCATCAAAACAGAAATTTCAGCAAAATGTGATGAACTTTGGTCGAAATGATTTAACTGTGGATGTTGAGGCAGGCCCAATAACTTCAGTAAAAACAAATTTGCAAAGCCTGCTTTGGTAGATGGCAGCATAACAGAAATTTCAGTAAAATTGATGACCTGAGGTCCAAATGGTTTGACTGTGGATGTAGAGGCTACTTAACTTAAATTAACCTTTTCTTAAATTTCAAGTTTACTTTTTTCAATGACAACTTTTTCTTTTGAGCATTAAAATAATTTAGGAGATAGTTTGAAATAAATGCATGTAAATAAAATTCCTGTTTATTTTTCAAATATATTTTTTTCATCAAATCAACACTTTTTAACTTCCACTTCACCCTTTTTACTTTCAAATTAACACTTTTTATCTTCATATTAAGCTTTTTTAAATTTCAAATCACTCTTTTAACTTCCACTTAACCCTTTTTAATTTTAAATTAACACTTTTTATCTTCCAAATAACCCTTCTTAATTTCCAATTATGCCTATTTTATTTTGAAATTGAACCTTTTTAATTTCAAATTAAACTTTTCTTTCAAGTGTTAAGAATGAAAAATTTAGGGGATGATTTTAAACATATGCATGCTATAAAAAATTCCTGTTTATTTGTGAATTTTTAAAAAATATAGTTTTCGTCTGTCAAATTAACACTTTTTAACTTGAAATTAACCTTTTTTAAATTTCAAATAAAACCTTTTTAACGTCAAATTACTTTTTGAAAGTTCAAATTAATTCTTTTTAATTTAAAATTGACCTTTTTTAACGTTAAAATTTACGTTTTAAATTTCAAATTAAATCTTTTAACTTCAAATTAATTTTTATTTCAAAATTAACCCGCTGTAACGACAAATTTACCTAGTTTTTATTGCCAAATGAATCCTTTTTAATTTCAAATTAACGTTTTCTTTTGAGCATAAAAGCATTTAGGAGGTCGTTTGAAATATAAGCATGTTATGAAAAATTCATGTTTATTTGTGAATTTTTAAAATCTAGTTTTTCCCCGTCAAATTAACTCCTTTAATCCAAATTAATCTTCTTTAATTCCAATTTAACCCTTTGTAACTTTAACCTTTTTTAAACTTAAAATTAGCCTTTTTTTACAACATCAAAAAACTTAAGAGGTGGTAGGAAATGTTTAAAAAAAATATTTTTTTTTGTAATATAAAACAATTTAGCTTTTAGAACATTATATGAACATTAATTACTATCATAATTAAAAATTATATACAATTAAACCTACAAATAAAGGATTCTTCTTTTAATTTGAGAATTTAAAAAAATAGGGGCGTCGTTGGCCGCAACGGTTTAGGCGTTGACACGGCGCTCATCACTGTAAGGTGAAGGTCCCGGGTTCGAATCCAGGGCCGACATACTTACAAATGGGCTTTTTTTCAAAAACAAAGGCACCCNCAACAAACCCGACAAACTAAAAAAAAAAAAAAAATTATTTTACTTGTAATTAATTTTCATATGGTTTTCTATCTAAGAGCTTAATCATTTTATATTTCAAAAATAAGTGCAAACGAGAGATTTTGAAAAACATAAAATGAGATTTTATCTAAAGTAGTATTTAATAAACTAAATATAAATAAGAAAACTAATTATAATTAAAATTAAAAGTTACATAAAATATAAAAGTAAAGGATTCTTCTTTTAATTTGAGAAATGTAAGAAAATGTGGCCTTTAACAGCCCAATTATTTTATATTTAAAAAAAAAAATCAAATGAAAAGAAGAATCATTTATTTGTATATTTAATGTTACATAACTTTAACTTATATACTTGTTTTTCGAATGCTGGAATTTTACTTTACATGCCTACATTTCATACCGACTCCTCGGTTTTTTAAAGGGCTAATTTGAAGTAAAAAAAACGATTTTTGAAGTTAATTTTACGGGAAAAAGCCAAAGCTAGCTATAAAATCAGGCAAAATTTGATTAAAATCATAATGTTTAATCAGATACAAGATGTTATTTTTTTCCGGTCCAAATTGGAGATCCCCTATGTCATGTGTCTATGATTCGAGGAACGATCAATTAGTTTACTAGTCGCTTAGTTACCGATGGTAAATACCACAAGGAGGAGAAAACTGGTCGGGAATTACTTTAAGAATGGTAAGAATTTTTTTGTAAAAATATATAATTTATTAACAGAAAGTGGAAACGAGAGAAGATGTGGCACGCATACAGCTCAAAGATGGTGGACGCAACGCGAAGGACAGAAAACCTCTATAAACGTGGATAAACGCAAATCTACTCTCAGAGATCACTTGTTTTGTCCTAAATTGATTCGTAACTAATCTATAAAAGCGCTATATTTTTTTGTGAACGAAGGAAAAAAAACCGCACAGACTTTTCTTACAACTTCTATGAGGTACAAAATGGGTCAAATTTCTTTCGGAGGCACTGGGTGTTCATGGTTTGAACCCTTCTGACTGGAAGAAAAAAAAATAAAATGGCATAGGGTAGTAAGGATAATTTATTGACAGTATTAATGCACATTTGCACAAAAAAAGTAATTACACTGAAAAATCACAACTGTCGTCCATATGAGAGCTTCACGTGTAGAAAACTCAAAAATCAGAAAACACTACATGCGTTTGTTAACCAATTGCGAAAGTGAAAATATAAAAAAGCCCATTCCGTATCAGCCTTTAGCGCTTTATGAAATATGGTGCCGGTTGTTGCATTATATGGCGACGAAGAAAGGGCTTTTTTTTATTATTTTTATAATCCGTGGCAGTCTCGACAAGATTATTACCCAATAATCGCCCCTTGGCCTTTCATGACTACTAATGAACTTGGTAAAACTTGCGTCATTCGAGAAATCCAATAACTGCCGCAGCCGGCAATGGCATTAAAGAAATAATTAATTTTTGTTATCTAATTACCGTTAATGATTCGCGCTAACTTTCGACCTGCACATACCTAGCTTGAAGGCGTTCGAAAAGCCGACTCTTAAACATTGAAACGTAATTGAATATAAAAGTATCATCTAATATGTAATTGCTTTTTGCTTTATAATAGTTTGCCAGGGGATTAAATTAATAAATTGCAATATTCCTGAAATAAAACTGACTCACTGAACCGCTTCTTCTTCTTTTTTTGAGACGTTTCAGGAGTTGAAGTTTTGAAGAAACTTCGTGCATAATCGATTTAGTAAATCCAATTTTTCAGTCGAAGACGACTACTATAAGAGAAGCTTTGAAGAAATGGGAGGAGCAGAACCAAACGAGTGCTGCCGAAGCTTTGGAAGTCGATTTGCAGTTTCAATGGCTCCCAATTGAAAAGATGGACAATAACCTGTCCCAGCTTGTCAAGTGCGAGTAAGTCCCGCTAATACAATTGCACAGTGAACAATCTGTAAGTTATGTTTATTGGCAATTCCGTTTGACCAGATAAGTTTTAAAAACTACGAGCATAAAAGAAAACGTTACGACAGGACAATAATCCAGGAAAGAATGGTAATGGAATGTTACCCCATCCTTTCTGGCCAATAAAGCTGTCAAAGATGATTATCGTATCATTGTGTATTTTGCTTGGAAGACGACAGTCGTATCTTTGTAATACTGCGAACCTAGGACGATTATTGAAAAACATTGTAATATTGCGTACCTAATTGTCATTGGTAGTTAAATAAAGGAGAATTATTGTAACATTATCTTTTACCTAAAACAATTAGTGTATCATTGTCTTTTACCTAAGACAATTATTATGACATCGTTTCGGACCTAAGACAATTATTATGTCATTATCAGTTACTTTGAAATTTCTTGTGAAATTAACGCTTAGTTAAGACAATTATTGATAGATTATCTTTTACCTAAGACTATTATTGTGACATTATCTTTTGGTTAAGACGGTTATTGTGACATATTTTACATAAGATAATGAATGAGACATTATTACCTACAAAAAGCAATTATTAGACTTTTTTTCGTACGGAAGACAATTATTTTGACATAATCTTTTACATATGACAATTATTGTGTCATTATCGCCTACCTAAGACGTTTATTGTAATATTATTCGTGTTCCAAAGACAATTATTGTGTCGTTATCTTTTGGCTAAGACAGTTAATGTGAAATAATTTATATAAGATAATGACTAACACATTATTGCCTACCAAAGACAATTATTGTGATATTCTTCGTACCTAAGGCAATTATTGTTACATTTTTCGTAGGTAAGGCAATTATTGAAATATTTTCTTTTGCATATGGCAATTATTGTGTCATTATCGCCTACCTAAGGCATTTATTGTGAAATTTTTAATGTACCCAAGACAATTATTGTGACATTATCTTTAACCTAAGATAATTATTTTCTATTCTTTTATTTGCGACAATTGTTGAGTCATTATCGCCTACCTAAGAATATGATTGTGACATTATCTTTCGGCTAAGACAGTTAATGTGACTTATTTTACATAAGATAAGGGATGAGACAATATTGCCTACCAAAGGCAATTATTGTGACATTTTTTCGTACGTAAAGCAATTATAGTGATATTATCTTTGACATATGGCAATTATTGGGTCATTATTGTCTACTTAAGACTTTTATTGTGTTACAGCTTAACTAAGATAATTATTAATAGATTATCTTTTACCTAAGACTATTATTTTGACATTATCTTTTGGCTTATTCAGTTATTGTGACTTATTTTACATATGATAATGAATGAGACTTTTTTGCCTACCAAAGGCGATTATTGTGACCTTTTTTCCTACGTAAAACAATTATTGTGATATTATCTTTTACATATGACAATTATTGTCGTCTACCTGAGACATTTATTGTGATATTTTTTGTGTTCCAAAGACAATTATTGATAGATTATATATTACCTAAGACAATTATTGAGACATTATCTTTTGGCTAAGACAGTTATCGTGACATATTTTACATAAGATAATGAATGAGACATTATTGCCTACCAACGGCAATTATTGTGACATTATCTTTTAAGTATGGCAATTACTGTGTCATTATCGCCTACCTAAGACATTTATTGTCAAATTTTTAGTGTACTCAAGGCAATTATTGTGACCTTTTTTCGTACGTAAAGCAATTATTGTAATATTATCTTTTACATATGGCAATTATTGTGTCATTATCGCCTAACTAAGGCATTTATTGTGAAGTTTTTAATGTACGCAAGGCAATTATTGACACATTATCTTTAACCTAAAATAATTATTGTGTATTCTTTTATTTGCGACAATTGTTGAGTCATTATCGCCTACCTAAGACTATTATTGTGACATATTTTACAAAAGATAATGGATGATACATTAATGCCTACCAAAGGCAATTATTGTGACATTTTTTCGTACGTAAAGCAATTAGTGTGATATTATCTTTTACATATGGCAATTATTGGGTCATTATCCTCTACCTAAGACATTTATTGTGAAATTTTTAGTGTACTCAAGGCAATTATTGTGACATTATCTTTTACCTAAGATAATTAAGGTATCATTGTCTTTTACCTGAGACAATTATTATGCTATCGCCTTCCAAAGATATTTATTGTGATATTATGGTTTACCCAAGAGAATTACTGAGAGATTAACTTTTGCCTAAGACAATTATTGGCATATTGTTATGCGCCTAAAACGACAATAGTATCATACCGAAGGAGCTTTTTCTTCTCTTTTCCTTTATTTCAATGTTTAAAAATTGAATGCATCCGATAATGAACCAAATACAATGAAAAGAACAAAGTTAGATCTTGCATGAGTATTTTATTCCAACAAACCCAAAATCTGAGCTTAAAATCCTCAAGTACAATATATATGTTTAAAAACATAAATGAAACTGCACTTGGCCAATATTTTCAATGTTTCGCGGAGCAAAAGGGGTGGGACTTGACATGTAGTTTCACCTGCTTCTACTACTATCCATGTACAATATTCTTTATTGCCTTAATTTTTTTGGCCACGCAAACGAAGCGCGTTAATAAAAACAACGGCTTGACAAGAACACGAACATATTTAGACAAATTTAAAGATTCCTAATTTTAAAGAAATTTTACACTATGAAAGAAAATTAGAAAAACAAAGTTTATTTGGATATACAAGCATAACACACTCAATAGAAATTCATTAACAGATATCAAAAACTAATCCAACAGATCATTTGTATGGTTTCATTTATTTATTTTGTTTAAGGAAATTATCTCTTTCGACAAACATGATAGAGAAAATTAGCGGTCTGTCTGGCATGAAGAACCTCAAAATCCTCTCTTTAGGCAGAAACTATATAAAATCTTTCACCGGCTTAGTAAGTAGTGTATATACTCATTAAAAGAAATGTTAGAAATACGTCTTTTATGGCGTTTGAAGGAATGCCTCGGCGAAACGTTGGAACAGCTCTGGATCTCGTACAACCTGATCGACAAAATGAAAGGAGCCGGTGCTTTGAAGAAGCTCAAAGTCCTCAACATGAACAACAACCTCATCAAAGATTGGGCCGAATTTCAAAAGCTCCAGGAAAACCTGGAACTCAAAGAATTGTCGTTTATAGGTAAAACTAACATAGGGAATTTAAAATACACGCACAGGATTAAAATATTTGCCCAGGAAATGTCTCAATCGTCTTGATTTTCATTGACCTTACAATTTGATCGAGCCTACAACCTAAAGTTTTATATTTATTGTAATTTCATCGTCAGTTAAATATTATTTATGTTTACTCATGTAGGCAACCCGTTGTGTGAAGCGGTCGAAGAAGGAATGTGGAGAAGCGAAGCAACGCGGAGGCTTCCCCAATTGGATAAACTGGACGGCGAACCTGTCATTTGTGAAATAAACGCGACACTTTAAAATTTGTAAACTGCATTATATTTATTTTATAATAAAAATATTCTATTTATCAAGTAAAAACTGTTTCTTGTAAGATCGAAGTGTGATAACAGAGTAAAAATTCAAAACGTAACCAGAAAAAAGTCGTCTTGGTACTTTACTATAAGTATGTTTGTACCAAGGTAGAAATCATCAAGGCAAATTTGCGGAAGGAAATGACAAATACGTTTGAGGATATGGATGTGCCCATGCTCGGATATACAACAATTCAGGCATTAACTTAATGATTTCTTGTCCTTTTTATTTTTTATAGAAATTGTTCATCACATTAGAAGAAACTTCCGAAGACATAATTGCGTACCGAACATAATTATTGTGTTATTATTCGTACCTAATAAAATGATTATTATAGTATTGCGTATCGAAGACAATTTTTGTGACATTGTTTTGTACCTAAGAATTAATGTGACAAGGTTTTGTACCGAAAACATTTATTTCGGACCTAAGATAATTATTGTGACATTTTATATCTAAAAAACTATTGACTATTTTCATAACTAAGTCAATTATTGTGACATTTTCTTCTAAGTCAATTATTGTGACATTTTCTTCTAAGTCAATTATTGTGACATTTTCTTCTAACTAAATCAATTATTGTGACATTTTCTTCTAACTAGGTCAATTATTGTGACATTTTCTTCTAACAAAGTCATTTATTGGGACATTTTCTTCTAACTAAGTCAATTATTGGGACATTTTCTTCTAACTAAGTCAATTATTGTGACATTTTCTTCTAACTAAGTCAATTATTGTGACATTTTCTCCTAACTAAGTCAATTATTGTGACATTTTCTTCTAACTAAGTCAATTATTGGGACATTTTCTTCTAACTAAGTCAATTATTGTGACATTTTCTTCTAACTAGGTCAATTATTGTGACATTTTCTTCTAACTAAGTCAATTATTGGGACATTTTCTTCTAACTAAGTCAATTATTGTGACATTTTCTTCTAAGTCAATTATTGTGACATTTTCTTCTAAGTCAATTATTGGGATATTTTCTTCTAACTAAGTCAATTATTGTGACATTTTCTTCTAAGTCAATTATTGTCACATTTTCTTCTAACTAAGTCAATTATTGTGACATTTTCTTCTAACTAAGTCAATTATTGTGACATTATTACTTATTAAAGAGAATTATTGTGACAAAGTTTCGTATGTAAGACAATTATTTTGATACAGTTTTTTACTTAAGACAATTACATTGTAACATCGTCTCGGACCCAAGAGACTTATTGTAACATTATCCTTTACTTTCAATTAATTAATCTTTATGTAAAGTATCGGTTGAGATGAAAAAGTTAGTGTCACGAGAAAAACAAGTATAAAAACAAGTATAACGATTAATTAATTTGAAAGAAGTTTTTTCGTCAATCGGACCACGAAATATAATGGATTATCCTTTACGTAAACAAATTATTGTAACATTATTCCGTCCCTAAGATAACTTCTTCAATATTGATCTAAGACGCTTTAAAAAATTGTAAACTGTTTTATATTTCAAGTAAAAATTGTTAACCGAAGTTAGTTGATAGAACAAAGAGGTGTTTTGTCAGCAACAGTGACATAACTGATACAAAAGATTAAAAATCAGCGTTCTTGCAAGCGATCTTTTCAAATATTGGACCAGAAAAAAGAAGGTCATCGTTGTACTTTACTATAGGCACGGTTGTACCAAAGTAGGAATAATCTTGGTAAATTTCCGGGTGGAAATAATAAAAAGTGTCTTTCAGTATATTGATCTGCCCATGACTCAGATATATGTTCATACTACAATTTTCTTTTCTTATATGATCGAAATGATCCTCTTCTGTCAACACATTAAAAAAAACTAAATTAAAATAATCACTGTAATAAACATAACATAAAGATGAGCCAATTCGTTATTAAGTGTAATTTTAAAATTGTACATCCTTCACCAGATTATCTTTTATTTTAGGTCAGAGTAAGCTTCGTTTACTTGTAATTGTAGTGTTTTAATTAAAAACAGACCCTCGGTTTAATAGTTGAGAGAAATAGGAGGGATTAAATTAAAAATTACACGAAGATTTTAAAGTTTTCTTAAAGTTTCTACACCGCCTGGAAATAATTATTCCGCCGGCGAGAACTTTCCACCGTAACCAATAACGCGAACTTATTTAAAATTAATTGGTAACAATGGTTTATAGTGGAAGCATGCAATACGTTTATGGAGCCGTTTTTATGGCCTGCGTAGCGGCTCTCAAGAACGAAGGGAAAAAGAGTTTTAGAAGGCGCTCATAATACCCAGGCTCGACCCGGCAATTCTCCAGTATAAGTTTTCTCTCTTTTATTGAATGCTGGAGTGAACAAGAAATTGGAATTTTACCGTCAAGGCCAAAAAAAGTTTAAGAAGCGTTTTAATTTATTTAAACAAAATGTTAGAAAAGAGTGAATATCTTTCAAATGATCATTTGCTTATTATTACAGTTTTGATTTATCTGACGCGTTCCAGCCATTCATCATCAACAGATAGTAAGACCAAAACAGCAAGTATGAGCAAACCAAACGATCGTAACAGGTCAAAACCGGGAATACCACAATTAAGGCGATATTGTAGTTTGACCAGGGCGTTGGTGGTTGCATCGGTTTAGGCGTTGACACGGCGCACTTCACTGTAAGGTAAAGTTCCCGGGTTCGAATCCAGCGGACCTGCCTTTGAGTCCATACATAAGTTTCGAAAACACTGGTACCCCGAGGGTTGATATGACCTCTGCTATTACGAACCTCGTAAAAAAAAGAAAAGAAATACTATAGTTTGGCCTCTTTTATTATCGGTTTCTGCGATTTTCACCCACTAATTAGTTTTGAGATTTCTCCGTGTGGTCTGCGGGTTGATAAACCTTTGGTCGTTACCGATCATTTTGATCTATTCACAGACGCAGGCACTTCGCCATCATCAGTGGTGGGTTAGTGAGACTAGGATAGACAAACCAAAACGATTGGAAACGACCAAACCTTAGGTTCATTATCTCGTAGATCTGAAGGATAAATCTCAAAAATTAAGAGAGATGAGAGAGAGAGAGAGAGAGAGAGAGAGAGAGAAAGAGAGAGAGAGGGAGAGAGAGAGAGAGAGAGAGATGACAAAATCAAAAAGTTACAAAAATTTCATTGTGGATGAGCCAAGTTGGCGTGTATTCATATTTTTCTGCATCTGATGGTGTTTTAAAATAAATATTCTGATTATTGAAAGTTTTTTAAAAATAATTATTGAAGTTAACTTTCATAGCTATGGAAGTAGCTATGCATAGCATATAAATAAAAAAATAACCATTAATTTCAAATTAAACTTTTTTCATTTCAAATTAACTCTATTTAATTTCAAATTACTCCATTTTAATTTCAGCGTCACTTTTTAATTTGAAATATACTTTTTAATTTCCAATTAACCCTTTTTTTAATTCTCTTTAATTTCAAACTAAATTTACAATAAACTCTTTTTAATTTCCAATTAACCCTTTTTTTAATCCTCTTTAATTTCAAACTAAATTTAAAATAAACTCTTTTTAATTTCCAATTAACCCTTTTTTTAATCCTCTTTATTTTCAAACTAAATTAAAAATAACTTTAATTTAAAATTAAATTTTTTAAATTTAAAATTAACTCTTTATTTTCAACGTAACGCTTTTATTTTAAATTAACTCTTTTTAATTTCAAATTATTGATTTCAACATAACTTTTTAATTTCAAATACTCGTTTTAATTTCGAATGAAACCCTTTGTACTCTTTTTAATTTCAAATTAACCATTTTTAATATCAAAACCATTTAACTGCAAATTAACCATTTCTTTAAAACATTAAAAAACTGAAAAAAGGAGATGGTATGAAAACAGCATTTAAAATACTGGGATCATAAAAGAACACAGACGGTTAATTGTATTTAAAATTAAAATGTATACATAATTCAATATAAAAACAATGGATTCTTCTTTTCTATGAAATGGGTTCTTATAATTAAAAAATAGTACACGAAAAGTAATTCAAATTAGAATTTAATTTAATTTAAAATTGAATGTAAAATTAAAGTAAAAATAAATTATTCTCTGATTAATTACAGACTGCTTATAATGCAAAATAATTATTTATTATCTTATTAATTTCAAATTAATAATAGAAGAAAGTTTTGTTTTTCTAAGAAGCCACAAAAAATTGTGTTAAATGTAACAGTAACTTACAAAAATAGGAATATGATTTATTTTACAAACACTAACTAGAATAATCGTATAAATAATTCAGCAAAAATCTATGTAATTTTTTTAAACCTTCAACGACAATGAATTTTTGACACCAATATAAATGTAGATTAATACTAGTAATCTACATTTATGTATATATAGTATTGATATAATAGGAAAGGTACAATACATACAATATTGTACATGTTCTTTTAAAAATAATTCATCTCAAAATGAATTTAAAAAAATTTAACTCAATATTATCAACTGCTGTAGTTATAGTTACTTTGTTAGAAAAAGAAGAGCAGTTACAGAATAGATGTTGCGTAGATCCAGTAGTTATATTTATTTATTTTTTGATTCATTACGAGCACAGGCTTGGAAGCCTAATAACATAAGACAAAAACAAAAGGGAACATAAATTGATTGTAGAATGAAAAGCAAAATTGTTCAGGCGGAAGGCTACGTTGAAAGTTTGACGGTTTTTGGTGTTATGGAATGGAATGCTAAAGTTAATTAATTGGAGGAGTTCTGGACAGTTTTGGCATCTGATTATTTAAAAATTTATGGAGAAGTATAATCTCATTTTTTACGTCTGTTTTCATGAGTGTCTATATTTAATGTAATTAGAAATTTTGGAATAATTTACAGCAAAATTGTCGAATAAAATCCATTGAACATATCTCAGAAATCTAGAAATCTCAAGGGAATGTTGCACCAATCTATTTCTCTTTTTGTATGTTCAAGGTTTTGTTACTCTGCTCGAGTTCGAGACAAGTTCAATCCTTTCCTATTTTGCCCCAATCCGACGAACGATAAAAATAAACATTAAAATAAAAAATAA